GACAAATATCAGTAATATACAACATATCTAGCATGGCATAAAGAGGAAGTTGGGGAAGAGAATATCGAGACATTAATAAAAGTTCCAATGAAATCCCAATCTCCTATCCCACCATCAATATATTCAATTAATTATTAACAATCAAATTAATAAAAGTATAGTATAGTAGTTTAGAAGATCTAAGCGTTCAGATAGCAGGAAATGACTTAATTGTACATTATGTAGAGATAAAGAAACTTGTATATTTATGTTATACAAGGTTCTTTATATTTTAGATATAAAAGTGAATTTGTTCATTTATTATTTGTTAGTGCTTTAATAATGTAACCGTTGGCGTTTTTAAGGATATTTTCTACTGGGAGCCTGACTCCTTAAATAAGGTTTATATGTACTCTCAGACATGTCTTTGCGAAGCTTCGCTCAAATCCTAGGGTTAACATACCAGACAATTCTAGGATAAGCAGTGTAATAGATATTATTATTACAAAATATTATAATATATCTTACCAAATGAATACGTATTTTATTCTGGTAAAAATAAACATTTTCAAGGAGTTCTATGTCAAACAGATTTAGTCCCCGGTTTATCTCCGTGTTGGTCCCATAGGTATTACTAAATTGTGTTATTATTGAAGTTGGTTTTATGTGAAACAAACTTTTAATTGGGTTTCCATTTTCAATGTAGCTCCTAAATACTGATTTTTATTAATATAATAATGTTGTTCACATTGACAACCTAAAATGACATATCTATCATTCGAGAATTGAAATTATTTATACAATACTAGCTTTTACTCCGACTTCATCAGAGTGACCTGGATAATAAATATCCTGTCCTGAGACATCATCTCTTAAATATAATTTAGAGATCGTAACCAGAATTGCAATTTCAGTTGGTAATTTTTATCTCTTAAGAGAATCTTAGTTAAAACATGGCGACACAAAATCGAGCCCACGGTCTGGTCTTTGTTGTTTAGAGTTTCTATGCTATTTTATATCTACTAAATTAAAGATTGAGTCGTACAAAAATACCTATTCGGTTGTCAATTATTACAAAACCAATTATTTTGTCTAAAAAGTAAACTACTGAATCGTTTTTGATAAAATGTTTACTAAAATTTGTACAATGTATGTAAGCATTTAATACAATTTTCGAATTCTCATATTAATAATAATAAATCTTTTAAGGTATACGATAAAAAATCTCTCAATCGATTTCCACATAATGTTCTTGATAAATCAAGTATCTTTGGCATCAATAAGAATTTTAGCACAAAGCGAAATAAGTCTACCTTCACTTGTAATATTTTTCATTGTACCAAATTAGTTAATATATGTGTTTTTTATACTTTTAGTAATCTTAAGTTTTATAATATTATCGAAATTTGGGATTTACAAATAAAAAGATCATGAAAAATCTTATCATGTTTTCTTATCTGAATTGAATGTAGGCATCTAATTTTTACATTAAAATACCTATCAAAATATATTTAAGTAATTCTTTCATCATACCTACCTATACCTCATACCCAATGAGATAACCATTTTTTTTTAATTATAATATCAAAATTATGATTACTTTTAAGTACCATATTTCTCATATAACACAATAAGAATATGACGACAAACAAAAAAGACAGACAATAATCACTAAGATTTAGCGCAAAATGAGCGGATCAACCGTCATTGTTATAAGTAGATATGATTCTATAGTGATGATTAAACGAGACTTAAACATGGTCGCGGAGCTTAGTTAGGATAATAATCCGATTTACAGTTGGATTCGATGTTTAAGTGATGGTGAACGCTAAATTTGTTGTAATCGGCCGTTTGGAGAAGTAAACGGCTCATCGGCGACGAATTCGGGTCTTAATGAGCGTCAATTTATTTATCCATTTTATACTAAGGTATAGATTAACTAATCGATTTGCTGCCATGTATCAGTATTTATTTCTATGTTAATGATATTGTAATTAGATCTGTTTTATGTTGTTTCTTTTATCTCCTTGAATGATATTTATTGTCTTTTATTATTTTTGGATACGTTATCTTCTAATTCTACTTTTTTCTTTTATTTTACTCCATGTCTTTACTTGATGTTCAACTCCTTATTTATCGCTGGTTTTTATTATTAATAAATTTTGCAGGAAACTTAGATCCAAAAGAATAAAATTGAAATGAAAATAAAATGTCGTGTATTAACGTGCATGTATTGTGGAAAAACATTACCAACAAAACAAAAGAATAACAAAAAAGTATTTTACAATAATAGAATAGTTTCTATATCAATGTTTTTGTTCATATTGAACACTTGATATGGACTTATTATCTGTGTTTAGCTATATATTAATAATATTGTAATTGTATTACGTTGTATGTTGTTTACGTTTTTTTTTCTTTTTGAAACTATTTTATCTGTATATATACCAACAACTAGAATTGTTGAACAAAATCCATATTAACGCAAGTGAAACCATAGGTAAAACTTAGTATTCCATATTCGAATCTACTTTCCACCGAGCATAAAAAAATGAAATCAGCTAAAAACAACCTACCGCAGTCGCATGAATTTGTTTGTTTTTTTTTTCATACATGTTTTCCATCACCGGAGAATTAAGCAATAATTGAAATTAACTCACAATGTTTGTGTCAACTTGATTCATATGTACATTTGCAGTCTGTAAGTGAAAGTAGTATATCACTGTGTAATAACAAATATCAGTTTCAGAAGATAAATATTTAAAAAATCAGGAACTCATCTGATCGTATTTCACAAATTAGAAAAACCTAACAAATCTTGTGAGGAAGTCTCCCTAACTAGCATACTAGGTAGTGTAGTCTACAAGAAACATTATATGAATTTGTCGCTTTAAAATCTTACTGCATCCTCTCGTCTGTATTGTTATTTCTTTTATCACCCGTTTGCATTAAAATTAAGAGGCTATTCAAATGTGAAAATTCAGTTTAATTTATACAGTGAGTGTAGAAAGTATTCGTACACCTAAGGTTGTAATAAAAAAAATACGAATTTGATACACTTTCTTTTATTTATCTAATTTAAATCAATACTATTAAATATTTTAACATTCCCGCACTTTGTTTATGATAATTTTTGTTTTTTAATAAATAAAATTATACAACATAAAAATATTTTTAAGTTAACTAAGCAAATAATGACAAACAAAAAGTATTCGTACACTTATAAAATTCGTAAGTAAATGAATATTAAAAAAATATTAATACTTTGTTGGACCACCGTTAGCATTGATGATAGCTTGGAGTCTCTGCGGCATCGAATCAACTAGTTTGAAAATATAAAAAGACGGTATTAATGCCCATTCTTCGCGAAGCGCAATTTTTTGTGTTTCTTTACTCGAAATTGGTCGATTTCGAATTTTATTATCGAGATAATCCCACACATGCTCTATAATATTAATATCAGGTGATTGAGGAGGAATCTCTAGGTATTTTAAAGCGTTAAACAGGATCCATGCTTTAGTACTCCATGCTTTATGTTTAGGGTCATTATCTTGTAAAAATATCCAATTATTGTTAAAACCCATTTGAGCTGCACTAGAGAGACGATTCTCTTTTAAAATATTAATATACGCTTTGTGATCCCTAATTCCATCAATAAATGCAAGTTTTCCCACCCCAAAAACACTCATGCAAACCCATACAAATACTGACCCACCACCGTGTTTTACCGTTGGACATAAATTTTCTTTCTTATATTCCATATTAGGTTTTCTCCATACCATATGATGCCCATCCGATTTGAAAATATTATATTTCGATTCATCTGAATAAATAACAGTTTGCCAAAAATGATTTTTTCATTAATATATTTTTTTGCGAATTCTAATCTTTTTTTCTATTAATATCATTTACCCAATACTTTTTACGCGCAGTTCTTCCATGATAATCGTTACTACGTAATACGTTCCGAACGGTACTGACAGAAATATGGCAATCATTGATATTATTAATTTCTTGTAACACTCGAGGGGCACTAATTTTTGGATTTTTTTTTTACACAATTTAAAATTTTCCGATCCAATCGAGGCGTGATTTTTGATGGACGCCCCACCTCTGGGTTTGTTTTTTAGTGTTTTAGTAATAGAAAACCGATCAATTACAGTCTGTATGGTTGAACGTGGTCTATTGACAAATTTTGCAATTTCACATAATGATTTGCATTGATTATGCAAATTAATAATTATTTTTCTCTCCTCTTCACTCGTTTCTTTTGCTTTACGACCCATTTTTGTAACTAAACACGTCTATACTTGTCACGAGTGCAACTAAAACGTCTAATATCTATACCTACGTATTAAAAATGACCTTGGCATTGTAGGCATATGAAAAATTCGATTAAATAAATGATTTTTACAGAATTTCATTTAAAAAAGCATGAATGTACGAATACTTTTTGTTTGTCATTATTTGCTTAGTTAACATAAAAATATTTTTATGTTGTATAATTTTTTTTTTTAAAAACAATAATTATCATAAACAAAGTGCGGGAATGTTAAACTATTTAACAGTATTGATTTAAGTTAAATAAATAGAGGAAAGTCTATCAAATTCGTATTTTTTTATTATAACCCTAGGTGTACGAATACTTTTTACACTCACTGTATTTAATTTTTACAGATGATAGGAATCTCTGCCCAACATATTAAGGTAAATAAATTTAGTAAGTACCCAGTAATCAGGAAATTTAACTAGGCCTGGATATATACGTACGGGTATCAGATAAATATTTAGTAAACCTATTACATGATCAGCATTACTGGCTACTACAGTTTCTTCATTATTTCTGTAGGCATTTAAATACTAACATTTTAAAGAAGAATAAGTATGCTTCTTCTAATCGTCGAAGTATTAAATACATGTTACATATTGTAACCTCAATTTATGCCCCTCACGTAAGGTTAATGTTAGCAAACGATGCATACCCGTACTTGCAAAACATACCTCAGTTGCTGACACTGTTTTTTGTGAGACACACGTATTGGTGCATTTTGTTGATTCTTTAACTATAATTATTACAATCAAACCTCATTTTCTTTTAAAAGAATGTGTCAAATTTGATTCAATATAAATTATGTATTTAATTTTAAAAAAAATACTAAGTTATTACGTTAGTGTTTAATGTAGCATAAGTGTTGTGTGTTTTTATAATAGTTTAATAAATGGTACTGAAGTGATAAGGAATTAGGTAGGCTCATAATCTTATACAGTCAAATATAATAAATACTTCTCACCTTTTTTCTGAACACTGGGTCGATAAGGTTAAATGGGAATTGGATAAATGAGTGAATAAACGGCCTCCTGAGGGTGGGGGGAAGAAATTACCACTAATAGTAATTACTAGACCTACTGCTGCCAATATATCCTGTTATGTCAAACCATCGTGGTCAATTCCCGGTGATTCATGGACTAACTAATTTGACTTCGTTTTCAACTATCATCCTTTATTGGTACCCGTCAGCATATACTGATAGTGCAGGTGGGATTACCATTCCATTTACATCTCCTAAATGGATTGGCCTCCTGTTAAACCAGTAATTACACAATAATTTCCGTCTGTATGTATTACTTAAAAGGAATTAGCAAGCCATCAGTAATATTCGTTGATACTGCACCTACAGAGCGACCTAAAAACTACTAAATTACATTTGGTATTAGTTCTGTCAATTGCTTCTTGATCACTAGTGACACTGTTTGTCAGAAGAAAGTACATCTAGCGATTAAATATCACCAATAATACCACCTAGTGATTGCTAATTGCTGATTTATAGACAATTAGCCTGCAGAGTACTCACGCCACTTGACTCGCCACGCCGCGCCATTACAAAATTTGTTGTGTTGTATATAGATGTATGTGCTGTACCTAACTACTGGCCACGTGCAAAGACACGCAGCGTTGTAGCATTCCAACCGACGGAAGGAGTTTCGTAATACGTTAGCTGCTACCTACAGGTTGCCCTCCGTCAAGGATATCATATTCCATTCTTTCCAGTTTTCAGAAACAGCAACGTCTATATTTTTTTTTTACTTGTGTTACTTTTTAGTTTATAAATGTCCAATAGAATGTTACTAATACAATAAAATTACAACTAAATAATGTCAGTACAGGGGACAAATTTAAGAAAATTGGTATGGTACATTTTTTTATTTTTTATTTTATTTGTATATTTATTGCATGCATCACGCAAATAAACTACTGCACCAAATCTGATGCAATATTTACAGTTGTGTTCCTGAAAATTTTACTTAAAAAGTGATGTATGTTTTATCTTGATATGCCATTTGGAAGTAGACTATTTCATCGCTTTATCACTTCTGAAATCCAAACGAACGAAGTTAGTCTATAATATTATTTGTAACTTCTCAATTCCAATCCTGCAATTAGTATTAAGTACTCGTAGTACTTCTATTAAGTTTAGAAGAATGTATAATAATTATATAACTACTAGAAATTATTGTTAAGGTATTATCTATAAACTCATGATATTGAGATAGCAATTACTTGAACTTAATTTGTACAAGTATTTGAAAACAAATTACGACCTCTTACGTAGATACCTGCTAAGTTCTGGAAATTATTTGAAATAGAATAGAATAAGCAGCCATAGATATAAATATGAAATGCAAATTATTTTAAAGCAAATTAATTTAACTTTTAGCAACACAGAGTTCCTCATATTTTTAAAACAAACATATCCTTGCCATAAAAAATATTGTTTTGATTACCAACTCTAGTCAGGTATTAAAGAGTATCTTTAATGATTTGTATGACTAGTTTTGTCTATCTTCACGCCGTCTCTTATGAGGTATACTTTTTTAATGGATGATAATAGTATGGTAACCCCGCCAGCGATAAGTTTACATTAGCAGAGCACCATTAAGGGATGATAGGTGAGAACAAAAAGGCAGGTCAATTAGCCCATCGTGACGAATACACTTGGATTTAACACGATAATTTGGAGGTCGACTTAACAAAGTATATTGCTAGCATTGAGACTTATAGTCTGTATTACTAATAATCCTGTCCCCTCTTAAGGAGTAAACTATTAATAAATCCTCTACTTTTATATATCTCTCTTGCTTCATTCATTTTCATAAATAGTTTTATAGTGATTATTTAGGTTAAGTATGACAATTTACCTGGATTATCTTCACATTTTGACCAGATTACACGGGCCATGGTCACGAGTTAACTGATGTAGCGTAAATTGTCATAGTTTACCTAGAATATCGCTTAAATTCCAGCCTCATAAACCATTAAATAATAATATAATAAATCATAAACCATTAAATGCAAAAATCTTAATGTTAATAATTTTAAAGCTTACATAAACCTCTAGAGACAACTCGCCCTCAAAATCTCTTGTGATTTCCCTTAAACAGCGTGTACAAAATCTGACTTTTCATAATTATTTTTAATATTATAAGATTATTTAATAATACAACTACAACTTAATTTCATAAAATATTTTACAGGTAATCATGACTGAAGAAAACCAAGATATGAGTGCAACAACTAAATTAAGTAAAAGCCGTGAAGCGAACTGGCCTGTTGTACTGTTCTTAATTCATATACATTTACTATCACTGTACGGCCTGTGGCTTCTTTTCTTTGAAGTGAAATGGAAAACAGTAATATTTTGTAAGTCTTATTAATACTTTTTATTTTTTTTTTTATGCAACTTAGAATGTCAAACAAGCTGACGGCCCACCTTATGGAAAGTGGTAACCGTTGCCTATAGACATGAGCAGTAACGTGAACATAACAGAGTATACTGTTTCGCCCATGATACCCCCTATGCATTGCCATTCCTGAGGACTCAGGTGTTATTTCTCTGTACCCTGTAAATTCACTGCCATATCCCACCCTTCAAATCGAAACACAGCCATGCAAACACAACTGCTTCACGGTAGAAACCACTTGATATATCTGCTCTTCCAAACATTCTGATTAGGTTATCATCTCATTAGATCTGATCTGATTAAACTTATATTATTAAGAAAGATGGTGATGATCAATTTACTTTTCCAAATACAGTTTATACGTAGGCATAAAATTCGAAACTCAAAATGAACCGAAACGTTGCAAATCGTAGTATAATTAGCCACAATTTAATAAGTTATTGTTAGCTTGTCTGAAAATAAAAGCGACCTGTTATAACAAGCGTACGTCTTATACAATGAATAGACGAGCTTGACCGTTTTCACAAAGAAGTTAACGTTTCTAGTTTATGAAAGATGTAAACAATTTCGTTAATCTATGCCCAGTAGGGTATATTATTTTTATTTTCTACCTTAATTTTTTTCTTCTACAGTACTATTTCTTACCTCAATCGCTATTCTCGGAACGACGACTGGAGCCCACCGTCTATGGGCACACAGAACGTACAAGGCGAGCACAATGCTGCGTGTTCTACTTATACTATGTCAAACAATGGCCGGAATGGTAAGTAATAACTTTTCTATATCTTTATCTTCAAACCAGTCAAACTTTATAAAGTAGATAAAGAAAACTGAGCGCTAATGATTTCTAATCTTACATTATATATCTTAATTATATCACTATAAAAATATTTATTCATTATATGTAGCCGTAGAAACTAAATTTGTTATATCAATTCTATACCTACTTATTCACCAAGATTTAAAATTTCCTAGTTAGTTCTGGATTGATATCTAAATATATATGCATATTATGGTATGATATTAGTTGTAACTACCGGCAAACCTCCCCTCCCTCATCCCAAGGATGAGGCTTATGCTCAACAGTAGACAGTTAAAGGCTGATATGATGATGATGAGTTGTAACTCGTGGCAAAGGTAATTACAATATTAATAGAGCTATTTTACTGAACTAGGTGTTATCTTACGGAAATCCATGTCACTGGATATTTGATTAAAATTATTTTGCTTAATTCCGTTACTACAAGTATCTGAGTGACTGCCAACACTCAAAGATTTAAAAGATTTTAAATTTCTGTCTTGCACTACTACTGCCCACTCACTACTTCCTATGCCACTGCGTTAGGTTGACTGGAAGAAATCTCTTTTAGAGATAAGTTCGCCTTTGCTAACATTGTTATTAACTTATTGTTGTTACTGTATGTTTTTGTGCAATAAAGAATATATAAAGATTGAACACCACTATTACCAGAAGTATTACAACCTTCCATACTAAGAAAATAAAGGTGTTTTTCGCAGTTTGGGTGCCAAACGGTTAACACTTTAATAATTTGCCTGGAAATAGCTCGTTTAGAGGTGAAACGCGTGTCGCAATACATGCGTAAACAAAATAGCAGTCGAAGATTGATGACTAATGTAGTCTTCTGGTAATAATACTGGTGGTAATCTTCGAGTGTTGGCAATTACACATGTGCTTATGATAGCGAAATTAAACACAATAATTCTAAGCAAATAACCATTGGCAGTGCTAGCAAAATATAAATATTACTTATTTTCGTATGTATAACTACAGACAGACTTGATTATTAAAACTATTACAAACAATATGGTATCACAATATCTGTCATTAAAACAGATCTAACCTAACTCATCCTATCTAAATTACAAGTGAACAATCAAATAAAGGGTAAATATTATTTTCTCAAATAGTTATAGATTCTTTGACCCAGTAGCAGTTTTCGATTTACATAAAAATGAATGTGACAAATAAAGAACTAACTATAAAGATAAGCTGCAAAGATAATGTCAATAATAGCCAACGACTAATTAGATGAGATTAATAGATAGACAAAGCTACCGAGTATTTTTATGCTATGTAATGTATATTGTATGTTCAGTATGTATGGGACATAGTTTGGATAGACATAGTTATCCATGTAATAGTGAACTAAAAATATAACATGTCACCAATCCTTCTCAGCCGCAAGATTTCGAAGAAAAGAAACCATAATTCGCTGTTCATCGCAAATGTTCACTGGTAAAGAATACTAATAGAATGTAGTCAGCGTTTTGTACCATATTCTTATTTCATTCTCAGTATTTGCACAATAATATTATTAATGTTCTAGTAATCCCATTGTTTTATGATAGTGAGTTATGCTCCCAGATGTTTGTTGTCCGATTCCTTATAATACAAAGTATCTTAACTTGAGGACCAGGCACTTGATTTAATTGTGTGGTGCTCATTCATTTTGGCGTGAATTTACTGGGTACAGAGGAATAACACCTGAGTCCTCAGGAATGGCAACGCATGGGGGGTATCATGGGCGAAACAGTATACTCTGTTATGTCCATGGTACTGCTCATGTCTATAGGCGACGGTTACCACTTTCCATCAGGTGGGCCGTCAGCTTGTTTGCCATTCTAAGTATTATAAAAAAAAAAAAAAAAAAAAAAAAAAAAAAAAAAAAATCTGAGAGAAACAATTGTTTTCCTGAAAAGAAAATATTATTTTTACCATAACCTCCAAAGCTAGCAACATCTTTATACTCCATAGTTCCTTCTGTACATATTGGATATAGTTTAGATAGACGTTATTGTATAAGAGATAGGCCAGAGATGTTATTTAGTGGAAACGTGTCGTCAGCAATTTGTCTGATATGTTACTGTGGTGTTCACTAATAATATCATGATTTATGTGAAAACTTTTGAAGATGTTTGGATCTTTGTTAATCGATGACTTAAATGTATACCGATTTTAATGTAATTTGACAGATAGACAATAATTATCCTGGATTAACATTTTTAATAGATAAATATATTTTTATTCCAATCTACAGGTACAAAAGCATAGGTAACCGTTAAAAAGTTTGTAAAAATTTTCCAATTATTAGATTACTTAAGGAAGTATTACAAAATCCTTTGTTATTTTAAAGCTATTTCAATTAAGTTTTCGTATCTAAATGAATATCTAGCACCTCTAACATTATTATTATGATGTTAAAAAATTATACTTATATACCTAAGGTATGTATTATATGTGTGTATAGATGTAATATTGAATATCAAACCATTAATTTTCAGGGCTCAATATACGACTGGGTTCAATATCACAGACTTCATCACCAACTTTTCGCTACTGAAGATGATCCTTGCGATTACAACAAAGGTTTTCTTTACGGACACATAATCACACGTATGAGAAAATTGAGCCCCCACCAAGAAAAAGTGAGAGAATCAATAGATATGTCTGACCTTGAAAAAGATACTATTGTTATGTTCCAAAAATCGTAAGTTTTCCTCTACAAAGACACAGTATGATTGTAAGAATTTCTGTTCAAACATAGTAGTGGTATTGCAAATTGGATATAATTACGTTTACCTATATTTATACACCTGTATTTATGTGCCTTTACTTAATTGATGAAAATAGTTTATTATACCGTTAAAATAGTGAATTTTTAATATAATTAAATAATTTTCCATATTTCTCAAAGAAAATTTGATAATTGCTTTTACAGCAAACTAAAAGGTTAATGTATGATTAGCGTTTTAATTTGCATCTTGTTAACAATTTATATTGATAATATAAAAACCAAAAAATAATATGAACACTCTTTAGTTATGTACTATTTATTCAAAGATTCGTCTTTTAGATCTTAGACAGACGCTTTATCTGTAATCATTAATGGATATTGAAAATGTTTTATTTTATTTTTTTTTATTAATAAATAATACTGATAATGTCATACTTATTTATGGTGAATGGTCGTAAGTATTAATCATAGATCAAAAATATCTATAAATCTACACGATATTCATAATAGTCTCACTACTAGTATGGATCTCATCTATCAAAGTAAACACGACACGATATCTTCATAGAAACTACTTATCTATTGGATCCCGTCATATATTTGATATATATCAAATAATTTCAGAAATAGGTAGAGTTTTAGATAGACTACACATATATATACATTAAGGTGTATTGACTATTTTTTTAGTGTAGTTGTCGCGTATAGTATGAAGCGAAAGATCGGATGTGCCCAAGGAATGGTCCATTTACTTTAATTTAAAAAACAAAACTTTTGCTGTAATATGTCAATGGACTACTTTGAAAAAATTGTAGTGGAGCAACGCAACGGCTCTTTCATTTAAAATATATTTTTATAACATTTCGCAAATAAAATAAAATATTCAAGCTTGTTTGTATCAAATTGACTTTTTATCTGATTGTTGAAGACTTCAGCACGTACCAGTAGTAATTTACCATTTTGCTAAGAAGAATTTAAATATAACTTCATACACAGACGGAAGATATTTTGGATTAATACATAAGATACTTTTTATTATAATTTACGCGGTCTGAGCCGCGAGTTACAGCTTAAATGAGCCATAAAAAAATCGCATGTAAAGGGTTCCTTCACGATAATCTCTGAAATCGCTCAACCGATTTTAAAATCGGTTTTATATTTTGTAAATACATATTGTTTGTTTCAACTTGAGAGACAATATAGCTTTTATTCCGATTAAATAAAATGGACGTAGGTGGCAATAGGAGTCAAAACAAAGATTAACAGGTCAGCTAGTTTTATATAAAATCTTATCTAATTTAATCTTGCTAATACCTGCGTTTTACAAATCCGTAATTTATGAGTGGCTGTAACTACATTTAAATTAAATTAGTCCCTACTAAAACAATGATAGAGTGAATAAATTAACAAAAATAATCTATAAGTTAACAAGAACGCTTATTCGACTAACTACCTATTACAATATTACATTAGTTGAAATATTATATAATGTATAAAATGTATAAAACTTATACAAAGTCAACATGCAGAATCAGGGTTGTCTTTTGAAATGCATATAAGTAATTATGCACCTATTTCTCACCAGCCTGTGAAATTTGTACTCAAATGTACAGAAATGTTCTTACGAATTTCTCTAAAATATAATATCAATGTTCAGATAAATATTTTATATACAGCAGATTCAGTTGTAATAAAATTTCCATTGAATAATCCTTTTATTTAATATTTTGAATGCGCCAATCAATGTAAATATCTCAAAAATTTTGTGTTTTATGCACTGAATAACGTCCTTTTTTGAAATCAATTAAAATATTAGCAATATTTTACTGCAGAAGTCATTTCAAATTCATTATTTACTGCTGTATAGAATAGAACGCTTCCAAGTATTTCATATTTTTGCTACTCTCTATCAAATTAAGACAAATTTCTACTCAGCAAAACTTGTTTGTGAGCTACAGGAAATAAGAGAGAACGACACAAACAAATGCCTTTGAAACTACAGTAATGTGTTATCTAATAGTCAGTATCTTCCTTATTATTATTTAATAAAAAAACTTTTCATAAAAAAAAAAACATAATTTTAGCATAAAAGCACTGTTGCTGGCAACTTGTTTAGATGGCCTTATTATATGCATATTTGTCTTTTTATATTATTCTTTTTAATATTTTTTTGACATACCTAATATCTTTTGACACCTTCTTTGTTTCAAATATAAAATTTACGTGACATACAGTTTCATCGTTTCTCCAGTCACAAGTACTTGTATATTTATGAAAAATATGCTCACAACTATAATCCCTAATACAGTAGCCAGAGGCATTTATCAAATTTTACTGTTATTATGAACATAACATGTCCACAATTCGCCTAGAATATTAAAATCCAACGTGACTAGAGTGTTTTCTCACAAAAATAATTCATGTACCTAAGACATGTACTTAGCTGTACTTAGATATGTTACGTGAGGTTACGTGATAATCTAAGGTTACAGGTATAAATCGCCAATTCTGAACGGATTACCCCAATTTTTTTTGTAGTGAGTAGAGTCTATTCCTATATTGATTTCTTTTTTAATTTTGTGACGATTGAAGTTACCTTTTCTCTTTGTAAAGCAAAAAAATCCTTATTATGAAGCCAAACCTATATGCAAACATGCGAACCACGTTCCAAATTCAAATATTTGCAATCGACAAAACATGTCATTTATATATTACTTTCTATGTTTCGAAATATCTCGACATTTATTAGTGCGTTCACAATTCTTGTCGCTTTTTTTATGAAGTAATAGAATCTTTTTTTATAAAAAAATATCATATTGAAATGGATTTTAATGATAGTAAATATAATAAATAAATACTTATTGTTGTTTATAATACATGTTATAAATAGTCAAGTAAACAATTACGCAGTCCAGCTAAATCTGTAGAATGGTAAGCATTATAAATAAAAGCGGATGGACTGAAATTTCTTTATGTCCGATTCATGTTTTTAGGAAAAGTATATATAAAAAAAATTTGATGCGACAGCATCGTAGTGCATATACGTATACATATACATATACATATACATATACATATACATATACATATACATATACATATACATATACATATACATATACATATACATATACATATACATATACATATACATATACATATACATATACATATACATATACATATACATATACATATACATATACATATACATATACATATACATATACATATACATATACATATACATATACATATACATATACATATACATATACATATACATATACATATACATATACATATACATATACATATACATATACATATTGTACAATAAATATTACATATACATATACTTATACATATACATATACATATACATATACACATATAAAATTAAATATATAATAAATACCTTATGCTTAAGGAATCCATCTCCATATAGGTAATTGCTAGCCAATTTTAAACAAGTAATGTACGCATAATGAAAGTACCCAAGATATAGAGAGGTAAACGAATCTAATCGGTAGATATAAAAAAGAGCAAGAAGCCGAAGTTGTTATCTCGTTTTATTATATGCGTGCGGTAGCGAAAATATATCTATCGACAGATTCATTAGACCTTCAGTCTTGACCTCACAAATTGCTAGTATTACTCCACGTATTTCACTAAATATATATTATATATCACTATTGTTACAGATTTTACTGGGTTTTGTATGGCATATTGTTCATTTTACTGCCACTAAATGCCCCTCTCGAGTACTGGGATGACACCGTGTTGAGCGCTACATTTGTTATTGGATTTTTACGTTATGGCATTACGATTCACGCCACGTGGCTTATAGAGAGTGCTATATCCGTATGGGGACTGAAGCCCGGCGAAAAGTTAGTAATCCTATTAATACTTATTATAAACATGAATATTTGTAAACATGTTTGGATGTTACTTAATCACAATTAATGGATTTGAATTAAATTTGGTACAAAAATATACCATATCCTAGTGTTGTGAAACCTCTTTATATTTCGTTATTTTATTTTTCAATTACTGATTACTCACACTTAATTAATAACAGCACTTTTTATCTTTTTACACATAGGCAAAGCCAGGGCCTACAGATAATTTCATTATATTCTTTAATTTAATAGAATATGTTCTGCCAGAAGTTGGATACGATTAGCAGTAAACAATTAAAAGAAAACCATAAACAATTAAATCAGACGTTATTGTTACCGCACAGGTTACGTAATACAAAAATTTATTGAACCTATTTGCCAGTATCAGTATCTTGTTATTACTCGTTAATATCTCTACATTACAATTTATAATTAACTAGCGACCTGCCTCGGCTTCACACGGGTGCATATTACATCACATTACATTAGAAAAAACATTACATTAAAATTATCAGTGTTTCTCTACTATATTATGCATGCATTGTACATATTCTTCCTCTTAAATCTATTTAAAAAACGCATCAAAATCCATTGCGTAATTTTAAAGATCTAAGCATACATAGAGACAGACGGGAAGCGACTTTGTTTTATACTATGTAGTGATAGTAATTGATGCCTAGTATAAATCGTAGCAATAGTTCGCAACATCAGAAACGAACATATGACATATGCTAGAACTTTTGTTAAAGATAAAATTACTAACTCATAAAAAGTGGCATAGTGCTAGAAACGGCCAAACTTATCCAAGTTTAGCTGTTAACTTTGTGCTTTAAACTTGGATAAGTTTAACTGTAAATAACTTTCTATCAAATACAAAGTTACACAATGCTACTTACTTCTTTCCCTTCAAATCTTTCTAAAGAAATTTTAACGAGTTACTTTCCTGAATAAAATTGAAAATTTTCTAAATATATGTAACTTCTTTGTCAGCTTCCTAATTTGAAGCATTTACTAAAGTATCTTTTATATTAAATAATTGCTTAATTGTTTTCCAGATCGCCTCCAGATTCAAACTCTGTATTTATATTAAATAAATCTTTCTGGCCGCACTACCACTACCTGATACCGTGCGATTATAAGTCAGGAGAATACGGTACTTATGGTAAATATCAACCGCCCTAGATTTTTTTTCAAACTATTCTAATAATGTTGGCCGTAGTTGGCCGCTTATAGCTGCACCAGAGGTTACGAAAGCGGTGATAGAACTTACAGACTATTGTCATCTCCTGTCTATTAGAGACTACGTAAACTTTGTCCAAGTCTAATTGTTGGGAAATTTTTGTGCATTCCCGAGATCACGTTTTTTTTTATGCAACTTAGAATGGCAAACAAGCTAACGGTCTACCTGATGGAAAGTGGCAACCGTTGCTTATAGACATAACATATTATGTACATAACAGAATATACTGTTTCGCCCATGATACCCCCGTACGCTGCTATTCCTAAGGATTAAGGTGTTATGCCTCTATACCATGTAAATTCACTGTCATATCCGACTCTTCAACCCGTATAAAATACTTATTATAATAAAATAATATAATAAGTATAGTTTGTTAAAATTTTACAATACAAAATAATTTATCATGTATAAATATATTTTATATAAGTTTTATTTAATTTAATTTAAAATTATCCATAGATGCAGGATGTTCGACCTCGTTCATCCGTGTATGGGCTGCATTGGGACTAGCTACGGAATTAAAAACTGTAGAAACACCGTCCATACAGATTGCGTTAGCAAAAGCTGCAAAGACTAAACTACCAATAAAGACGTGTTTGGACCAAGCCGTTGCAGAACAAAAGTTATCAGAAGATCACTACCTCAAAAGAGGATAATTAATACTTTGCTATTACATTAGCAAAATAATAAACTCCTTTTAATAAATATCGAATAATAACATGATATTTATTATTTGCAAGATTACAGTGTGTTAGTTATAGGTATATACCTGATATTTTTTACAGCCACTTTTTATCATCGCTCCACTCGCCATTGACAGGGAACTTCCACACACGCTTGAACCTAAATGATCATGTACAGTGCGGTTTCAATGGAATTTTCTCCCGCGAACGCTCAAGCTGTGGAATAAGCTCCCTGCTGAGGTTTTTCCTACAGACTATAGTATTCTTTAAAAAGGTTATATCAATGTTTCTTCAGGATCAGCAACGCACACATGACATATAGTAGGCGTCCATAGGCTACAGTACCAATTTACTATCAGACGAGCTTGTATGCTTGTTTAAAAAAGTTATAAAAATCGTGATATAAAAAATTTGTTATAAAAATACAATTGAAATAAATTTGTATAGAACTAACACTGTAAAAAATATATATAATAAAATAAGTGGATTAAAAAATCCAAATATATAATAAAACACTTAAAGTGCATTTCGATAATTTCTGAAAACAAACCTCTGAATATTTGGTATAATGGAGTTTATTTATTAAAAATGAACTAACAATAAAATACTTGAGATTAATATTATTATAGTCTAAAATAATTAAAATACCTACGAAGCTCTACACAACTGATACAAAAATCTTGCGTAAGTATTTTATCAACTGCACAAAAATCTCAAATATAAATGAATCTCTAGTTTTTAGATTGTAATGTTATATTATGTAATGTGTATAGTGATACATTTTACAGTATATACCTTTCAGCTCAAATATTACATACTAAAATAACATTTTTTTTTTTCAAAGAAAATACACACATTTTCTTCGTGCTTAATAATAAAATTTAAAGTACATTATAAACGACTACAGTCCTATCTCATATATCTATATATGATTATATAGATATATAATTTTATATTTTCCATGTACATTTACTTTATCTATTTAAATATATTAAAAAGTCGTGTATAAAATACAGTTGAAAACCTACGTAAATCCTTTCTGTTTTTCCAGCAATATTCTGCAATACCTGAAAAACATAGATTTTAATGTTAGAAACATTTAATGTCTATATAAATTCAATTGTTTGTTACAAATTACGCATCCTTTCATTTTGAACAAACAGAATAAGAAATACAAGTACAGAATGTTACCAAATGTACAAAAGTCGTCTGCATGAGTGGCCTGTGGCCCGCTGTTTCTGCCATGAAACAGTTTTGCTATAATATAAGCATAACTGTATATACCGGTTTGAAGGGTGGAACATAACATTGAAATTGGATACGGACGCATAATATCTTAGTTCTCAGGAACTGAAACATATAAAGGTACTGTAGGCATATGCTGTCATGTATCATGTTTACAGGCGACGGTTGTCACTTTCCACCAGATGGGCCGACTGCTTATATACCATTCCATTTTCTATATAAAAAAAAAAACTGATTTTTTTTCTCATCGGGTACTTGTTTCTAGCCCCTCACATTTTCAGTTTTATACACAAATTACCTACTCATGCAATTTAAAATTTATTGACTGGAAAATTAAAATTAATTATCTACTTAAATAGATAAATACTCTTTATTGATTCTTCCATAAAATTACAATAGTAAATTATTATTATAATTAGTATTATAAATACAATTACAATAAAATATTAGATCGAGAAAATAAGAAATATTCAAACTGTTTCAAAAACTAAAATGAAATCTCTGTAAGATAACACTATTGTCTTTTTTGTTTATTTATCGCCGAAAGTACAGTCTTCTTTCTTTTGCCATAACACAGGACGAAACCTTAATCACCTGTAATCATTATTTAATACTAAACATCCTAATTTTATGATAGTCCGAAGTCATCAATAATATTTTATACGCAGATAACATTTAAAAAAAAATGAAAAACACAATGTGGAAATATTTATCATTGTAATGAATAATGTTATGTACCTACTTTGAAACAATGGGTATTGGGTACATTAATTTTCTTTCCTTCATTTTACAGAACTCGATAAATTTAAAGAATACATACAAAAACATTTTCAACTGTAATTGAAACAGAAATTTAAGAACATCGTATCATATAATTTATGATTTTGCAATTTGAAACGTACATTTTTAGTTATTTATCTAAATATAATAAAAATATTTTATTAGACATGTATTTTCTACCTAGTTTCACTTGCAAATTGTATTTGTCCTATCTCGTATTCTTTCTTCTTGAGACGACTAATTATGTAATAAATAACTTATTATATATGTATCTTTTTTTTTTCTATGGTTATACGTAGACAATTCTTGCAAGTTAATGTACTAATTACCTACAATTCACTGTTTCTATGAAATTTTGTAATACTTTATTTGCTATTTATTCCTTTAGTAGCCTTTTACGTGATGCTAAATAAGATGTAGTGTCAACATATATTTTTATTTCGTGACTAAAATAAACCACAACGGATGTCTATTTGTTTGTTGTTATATTAAACATATACAATAAGTAATTAAATTAATATTAACCCAATTAAATACTGACATATGATTTATTAAGGCCAGTCGAGCAAATCATGCCTATAAAACTGATACCATAAAACTATTCTCTAGGAATACGTGTATAAAAGATGTCTTTTTATTAACTGTACGATTGTATTTCTTCACAAATAATACGTCTTGATCTAAATACGTAGATAAAATTTAGCACCCTATTTATAACTCAGGTAAGCACTAGGAAAGAAATTACAAAAATATCTATTCATAAAAAACTAATATGCAATGCAAGGTGATATCGGTATAAAAAAAGCTTCTCATTCTAACTTAATAGCTGCACGTGCCATATCATCATCATCATCATCATCATCAAATCAGCCGTTAACTGTCCACTGTAGAACTAGGCCTCCCTCTAATTGGAGAGTTCTGACAGTAGTTGACACGCTTGACAGGCAGGTTGACACCACAGTCAGGCTTTGGTGACATTTTAAGAGGGACGCTGTTGCCCATTTCTCGATCATTAAATTTCCTTAGTCGCCTCACACGACGCACACGGGAAAGGAATGATTAGCCCATTCTATGTCAGGACTACATGACCCGGAACCAATTGTGACAGGATGAAATAAAAATATTTAAAAAAGTTGCTTACAATTTAGCATTCATATATTATCTTAAATTAGTTATATTATCAAAAACTAAACTTTTAAACAGATTTCGATAAAATTTCTATGGGACCAATTTATATGTATATCCATCCTTTCAGATAAAAAAGAATTTTCCAAATTAGTTTAAAATCGACAGAGTTAAGAAGAAAATTAAACCAAATTGAGAACCTCCTTCTTTTTGAAGTCAATTGAAAATTACTGACCAATCGGAACATTAAATCAATCTATTTTTTATTTATAGTTATTGAATATCAGCAGGCTGTCTTATAGTCGGGTCATTTATTCGTTTGTCCATATTTTCTAATGAAAATACTTTTATCCGCAACTTCGTCCGCATGATTGGAGTATACTTATTGGCCGAGATAAAAAAATTGCCTAAGTCCTTCTCCATGCTACATAGTAAGTACATACAATTTCATAATAACTGGTTAATGCGTTAAGGCAGTGAATGGTAACAAACATTATCATTTTCACATTTATGATATTAGTAAGGGTAATACGGATTAAATTCTATTAAAACGGACTATACTCGCCTAGCAGAGCAGCCGCTATAAGTCCAGACACGATGAGTAAAAGTGCAGAGCGCACATCAGTAGCCCTCGCAGAAGCGAAGCCAGCTGGCGGGTCGCACTGCGGCATGGATGGCACTAACGCCGACTCCAAACGGCGTAAAGCGCCGTTGCTGCGTAACTGCAACAAACTACAAAGACTTTGTTCAAATCTACCTCGAAAAGACACAATAAATTATGGGAGAAGGTACTACTGACGAAGTATTAATGACTAGCAATATCAGCAATCAGGTCGATGATCACACGGACCCCCCTCATAAACCGCCGTGGTTAATTTCCGGTGAATTCACCACGAAATGTTCCCTCATTATGTTATATCAACATGACTTAATCTTCATATATCATGTCTTACCTTACTACGCTACCATTCGCATTTTCTCCCGTTAAAAGTGAGATACAAAGAACAACTAAATTGATAATGGTGATGATGACGATAATGAAATTGGCAAGGAAATCAGCTCTAGTACTCTGAATAGTCTAAATTAGCACTCATCTGATTGATGATTCTATAATCCTATATACTCGTAATATGATCAACACACTATAAGACGATACTTGAAATATTTTGACACGTTACATTAAAAATATTTACATTTAGAAAGCAGGATCATATAACTGCAAGTAGATTCTGCTCTACAGTAAGCAGTTTTAATTATTAATCGATATCTTCAATCATCACAAATATGAGACGAACAAAAAATCCTACCGTTTGCAAAAAGTATTATCCAAATCAGTCCAGATTAAGTTCCTTTTCCTCCTTTTAAAAAATAAAGTACCCACATATGAACTCACCTTTGAGAATCCTAATAGGTTGGAAATTTTTTGAGAAAATTGTCTTAAGTTGTGTTCAATCAGTTAATAATTATTAAATAAAACTTAATTCAATTTTAATTCTGTCAATGAGACATTATTGAGAGTTAATTATACGGATAAAAATCTCGTTCGATGTGTTCGTAGTAAAATACTTTTATCACTTACGTAAAACATATGTGGTACAACCATAATAACTTCTTTTAAAAAGAGAATAAAAACTCATTTAATTTTTTTTAAATTTAGTATAAAGCACTAAATGGAAAAGTTCTGAAACTACAGGATATGGAGGCATAGCACTTTACTCCAAAATAGCAACGCATGAGGGGTAGGGATAGACGTCAGTTAGTGAGTGCCTGCTTCAGTATACTATGACATCCATGGAGCTGTTCGTATCAATAGACGACGATTACCACTTTCCATCAGGCAAGTCGGCAGCTTATTTTTCTTTTCAAGTTATATAAAAAAGCATATAGCATTGCAATTAAATATTTAAAGGATTCTGTGATTCCCGTCATTACTCACCTAATGAGTGTAAGCCTGGCGTAGGGAGACCGACGTGGCAGAGGGAACGCTAGCTGAGCTCGCGTTGAGTGCACTGGTAACTCTCGTATTGCGCACCTTCCACGAGCTTGGCTCATTGACCTGCCAATAGACTCACTATCTATCTATTGTATAGAGAACTAGTTTTTACCCGCAACTTCATCTACGTGACTGGGATATATTATAGTTAAAAACTAGCCTATATTCTTCCCTATTCTAAATACTAAGTGTATACCACATTTTATAAAAATTGATAGAGCCTTCAAAGTATCAAAGTGTAGCTTACTTACTTTCACACATTCAGATGATTACAGGATCGATCCTTGTACAATACAAACATTTGTATTTTACAGGGTATAAATTACTACGTATATACCTGTATATAGTACATATGTAATATACATGGAAAATATTCCATATATATTTACAAAAAAAAATATTAATATAACTAGTTTTTACCCGAGACTTCATCCGCGTAACCGAGATATATTGACTGACCGAGACAAAATATACCGTATATACCATATTTCATAGTTTTTGTATAAGCCGTTAAGACTCAAATAAACCAACCCATTTTCACATTAGTAAGGTTTACGAGTATAATAATATTTCTATGACTTATCTAGTCTAGCACCCATAGCACAAGTTCTACTTAATTTGAAACTAGAGGGCACAATGTAATATGATGTAGTACTTTCCCGTAAAATCTTATTACAAGTAGTCAATTCCTGTGGCTGTATTCCTCATAAATACTATCTACCCTACCGTTATAAGAAAAATTAATTTTCCATGTGAAAAACAGTATTACAGTAACATTTTTATTCCTGGTAGAAAAACAGAATTTTTTTTTGTTTACACTACTATATTATTATATTATTTATTTTATTTGCTTTTTAAACATAAAAAATAAAAACAACGGCAACATAGTTAAAGAATAGTTTCAGTCATTTATTGTAATATTAAATCAACATCATTATCTGTTTAAAATTAGCATATATGATTTTCTTTTCCATTCATCTCTATTTGCAATGATATCAGTATTCACTTCTTTTCTGGTCATCTCATATGCTCATATCAAACATAAGAAATAATAATAATAATATTTCCTTCACAATATTTCCATCATTATCCATTAGAACTGTTCTTATCTATCGATATATAGTAAAATTAAATCTTCAGAAAAATAACTACAAAAACTTTATTGTGTTGGGTACAGGAATATTTGCGTGATGTCGGAACAAACATAGAGACAAATAAAATTTCATAAATTAGAATAATTATTTTACCTTCTATTGCTCTTATTTAAACCCCTTTCTTTTATTTTTTCTTAAATATGTCAACAAAACTTATTTATTTATTTATTTATTTATTAGTACATATATGTGTATATGGCAGACTTAATGCTAAAAGCATTCTCTCCCAGTCAACCATAGGTGTCAGAATACTCGAATGCGGTACTAGTAATTATTGATATACATACATACTAAAATTACATATATAAACGAATAAATATATATAAATAACAAATATACTTACACATATATAACATACTATATTTTACACAAATTCAGATTAATATAAAGTACTTACTGCTCGGAAAATTTAGTAATATAATAGATGCGAAAGCTGACGATGGCGATAGATAGACGGATGGATAGACGTTTGTTACTCTTTCACGTAAAAACTAATGAACTGATTACTATGAAAATTGGTACACGGGTAAGTTATAAACCAACTTAGCACATAGGATATTTTATGTATTTAGAGCCATAGGATTCACCTAATATCTCACATTACAACTCAACAAACCTTAAAGTAGAGCGAGCTGCTCTTTGACCACCAAAAAACGCATAATCTTGCTTAGCCGCGCGAGCTAACCCTTCCTCTGCCGATGAAACCAAATTCTCAGCGTCCGAGTATCCACGGATATAGAACGCATTTAGTTGTGCATCTTTTGTAGACTAGAAAATATAAACATTTTTATTTATCATTCATCATCATCATCATCATATCAGCCGTTAACGTTACTACGCTTGGCAGGCGGGTTGCCCTTCCTTCAACTATTAAGTTTCCTTGGTCGCCTCTTACAACACCCATGGGAAAGTCATTATTTATGATTACATTTTAGGTAGGTAAGTGCCCTACTGCAGTTAAATAGTCACGCATAGTACAATTTCAGAGGGCTCCCTTCGCGAACACTCAGGTTGTAGAATGATTTTCCTACCGAGATTTTGCTTAGAGACTACATCAAAGGTTTCTTCATTCCGATATGTTCCTGGTGTTACAGATATCCGTTTATCATCAGACAGGTCATATGCTTGTTTGCCTTCATAGTAGTATAAAAAATGTAATATGAACTGCATTTTTCATTTTCAATCGTCATACGAGTATGACTGTCATATAGAAACTACTTGTATTATATATGCACATGAAAAAACAGGATAAATTACTAAATCAATCTAAAGGCAACATTAAAAATATAGAGATTATCCATTTAACAACTAGATTATATTAAATAACATTCTCCTTATATTTAATAATGGAGTAAATAATATATTTTATATATAACATACAAAGTTTCTATACACAATCTTTAGACATTTAGGGATTAAATTAATTTTATTCAGCATTTATAAGTAAGGGAGATTATATGCAACCTTTTAAATATAGGAAACACTACCATGAGATACATCTGGTCGGCTCCGTTCCTAATGTAGCCGATCTTGAAGTTGGGCGAATGGAGCACGGCGGCGACTGTGTCCACGCTCGCCACGCGCACTGATAACACCGATGTGATAAACGCAGCATACGCATTGTAAGTCACCACGGCGAATAGCAAACACACGATTAGCAGTATGCTCGACGCTGGATTTGGAGGAGTCCAGTTACCACCTTGAAACGAATTTTAATAACAATAATCCATAAATTTCAACGTTGTATTAATGTGAAGTATATAATTATTATAGTTTTATACTCGTCTTATTCTGATTTTAATGACTATTAATTAATTTAATTAATATTGCTTTACATAGTAATTATAATAATTAAAAAAATACGTATCATAAGACCCTGTAACGGACGTATATGAATAAAATTTGTTTTGATTGAAAAGAAATGAATGTTCTAATCTTACTAATATAATAATATAACTATATAACTAGTTAATTATTAACTTTCGCATTGTTGGCACATATTTTACACTATCTTATTAATATTAATTATTAGTCGTTGATTTTTTTAATGGAAAATAATGGAATGGTAACCCTGCCTGCGCTATCGGTATACACTGGCGGGGCACCAGCGAGAGATGAATCATAAAGATGAAAACTACGAATTCAACGATAAATTCCAGGTTGGTTTCCAAGGGGAACCGCGTGGAGGTCCACTTAACAGGTATATTAATAGCGATGAAAACTAATCTTCTCTATACTAACAATCCTTTCCCCCCAGTAGTCGTCAATTTACAAATAGGTACGAACATAGCCGAGTCAATCCGATCGTTGGAACATCTTTTTTTGGGAGGAAAGAGATTGTTAGTAACTGACCCATTTCTAGCAATACACCCTATTAGGTCGACCTCCATGCGGTTACCCCTGAAAACCATCGTGGTTAATTCTTGTAGAATTCGTCACGATGAACTGCTTTCATCGTCACCTATCATCCCTCACTGATGCCCCACCAACGTATACCGATAGCGCGGGCACCCCGCCTACCACCCATTAAAAAAATCTTTTTTTATTTGTAAAAATTACCAATTATCAATAAAAGTTTTAGTAAAAATATATTTATAGTAAATTGCGATAGTTATTATTAAAGTAAGTATAAAAAATAATTATTAGGAAATTATTATAACGTTTATTACGACATTAATATATTTTTTGGCGTTTTCTCATTTGTTTTTTTTTTTTCGTCGTTGTTTTCACTGACATAGTAGTAGATACAGACTGGAATGGACTTCGTAATAGCACATACAATAAGAACTTTGTTGTAATTAGCTACTAATTAATAAAATCATTAGACTACGGAAATTAGTATATTACTAATTTAGTAGTTGAATTATAAAATTTATAATTACTAATTATTCGATCAACAAAATCATTCGGATTCGCGCATCACTCGTCTCGATAGTGTATTTAAAATTATAACTATATTCGTACATATTGTGCTCAGAGGAATTGTTCAATATGATGCCCACGACCACTTTCTACCATCGTACGGCTCTCTCGCCATCGACAGGGAGTCCACCCTCATACCCTAAAGCCTAGAAAGTCGTATACAATATGGTTTCAGAGATGTTTTGACGCGACATAAGTTTTGGTATCAGTTTAACAGAATATAATAAAAAGATCTATATCGTAACTAAACAAGTTACTATTTCCATTACCCTATTATAGCATTTTATTTAATAGAATGAATATTTTTTTAACTAGGCTATACCTATAAGTTTATTCTGTACCAAAGTTTCTTCAAAGTCTTCAAGAGGAAGGATTATCAGTAATAGAACCTAGTGATCCCATTGTTAGCGATGTAGTTTTTCTTAATGGGTGATAATGGAATAATAACCGCGACTGCGCTACAGATATACGCTGAGTACAATTTAGGAATGATATGTGAGGATAAAAGCAAATTCATTGGTTTCATCGTGGTAAGTTTTCAGTTTTCAGAAGGAACCACGTGGTTGTGGACCTGATAAGTATATTGTTAGCAATAAAGTCACCAGTCTCCATTAAATACAAACAATCCCTTCCCACTAATGTATAGTGTTGCAGAAATCTGTAACACCATAGTAATTGTTCATTGCACCACAAAATTTTTGTATGACACACAAAATTTTTTGGTGACGTAACCAAAAAATTTTATGTGTCATACAAAATTTTTTAATAATATAAAGAAATAACTTGTTCTTTTTATTACAATTCATCTTCAAAATACTTATTCCGAAATAAATATTGTCTATAACATGTAAATACGTTCGCATATTTACCATCATTTCCTCATTGTGTACGATATTGAAACCCCTTTTCTACCGCCGTTCACCCCATCGATACGGCACTGTTATTTCTCATTCTTATTACATGCTTCATCGATCAATACCTCTTTTTTTTCTTATTTCTTAAAGTGGCGTGTTAACTCAACCCAAACAAAAGTAAAACAATTCATAATTTTATAAACATTAAAATCAAAATTTGTTTACTATGCCCATGCCTATAAGAACGAACCGTCCAACTTTAAACACCAAAGGTTAGCTAAAAGCCTTTTCTATGAATTGAAAATAAGTAATAATAATGGCATCTATATTTCTTTTGTTTTTCTGTCTTCTGTTGAATGTTCTTCTATCACAGAAAACATAATAAAACCTACTTATGTTTGGTGTTATTTATATTCAAGATACTTTTGCCTTGTATAGACATTATATATAATATAGTTAGGTGTAACCTTTATCTAATAATGTCATATTTTTATCGTCTTCGTAATTTCAGTGCCTGTTGAATCTCCTCCTACTCCAAAATATATCTCGCAAAACCTAAATGAGTTTTGTAATAATTTCAGTTTTGTTCCTTGTATTTTAATGTAAAATCGTTGTTATAACATGTACACTAATAAAACTCTTGTTTTATGTTATATGTAACATAATACAAATAAAACTTGGTGTAAACCTTAGATTAGAAATAATGTAGATTGATTATATAAAAAAAGATATAGAATCATGTAGATATATTGGAACGAGATTGACAAACAGGAAATTTACGTACGCAATATAAACTCAAAAAGGATTTGATAAAAGTATGAACATAATAAAATCTGATCATTATTATTACAATTTGAAATGAATTTTCTTTGAACTGATTGTAGTTGACTATAGTTAAGTGTATAGTATGTACCTCGATTAAAAATTATAAATAAATTAGAAAAACATAAACCACAAAATTGTATATTTTTCACATCAGTACTATATAACAGTTAACTCTTGCATGTTAAATGCAATATTATGAAATCATCGAAATATTTTGTACAATAATAGGTAAAAAAAACATTTAAATCAAATAAATTTCTGAACTCCCCAAAACTGACCAAATATTTTTATTATATTTCAAATATTTTTGTTATTTGCTACTGCAATGTTTTTGCTATTATATTTCCATTCCTTCAGTACATGAATAAATATGGTATAAATGCTCTGCAAATATTTTACTCATATAAAGTACAGATAGCACATTTGGAGAAATCGCAGTGCTAGACTGCCATAAGTAATGGTCCTGAGAATATTTGCATCCATTCACTCCGGTAAGATGATGAAAAAATAGAATTATTTACATTATTAATTAAATATAACATTGTTTATCTTAATACTAAATAGAAAGTATAATAGCACGTACTCCTAGAACGCGAATGTAATTGGTAAACAATTACCACAGCAAAGTATTATAATTATGCATGACGTAACTTATGCATATTTATAATACGAGATGTCACGTTTCCGACCCTAAACAAACCTTAAACTATACTATATACTGTAGTCAAACTTTTTATTTTTATAATTTTGTCATGATACATATTTCGATAAATTATTATGTTTTCAATATTATAAAAAGAAACAAAAAGAAAAAATATTTTTCAGGTAAAAATAAAGATAAATTTTAAGATTTTTTTTATAAATATTTTATAAATATAGTATTGTTAAAATGATCAATTTTATGATTTTAACAATACTTTTTTCATGATTCTACTGTCCATTCAGGTTACAATTTTCACTGAAACAGGCAAGAAAGTCAGCCATTTTTTTAAGTTGAATTTCATAATGTATATACCTTGTTGGCAGAGAATTCCTGTGGACCAAATCAAAGCTTCAGTGTATCCCATGGGACGTTCCTTATTCCGAATAGATGGTGCGACTTTACTAATCAGTACAACTGCCAGAGAAGCCACCAAAGCCACAGCCACCACACATGTGACGAGCCGAGCACTGAACGGAGCGAGAAATATATCTCTCACAGTAGACGTCTCTTGTTGCCGGATGTAAATGTTGCACCTGAAAACGATTTTATAATGAGAAAAAAATCTGTAAAACATTTCAGAGAAACCCTTAACCCCTTTTTATTTTATTTGTATGCAACTTAGAATGGCAAACAAGCTTATGGCCCATCTGATGGAAAATGGTAGATCATCCGCCGCCTATAGATCATAAATAGTACCATGAACGTAACAGAGTATACTGTTTCCCCTATAATACACCCCATACGTTGCCATTCCTGAGAATTAAGGTGTTATGTCTCTGAAGTCTGCAAATTGACTGCCATATCCCATCCTTCAAACCGAAACACAGCCATACAAACACAACGGCTTCACGGTAGAAACACGAACGGAACAGAGGTAACCAAGCAAACATCTTGGTATTATTCATAAAAACTAAAAGTCCTACAAAACAATTTTATATATTAGAGTCCTTTGCTATTTATTAGAGTCTTTCAAATTAAGGAATTAGTAAAAAAGACAATGATAAAGGCTTCAATACCTAAAATAGGTTTTTAAAACATTTGACGTTTTTATGAATAAGGGAGTTAGTCATTTGCTTGCAGCTCTAGCAAAAAAAATATTGTTGTCGTTCTCTTAGTTCTCATGGTCACCCATTAGCATCTTGATCGTAACTTAGTATCTTAAAAATAAGTAATACAGTATTATTCATATTATGAAGCCGAAACCCACTGATACCAATCAAAGGTTTAAAAATTCCACCTATGCTTGGGACTATCACTGTATATACGGCTAAAAGTGTAAAAAATAAAATATTCAATTTTTAAATCTGGATCCTATTCGTTTAAAATCAATAGGTATTCATTTTACTATTTTTTTAATATTAATTTCATTACAAATACATGTCAAGGTGCACACGTGCTTATCCGCGCGCCATACGCGTCGAAAAAGCAGAGCGAAGCAAATTTTAGAATTTTATGAAACATCGATAATTGATGCAAATGTGCTAATTCATCTACGACGAACTGTCGATGTTTTTTTTATTTCTGTCTTTTCCGCACAATCATCCTTTTAACGCTAAGTTCTACGAGGACCTTCGAATTTTTTTCACTATTACGAAACAAGCCAACGAACCACCTGATACAAAGTAGTACCTAAGCGTCACCTATAGATTTGAACATCAAGGAAAATACAGAATTCTGCATATACGAGTATATACATACTTATTATATTTATATTGAAAACAAACAAAAAGAGATTGTGCTATGGTTGCTCTTCAGATAGAAATTACTCTTCCACCTTCTTCATAGAAATTAGCATGTAGATATGTATTAATTATTACGATTATAACTCATGCAGATAAGTAGATATACATCGACGACGTACGCCATAAAGATTGACCACTGGCACATTCTTCTCTCTGTCTTTACTGTAAAGGACTTAACGTAAAATATAAGTAAATAAATAAAATAAATCTTACATAGTCTCTGCTATGGGAAATATAAAATTCATGTCTTGATGTCTAGACGCATCAGCAGTGACAGGCTCGAGAGCGATATCCACAGAGTGATCCATCAGAGCCCCAAGAAGACCTGTCCATGTCCCTTCATAAGTGCGGAGCCCGAGCTTGCTGTAGTAGCGACTCAGCGAACTGTTGGCAATAAAACTTTTGAAACTTTTTAAATAGACTTTTAAGATGGGTGTAATATTCACTAGGTATCTATCTAAACTTTTTTATTTCTTTCGTGCAAGTCTCTCGTAAAACATGATGTGACGAGTAAAAAATAAAGAGAAAAATATTAATTGATTGTTAATAAAGAGAAAAACTTGAGTCATTCTGATGAACTTGAAATAATATTTTAGAAAAACTGACATCTTTTTATAATCCTCCTATAATATATCTATAATCTCTCCTATATAAAATGTCCTAATAATCTTTCTCAATTGAACAAATTTCAATATTAAAATATTAGTTGCTATGAAATTCCTTAATTAAATAAAATAAAAATAAAATTTTGTGTTTAAAATAAATCAATAAATTAATTAGATTAATAGCAATAAAATCGTGACCAAAAATGTCATCATACTGTGTAAATTTTATTTATTTATTTAGCTAGGTATTACTCGACTATCTTCTACCAAAATGTCCTAATTATCTTTCAATTTTCAAAAACGATTGAACAATTTTCAATATTAAAATGCCAGATGCAATGAGATTCTTGTTATACCATTACTAAATATTTGGATTTTGACGGCATAAAATTTTATTATATTTTATATTATTATTTATCAAGCAGTAAATTTTATTTATTTATTTATCCTAACACATGAATATTGCTAAGAATTACTCGACTATCCAAGCTGATAACTAATAATTATTTATTTATTTTTTATTATTTCTCTAATACAATACTTGGATGGATAATGTTATTGAATGTATATTGAAAGATAATATTCAGAATCATAATAAAGTGATTATATTATAAAAATTACAATTTATTGCATGATCTACCACTTGTACAGTGGACTATGCATAGAGGAATTATTTGATATGATGCCCACGACCACTTTTTACAATCATACAGCTTGCCGCCGACAGGACATACACCCTTATATCTTACAACTTGGATGGTCGCATACAGCACTGTTTTATAAATGTTTCCTCCCACGACCGCTCAGATAATAGAATGAGCTTCCTATCGAGGTTTTCCGAAGAGACTACAGCGTCAAGTTCTTCAAAAATGGAATAAAGTTTTTTAAAGATCGGCAATGCGCGCGCAGTACTTTTGGTATTGCAGACGTTCATAGGCTACCACCATATACCATAACCGCTTAAATATATATAAAAAATAATATCCAGTCTATCTGATATCTCCTAGTCATCATCATTTTAACCATTAATTGTTTACTAATCTCAAAAGATATTTCAAAAACTCTGTGTACTTATCCTAGACTAAATGATCTGTGTATAGCTAATGAATAAACTAACTTACGTAGAATTAAGACGATAACTAAGAAAATGTAGTACATCGTCCAGTAAAGCTGGGGCAGATGGTTCATCGTCCTCCAAGGAAGTTGATCCGTCCCCAGTCGAATTACACCTGCCCACCATGAACTGCTCACCGAGAAAATTACGAGCCTCCACAGGGTAAGGAACTTCCACTCCAGACATAGACTGCTCTCTATTCCAACAACCTGTAGATAGACTACTACTCTCAAAAAGTAAAATATTTTTTTTTAAAACATTATAATCAAATAGATACCAAAAACAAAAATTGTTATCTACCTATGTCAACAACACGTACATAATAATACGAGTATATACTTTTGTAAATAAATTTTGAAATTTAATTCCTCCAAATACAAGACTATGTTCGCGGAAAAATTAATATGAGACTGACAGAAGTGACCTAATCAAATATAAAAAAATCATTAAAAATCAGTTCAGAATTGGCTAATATATCCTTATAAAAAGGATCGATAATCAGTTTATAAAAGTTCTTTCCCATACAGAAAATACATTACCAGTAATAACATAGGCTATATATTAATTTAAAATATTATCTGACCCTTAAAATAACTTCTAACAAAATCATTTAATTTAATATTTTATGATACTTAAATAACAATAAAACAAACCAACTGATGGAAATTAATTATAAAAATGAAAAGCACTGAAAAGTGAAGAAGATCACAGAATACACGGTGACGTGTGTCTCATGTGTTGCTATTACTGTTATTCCTACGTATCATTTAATTTCATTTATAAACTATATCTATCTCTTCAATTTTATATAACAACTTGCATAACTGTGTTTCTGGTTGAAGGGCAGTTCAATTACAAGGGTATAATTAATACCGTAGTTCTCGGGAACGGCATCACTTGCAATGTATTACGAGCGTATCAATAATAACGTATTCAATTCTCAAATTCAAACGAGGGTAAGTGACAATTAAATGTAAGGAACATACAAACCTAAAAAATGAGCATACAACGTCGAATTAATTCTGACTTTGAAATATTGTACTATATAAAAATGCATCTTATTTTTATCAGATCGCTTCCCCGCAGTCCAACATTTCTTCGATTGCTGCCACAATGAAAATCTGCTTATGTTTGTCATCTCGAACTTTCGAGTATAGTTATAGTTTGTCCACCCGGACTGTAATAGAGGTACTAATCTTCCAGATTTCTTGTAAACACGATTTCTAGTAAGATTTCTAAATCTATCCGATGTACGATAATAATTCCTTTCATAGTCGGTTTTAAGACATTCATGGCGGTTACGCGCGTCCATGATTGACACTTATTATCGTGATAATTAAAAGAAGGTCTCGTAGCTCTATAAGCATTTCCATTTCTTTTTTTATAGAAGAAATTAGCATCGCAAAGCCCTAAAGAATGGACACCCATCTGATAATGATTAGATGGATACGCCACTATGATATTCTGGTCGAAACGAATCGATGTTGCATTCAGTATCTCATTGACATACTTAAGGTCCTGCTCCGATCTTGTACCTATCAGCCAATCATAAGCAGCCGTATTCATTTCTATTTCATGTAACTGAAACAAAATACAAACTCGGTATAAATGGATTAATATAATATATTCCTTGACTTTAGTAATTTTTTCTTACAACAATCGGCAACTTTAATTGCTAACCCATTGTTAAAACGACTAACATTATATATATATATATATATATATATATATATATATATATATATATATATATATATATATATATATATATATATATATATATATATATATATATATATTATTATTTTTTTTATGCAACTTAGAATGGCAAACAAACTGACGGCCTACCTGATAGAAAGTGGTAACCGTCGCCTATAGACATGAGCAGTACTATGGATATAACAGAATATACTCTTTCGCCCATGATACCCCCCATGCGTTGCCACTCCTGAGAACTCAGGTGTTATTCTTCTATACCCTGTAAATTCACTGTCATATCCCACCCTTCAAACCGAAGCACAACCATTCAAATACAACTGTATGCTCTGTTATGTCCATGGTACTGCTCATGTCTATAAACACACACACTTGTTTGCCATTCTAAGTTGTATAAAAAAAAAATAATAAAAAAAAACTGTTTCCCGGTAAAAACACGAATAGGATTGAATTTGATTGAATTCAATCGAGAGAGGTGCCCAAGCAAACGATTATTGTACAAAGTCTCCCTCTGGTCCGTTCAACTCATAATCTTCTTCAGGCAACACTATCACATCATTCTATCCAAATCGTTGAATCTTATTCCATGATAAACATTTTAGTTCACTATCTGCTTGCATGGCATATTAATATGGCAACCAAATGTTGAGATGGATGTGTGGGGTATCAATGAATGACAGAATAAAAAAAGGTGTATGTATGGGGAAATATTAAAATTGCTCTAATAACGGGAAAATTGCGAAGTAATGAAATATCTTTGTATGATCATGTCATGCGCAGGAATGTGAGTCATATATAAAATAAGTGTTAAATATGAAAGATCACATCATCACTTTAGATAATCACATCATCGTAAGATCGTGATCAATTGCAGGAACCTTAAATAAAGAAAAAAAAAATACGGGGTACACCAGGTCCTCAATTCTCAGGAATGACAAAGCATGATGGGTACTATAGGTGTCACAGGCTATTCTGTATGTTCATGGTGCTGTTCATGTCTATAAGCAACAATTATCACTTTTCATCAGACGGGCCATTAGCTTGTTGGACATTCTAAATTAAAAATTTAAATATTAAAAATTGTTCAAATGTTGTAAAATTGACTGATACTTCGACATTGGCACACTTAAAATGTTTATAATACCTTCTTTAGCAGCATAGTCAGTTCGCTCGTATAATTTTGCCGTAGCCGTGGCGTCAAAATCACGACGCCAATACGCGCTTGAATCCTCACAGTACCCACTGGATTAAAGACAGAAGCCACCCCGTTTACTGCTAAACATTTCATTAGTCGGACAACAGCCCATTCACAACCTTAAACAAAATATATAAGTAAACAATACGGTGAAAGGAAAACAGTATTTTAATAGTCGACACATAATAATATATTCTTTTGCTCTCTATATATATATATATATATATATATCACAAACAAGTGCAATAAATATATATATATATATATATATATATATATATATATATATATATTCCGTATATATATATATATATATATATATATATATATATATATATATATATATATATATATATATATATATATATATATATATATATATTAATTTCGATCGTGTTCTTCATTTCAGCATTGAATATTGGATAACAGACATTTAACGCATTCGTTGTTAGGCTAGTATCTAGCTATTATAACTAAAATATATAAATATTGCTGTACTATACCCACCCCTACTTTGTACATAATTGATATATTATTCGAAAACTTTTAGACTCTTTCATAGTTTGGTCATTCAAGGAATTTTCAAATGTTTATTTACAAGTTTTCTCTGTGCATAATTTCCAGACTTAAATGTAAATAAACAATCTACTTACAACGGTACGAAACAAAAATACCGATTCGTGCAAAAAAAAAAACAAGGGTATATACCTATGCCGAAATACTGATGAATTGTGCATAATTTACGCATTAATTATTATAAAGTATATTTCTCTGTTTGTCTGTTCACCCACCTCTTTTCACCACCGTATCAAATTTTCTGGACGAAATTTGTTATTTTTTCAAATACCTAGTTAAAGCTTGGGTTAATAGAAAAGCTTTAATTATAAAAAAATAAGACACTTGCGTCCTAAAATAAATGTTTATCTAGGCAGTTCGAGCACCTAAATACACAATTGGCTACATCAGACGTCTGGAGTCTCAATACGAGATACTCAAGTACGAGCCAATTTAGTAAAAAAAAGTAATTTCCCAAATAGTCCTATCAAAAATCGAACCTGAGATATCATTTACACAAAGCAAAGCAATATGCCTTACTTTACACCGAAACAGCAATTGCATATTATAATAATTATGTAATTAAATATCAGTATGATGACTCATTAACCACTATTCTTCCGTATATTGCACACTAAAATAAACGGCGTTTATTAATTTACATTTTGTTACACTATTTATAAAAGTAATAAATACAATAAGTTTTGATGAGAAATGACACCAAAGGCGTCCCTATATCTAAACAATCTCTTCTAGGCAACTTATGGGTTTACCCAAAAGTTACCCTTTAGAACATTGAAAAAAAATATGGTATTTGGCGCACTATTATATATATACTAATATATACAAACATGTATATATTAACATATACGTAAATACATATATGTATATACATATATGTAAATATAAACAAATGTATACATAAATATACAAATAGTTAATAACACACATACAACAGGAGAAAATGAAGAAAAAAATAAAGAGAGAACACAGGAAAATAGTACTTAAAGGGAGAGGTTAATAGGACTTAATAAAGGTTTTGAAACTAGCAAGAGTTTGAACAACTACATTTACTAGTAATTATTAAATCCGATAATATATTTTCCAATAAATTAAATTTTAACGTACATACCTACGTGACGAAAGATGGTTGAGTAAAAATGCAAAAATCGCTGCAGGCACGTAGGACTCACAGTGATCCGACAGACACGGGTCGCTGCAGTTTTACTTTTGAAACATTATAACATACTTTGTTTATATTTTAATTTTTTTCTTACAGTTTTATGGTGTTTTTAATTATTTTGCATTAAACAAAGAAGAATCGCTTGTTCTTTGAGTGCCTATGATCTTCAGGTATGTACAACACTATATTTAATACTGTAGCGTAGACAGATGTTTTACCCCCTTATTTATAAAAACTAAAACGTCCTTTGAAACCTTTTTCAATTATTATAGAGTTTTGTACTATCAAATAGAGAAATAAACAAAATTGCCTTTCTATAACTTATCCTTTTACAAAAAGGATATATAAAAGAAAGAGTATTTCTATAGCTATAATTTAACAGTCTGTTCCAAGAAAAGGACTTCAATTATAGCAAAACCAGATATTTTTATTTCTAAAATTTGCTCACCTGATGGTAAGCGGTTACCGTAGCTTATGAACGCCTGCAATAGCAGGCGTATTACGCGCGTGTTGGCGACCCTGAAGAAACCTCTTTACCCCCTTTAAACTACTAAATCGATTTTGATAAAATTTCTATGGAATGAATCTGTAAATATATCCTTTAAAATAAAAAATAATTTTCCAAATCAGTTTATATCTAATGGAGGAAAGATGTAAACATAAAAAAGGTTTGGCGTTTTACGTTTAGGGAGCTTTTTTGATGGGTAAAATTTAAATGATCACTCTGCCTGTGCCATCGGTATACGCCGCACCAATGAGAGATGATATATAATAATAATAACTTTATTGTAGCTAAAAATCGGGTACACAATTTTTTATACAGTGATTACTACACTAGGCTCGCAGGCCTGTATCGTAGTAATAAGTGAGTAGCTAATTTAGTTCATATTTATTGCATTTACAGTCCGGTTCCTGTACAATTTTATCATTTAGGTACTCGAAACTTAAAATACATTTGAAATGAAATAAAAAAATAAAATACATAACTAAACAAGAAAAAAAACATTATTGCAAAATATTTAAGGTTCCATAAGGTACTTATTTCTAATACTATTACATATATTTATTATAGAATATGATAGATGAGAATAATTAAATTGACCTGTAATTAGCCCACTGTGATGAATTCCAGAAAAATGGTTTCTTGTGGGGAGAGGGAGTTGTATAGTTAGCAATGGAGCTATTATTATTCAATGGTAAAGATAGCTAATAATGATTTCGGATAGTTACATATCTATGCAGAAAATTACGTTTAAAAGTTTTTAATTACTTTTTTACCGTAAAATATTTTTCCGCGACAAAAAGTTGCCTATTAAGTAACTTATTATCAGTGCTCTGATAAATTCTTCATGACAAATCATATTGACTAGTTACGGTATTTTGTGACGTAAAAAGAGAAAAAATGAAGTAGATCACTTGAAGATAAAATAATTAAAAACATAGGTACACCAGGTCATCATAGACCTTCAGGAACACAACTGTGAAACCCACATCCACTTTGGTGCAATATTTTTTAAGTGAAGTCGGAACAAACACAGACAGACAAAAATTCTAAACCATATTAGTTTTGACTTATATTGTCCTCTCCTAAGATATCTCGCATATTTTTTCTTAAATAACTCCCATGTGTAAATATCGTCCAGCTGCAATTTCATTATATGAGTATTAGTAAAATGTTACGCTATTCTTCGCAAGACCGATTGTGATGATTCTTATGCAATTTATAGGGTTGGTATCCATACTGGTCTCATACTAATTTTGAAAACATTAAAATATTTTGGTTTATTTTTACAAAATCTTAAATTATATTATTGTATAAAGTGGCATTAAGTGAAATAAGATGAGAGGTGTGCATCTTGAACAATAAAATGAAAATTCGCTAATTTTGAATATATATATATATATATATATATATATATATATATATATATATATATATATATATATATATATATATATATATATATATATGGTTTTAGCATACCACGATCAATATTAGGAATATAAATGTAAGCCTGATGCCAGCCTCGCCAAATGGCATGATCCAGTACATACGGGAACGGTGCCAGTACATCATAGGGGCAAATAGCACGTATTTTAGCACTTGCACACAGAAGGATATACGAATACAATGCAATAGACGGCATAATCTGAAAATAAGCATCATGATAAATGATAAATAGAGAGGCTTTATACAAAAGTTTAAGAGAGTAGTCTATACCACTCATATGTCTGCTGGTAAACAACTCGTGGCTGTGTTTATCAGTTTAAAGGGATGGGATAAGGAATGCAATTACTTTTATTATAATATCTTAATCGACCTCAAGAATAACAACATATGGGTTACTGTTGACACAATATATTTTATGACCGTCATTGCCACTTTCCATATTTTTTTATTAAATCTGCTATACCAGAAGACACATATAGAGTACATAAGTTGATTTTCTATAGATAATTGAAACACTCATGTAATTTATTATAAAGTGCCAACTCAACATTTTATTGTAATGTATAGGGTAGGCAGAAAATATGATTATAGAAGCAATAATTCATTTCCTAATAGACAGACAAGCATCTTCTACAATTTTGCCTGCCAATTGAACTTTCACTATCGCAAGACATTTAATGTCATAAAGTTAAATTATTTCTCCAAGTTCATGGAACCATCAACTGGGTGTCAAATTAATATTATTTAGTTTCAACATGCCTTAATAGATACTTATTATTTAAAAAATAATTAAAATAAACCTGTAAATATCTAAATACTCGTAGTTTAATTATTCGGATATGTAGAGATACAGGTAATCATTACATAACTGTATTAATGGTACTTACAACTTTATTTTGAATATTTTAGTGGATATGAAATATGTCATTCAAAGACGAGACAATCTTCTTAAAATTGAAACAATGGGTATGCACAACAACAACTTCATGAGTTCATAATATTGTACTTATAAAAATAACAGAAAATCCGTCAACATCAAATAGGGATACTAATCGTACAGAAGGCGGTAGACATTTCTAAAATTCTATGCATGTCCCTATATAAAACAAATTATTCCTGGCCATGAAACTGTTTCATTAATTACTGATAGGTAGATACCCAACCTATTGTGTTAGGTGACATGTTTAGGTCGAAAGCTATGTTTCAATTAATACAATGGTATCGTAATAAATCGACTATTGCTTATAAATGGAAATATCTCCAATAATTTGTAATGGTACGTCTGTAGGTATTTAGTAACAAAGGATAATAAACTAATATATTTTTTAATAATTCGACTACAGCTGTACACGCGAGTTCGCTCGCATGAAAGAGAAATTTTATTTGACCGAGATAAAAATTAAACAAAATTAAATAAAATTATTTTAATTATTTAAATAAATATAACCTTTTTAGCCGTGCTCAAATCTAAAAAAGCTTTCGGGCCCAACCAACGGACAGAAATTCTAAAGGCTATGGCATTCGTAGGAACTGACAATCTGCACAAAATATGTAACAAGATTTGGCACACAAAGACTGGCTCTCCGATTAGACATTTGCCATTTTTCCTAGGTATTTTTATCTAGTTACTTGGTGTGTCTAAAATACTATAATTTCAACTATGCATTCCTGAGTATTAAGATAATATCTCTGCCTTTTGTCAAGACAAATTACACTGACTAGCCGTCTTACCTTTCATACCAAAATATAATAACACATAAATCTCGTTATCGTTCGATAAATAAGTATTATAAAGATAGTTAGCAAATACCCATGGTATATGGTATATGGTTGTTGTGGTAAATGATCCTAGAAAAGCCTATGATCAATGCAATAAGAAACATCGTTGTCATCATTACAAGGTATCTATAGTACACATTTGAACTCTCACACTTTTCGCTACAGAGTAAAATCTCGCATCGTCTTCATCCATCAACTTCTTACACACTTTTAAGAGTGTTACATCATTGTGTGAGAGGTCGCATGGAAATACGTGTTTAGGTACATCTGCGACATCTGCGAAATTTCTATACTCGTATTAGTAACTTAATATCTACCTTTACTTACCTTAACTACCTGTATTTTTTTATTGGGTAATAATAAAATGGTAACTCCGCCTGCGCTATCAGTATACGCTGTCAAGGTACCAGTGAGAGATGGATAATTGACGATGAAAGCAGTTCAATTAGCCCATCGTAACGAATTCCACTAGAATTAACCACGATAGTTTCCAGGGGAAACCGCGTGGAGGTCAACCTGATGAGGTGTATTACTAGTAATGGGAAAATTAGAACCTATTACCAACAATCCCTTCCCCCCCCCCTGACTACTTATATTATCTACCACAGTATTTGATTTAAAACTGTGCTATAGATCAACTGCCCTCTTAGACAAACTACATATGAATCTATTGATAAAATCGTTACCGCTAGCGAATTCCTAAGATACGAATGAAATACTCAAGGAAAAAGAATAATTCACCTGAACAAATGACAGTCTGGTGATGTCCAATGTTAGTATTTAAAAAAATCAATTAATTGATACAATGTTTTTCATTTATTCATTTCATTCCTATTTAAGAGCTGCGCTATTGTCGATTTTTCACTCACTACGATTTTTACCACTCAATACGATTTTGAATAATGTATTACTAATTTCTTTTAGATAGTGTTTCTATGATTAGTTCAAGAAAACTTGGTTACCTTTTCATTAAGTTCTAACTATATCAACAAGAAAAATGCAAAACCATACAATCAATCATTCTCCCAATCGCTACTGTATGATCCGCTATGATCAACTAAAATTTTGTTTATTAATCAAAACTGTATTTCAAACAAGCACTCGATATGGCTTATCGCTTGAGACTGATTTATTAATACAGGCCTTGATGCCTATATACAAAGTTCTATTCCTTATACTCAGTTGCTAATTAAATGACTAAATTTGCTATAGCGGAGTACCGATTCAATCCAGACTGTGGTTCAAAGCTTATAGTACCGTTAAACTACATAATGCCATTTCAATAGAATGTAAACAGTTTAGACCTATACCTAGGTAAATGTGACTTTCGAAATACGAAAGAAATTTATGGATCAAAAACCCAATTCAAGGAAAATATTTTAAAAATTACAAAAATACGTACCTATTCTATTAGAAATCCGATGTCGTCTATTACTGGACAGGGGTTGCTGGTTAAAGATGCCACTGTTACCAAAAGAGTACCGATATTAATAGCATATTTTATTTCTTTTTCAGAAAGTCATTATGTCTCCTGTAACTACACAAATATCTGTAATTGATAAAGATAAAACTAGTCATAATAGAGTTAGTCGGGATCACAGACTCAAAGACGTCTACAATATAAATAATAAAGACATAACGTATAAAACCGCATATGACCGCCTACTGCCCAAAAACGAGTCCAAATTCCTCAGATTATTAAGAGCTTGGGAGAAACGTGTAGGATTCGTAACACCCATTCGATGGATAGACTGCGTATTAATAATATTATTTCATATTGTTACAATGGTTTGGTCTATCTACACACTGATTTATAACAATAATATTATGTGGCAAACAATTATGTTTGGTAAGTATAATCATATTTCTTCACTCTCTTATAGATTATAGAAAACAACGGTGACGTCATGCAAAAAATACGATAATGTTAATCAACCATTTGGAAGTGTAAGAATCATTCTTTCCTTACGCCAACAAATGGAAAGCACTTACATTTAGTACCTGCCTAGAACTGTGAACCTAAGTTTGTTCCGTTTGTACCTATCATCTCCTCTTTGTTAATCTGTGACAAGTATGGTAATAATTGGTATATTTGCATGCAATATCGCGTAAATAACAAACATGTACAAATCACAATTCTTATTATTTCTTATAAATGTAATTATTTTGTATTATTTTAAAAGCGGAAAACTTTGTACGAGTAAAAAGTTATATACTTAGATAATATGTTCGTCCCACTCAAATTTATATTGTCAAGCAACTCAGCCTACATGAAGGTGTTTTAATTTTAATGATATATTTGGCAGTGAAATTACAGGATATGAAAATCTTAGTCCTCAAGAATGGGAACACAACGGGTCACATAATTATTAGTACTATTTTTAAATGGAATCGAATGGCATCTTATATAAACTTAAAAAAAAATGTATAAATACCACCAATATATGTAAATAATAATCAAGAATGTTACTACTTACTTAAATGTTACAACTGTACTAAGAAAATATAACTAACGGTGCAGCAGCACCGTCAGTTATATTTTCTTTTTTTATATCTACGATTCAGTAGATAATTCCATATGGCGACCGTTTTTTACTCGTACACTGTCTAAACGTATTAAAGATCAATTAACAAATCATACAATTTGTCAATTTTTACCAAAACATCGCATAATGAAAATATAAATCCACTAAATTACTATTTTACAATATTAACTATTAGACTCTCGAGCTACATTTTATGTATTATAAAAGACGAGATTTACGCGATCATTTAGGTAAACTATGAGAATTTAACTCAATTATCTCTACATTTTGACTCAATTACACTGACTGTGGTCTTCAAAAGTATTATATGATGTAGGACAATGAGTGAGTTAAAGAAAATACTTCTGTCTCAGAAGTCGAAACGTAGAGATAATTCAGGTAAATGATCTTAACATACTTTACTTAAATGTTCGTATTATTTCACAACATAATTTTCAGCTTTCTTGATGGGTCAAGTTGCCGGATTTGGTGTAACAGCTGGAGTGCATCGCTACTGGTGCCATCGGTCGTACAAAGCCAAATTGCCTCTACAAATAATACTGCTTTTCTGCTATTCTCTTGCTGGACAGGTACTTTAATTATATTCACTACACACGATTAAACGACATCGATTTTAGGTACAAGTTTTAATTTTAATAATAACATTTATTCATGTATTAACAGAATAGTATTTACGATTGGGTTCGAGATCATCGAGTACATCATAAATTTTCTGAAACATCAGCTGATCCGCACGATGCACGGCGCGGTTTCTTCTTCTGTCATGTAGGTTGGCTCATGATGAAGAAACACCCAGACGTGATCGCAGAAGGCAGCAAGACTGATATGAGTGACATCAGTAATGATCCTCTCGTAAAGTTTCACACTAAGTAAGTACTTCCATGTTAGACTTTTTCATGGCAAATCAGGGTTCTGCAAAAATTATACCGGCGTTTTGATAACGTCTCATGCAAACTGTTTGCAACAAACAAACAAATATTCAATCTTGCTGTCAATCTTTATATTTAACATCCTGTATATTAAAATCGATTAGTGAATGAAAAGCAATAAATATTGTAGCGTAGAAAAAAGTTGTAACGGCTTACTCAGTAGCCGATATAAATTATTATAGTACCTACAGATAAGCTCTTGCTTCCAAAATCGCATAAAAAGATATCCGAAAATAAGTTACTGTTACTGTTATATACCTACTTATAAGTTACTGTTTTTAAGATCCGAAAGAATTATTATCGTTAGATAAAGTAAATCGCAAACAGTTTAGCCTATTCACGCATTTTCCCACATCTAAAAGAATATTTTACTCGAGAACTACGTAAATACATTACTGGGATGAAAGCAAATATTAAAGAGTACATCCCACACTTTAGATCACGTGAAGTGACGATCCTAGACTTTGCATGGCCTCTTGATCCCATTCAATGTCTAAATGAAGCTACAACTATTTTCACTGCCATTTTTATAGTGCCAGCACAACGTCATATATGTACATAATAAATATAAACACGTAATAAATCAAGTTATATATAGGAATAAACGACTATAGTAGAAGCTATAACTTTTCTAAAAAAATAACGTTTACTAAAAAGGAAAGAAAAACAACAAAAATCGATCAAATGTTGGTTATACTCAAACGCCGAGGTTTCCATGCATACATATAAGATAAAAAGTCCTTTATTCTATTTCTTATACAAAATATATACCTAACAGTTATTATTATTGATACTACAATTCGTAACTTTGTTATTTTTGGGTCATTGTAATTAAAAACTGGACTACAAAACAAGTTTTTTTTTGGAGGTTTTTTGATAATTTATCAAAAACTGTATTACTTGGAAATATAGTTTTATTTTCCTGTAATATTAATATGATTATAAATTGTATTTCAGATTTTTAACTTTTCAAACTTGGGATATAAAGGAACGAAATAGATTTTTTTCTTACATTTTTGATTATAAGTAAGATTACTTATCATAATGATAAATAAAAATTAGTTTTTAATGTACGAATAAAGCCTTTTTATATTATGATACTCCACTTGGACTAGGCCCATTTTGAAATTTTGAGTACTCTTTTCGGACCGCTTAAAAAGAAAATATTTTTTCAGTTATTTTTATTACAATATGGGCCAATAATCTGTAAAACTATCCCAAGTAGATGGCGTTAGTAATCTACAATACATCTACACTACTATTATAAAGAGGAAAGATTTGTATTTTTATGTATATGTTTGTAATAAATAAACTCAAAAAATACTTTGCTGATTTCTAAAATTTTTTCATCATTAGAAAGCTACATTCACCTTGAGTAACATAGGCTATATTTATTGCTAGAAAAGATTAGGGATCTTTACTGAAACTTTAGTAACGTAACTCAAGGTGTAAAAAAAAAGCTATAAAATATCTTTTGTCGCGTGCGCTGCGGAAACTATTGGCGATAGAACAAAAGTATGTTCTACAATATTGAAGAAAATATCAATAACTACAAAAAAACTTCGCGATACTATATATCCAACTATTATCGTAATGTCACAATAACCACTTTTTACATTTTAAAAATTTACAGAAATACCGACCAAAATTACACCATGATATTCATACTTCTGTTTAAATCCTTATCCAAATAAATCATATTGTTTTCGAAAATATTTCAATTTATGTAGATTACTTTTTTAATTATTCAAATCAGCTATTCCATTCAATAGATATTACAATTTAATAAGTCATAGAAATAGAAAAAATAACGCTGTCGGCCGCGTGGCTAGCTAACCAGGCATTGTAGCGATGCGGGAGAGGGGTAGGTGGAGGCAGGCACATCTATGAAATAGGTAGCTAAGTAAGTCGCAACATAAGGGTTTAACTGTAACTTTTTAGTACGAAATCTTATAAATCTATAAAATAATTAGATAAAAATAACTTCAAATTATATACATTATAAATAATCGCCGCTACACTATAAGAGTGTGCCATGTCCAATTACTATAACAAACAGTAACTGGACATGGCACAATCTTAGACTATAAAGATCATCGAGCAAGAACCTAAAAACAAGGAATTACAAAGAAGGAATGATAAAAACTGTAAATCGTATGGTTGCCTCTTTTCTTATGCAAATGTGATTAGTAAAAAGAGGACAACAGATACACCAACCACCAAGTTGCTATTGTTCTCCATTCATAGCAAAAATTTGTCAATAACTACTTTTTCGTTACTAATTTATATATTCGACACAGTTTATGTAGAAAGTATACAAGCAAGTTGTATCTGAATTTGGTAGGGTTATACGGCCGTATGGGAGTCATGAGAGATATTTAAAAAAATAAAATAAAGGGTACGACAAAACTATATATTTTTTTTTTATTTAATCTTTCTGTCTGTATGTTTATTCGGGTATCACGCAAAAACTCTTGAACCAGCCTAAAAATTTGGTGTATGTTTTATCTCGATACGCGATACAGAATTACCACTTCGCCCTCAGACACGATTACTTCTAAGAACTCCACCACATCATACTCAGGCTTTTGGGAATTCCTTTACAGTTATATCCATTCGACTATGGAATAGTCTGCCATCCGAAATAAGGGAATCGGCAAGTATAGGCATGTTTAAGCGTCGTCTAAGAGAGCATTACTTATCACTATGCTGACGTATTATGTATATGTGTATGTATATTTATATATGTTTATATGTGTATATATATGTATGTGTATATATGTGTATATGTATGTTTGTGTAAATATATGTGTATGTTTACAGGGTATTTTATGTAATTTATAATGTGTAGTTTGTATTATTCTTTGTGTATATATAACTTATGCGTTTATACAATATATGCAGATCGTATGACTGCCTATTTTTATTTATAAAATAACACATTAACATGGAAAGGTTTTGCTGGAAGAAATCTCTTATTAGAGATAAGCTCGCCTTTGTACATTATGTTTATAATGAATTGTAATTACCAGTATGTTTTGTGTACAATAAAGAATAAAGAATTTGTCTATTTAGTTATTATTTTTGTGGACAAAAAACTAGTATAAAATAAAGACGAACAATTACCTATAGAACGACGAAATTTTCGTACGTTAGTATCGCTGGTGTATAATGTGCAACAGTATCACATTTGTTAATTATTGATGCTAGTGTATTTCCGTAATTTCATACCCTTATGTACGGAATAACACTAGTTTGTGCGAACTCGAGTAAATATGACTTGCAACAAGATACAGGTATTAGTATCGACCTGGGTCAAGAGGGCGTACGCATATTTCTTATTCTAAGTTATAGTCTAAATATTGTTAAAGAAAAAGTTTAGAAACTTATAGTTTTCAGAATATTCTAATTTTCATAATTATACCAATATTGTTAGTATTTCTATACGAACTAAGAGCGAGGGATGGACAGCAGCGTCCCTCTTAAAACATCTCTAAAGCCTGACTGCGATTGACAATTCGCCTGCCAAGCATGGCAACTACTGGCAAAATCCCCCAAGGGGGAGGCTTATGTTCAATAGTGGACAGTTAAAGGCTGAAATGATGATACGAACTAAATTAATTAATATACTTCTTTTTGTATTTCAATTGAATTTGAAAGTATTAAAAATGATAAATACCGTACCTGCGAATCAACATATCTACCAAGGGTTGTCTTTCTCCACAAAACATCATCTTCAAAAACAGCCAACAAATTGTTATGCACTTTGGCGATTTAATATAACGCCTACTTTATGTAGATAAATTAATCTAAAAAAAATAATATTCATTTAAATTTTCTAGTTATGTACTTATGTAAACAATATTTATGTATTATTTTTTCAGATACTTCACTTTATTCAAAATATTAATCTGCTTAGTACTGCCAGTCCTATTGCCAGTGTACGGATGGAATGAAAAATGGGAATTTGCGGTGTTTTCACAATCCTTCATACGGTATATGCTGACCCTCAATTTCACGTGGTCAGTTAACAGCTTCGCCCATATATGGGGAAATAAACCTTATGACAGGTTAGTATAGAAAATTTTAACAACCTCTACTATCAAAGTGAATTCATCCATTTTAACCAAATATTATCCATTTCTGAACATGGACTTCCAATAAACCGGTCACAAGGAACGGCACTAACACATCTGAATCCACCAACTCACTGCAATATATTTGGCTCTAAATTGCATTTGCCTGTATAAAATAACCATTTGAAAAGCTCTCATCCTATCGGTTGTCCGTTTTTAGGGTTTCGTACCTTCAAGGGAAAAAACGGTACCCTTAGAAGATCACTTAGTTGTCCGTCCATCCTTCCGTCCATCAACTCTTTTTCTTAGGAACACGTGGAGGTATCAAGTTAAAATTAATATTATATACTCAGATGTGCAATCTCTTAAAGCAGTGCAAAAATCAAGCTTCTAAGAAAAAGGAATTACATAGAAGGAATGATAAAATAAAAATTGTAAATCATTAGGTTGCCTCCTTTCTTCTTATACAAATATAATTAGTAAAAAGAAGACGAAAGATACACCATCAGTTGCTATTTTTCTCAATTCACAGCAGGCAAATAACAAATTTAACATTACTAGCTTATATTAAACTATATATTACGTATTCGACACACTTTATGTAGAAAGTATGCAAGCAGGTTGTATCTGAATTTGGTAGGGTTATACGGCCGTATAACATTTTCCTGCTATGAATTGAGAAAAATAACAACTGATCGTGTATCGTTCATCGTTTTTTTACTAATTATATTTACATAAGAAAAAAGGAGGCAACTATACGATTTACAATTTTTATTTTATCATACCTTCTATGTCATAGGTTCCATTTATATTGCATATTTTGACATTCGCAAAGGGAATCAAAACCTCTAGAGTACTTCCCATTGATCTAGAATCATAGAATTTAGCAAGAAGCAATATTATGTAGCACAAGTAAAGGAAAAAATCCAAAAACCGTACGCTTATGGTTATTTATAAAAAAAAAACTTGATGATTTTGTACAGAACTCTCTTTACGTAGGTCCGACTCGCATTTGACCAGCTTTTTAAGTTATGTAGCCGGCCTATTGCCTTTGATAGGTATGATTTTGACTAGTTGCGTTTACTTTTCAGAAACATCATGCCAGCTGAAAATAGAGGAGTATCAATTGTCGCTATGGGAGAAGGGTGGCACAATTACCATCACACATTTCCATGGGACTACAAAGCTGCTGAATTAGCTTACTCTATTAATATAACTACAATTATTTTAAATTTCTTTGCGTATATCGGATGGGCGTATGACCTAAAAGTAGCGTCACCGGCTTTGATCGACGCGGTAGCAATAAATAGGGGAGATGGCAGCAGATATAAAAAAAATAGTGCAGAAAATAAAAATAATTGATTCGTAGCTAAGAATTATATAATAATTAGTGACATTTAGTTATACGTAGCGCCTATATATTTTGTTCACATGACTAGTGATTAAAGATATAGAGAATAATAAATTTACTTTGCTTTTCCTTTCTCATAAATCGTGCACCACAACCACACACCAATGAAAATTAATAATAATGTACAAAATGAACTATTTATGTTCACTCGCCAAATTACGTCTATAAATTAAACAAAATCTACATTTAAAATTAAAAACACCCAGTAAAACAAAAAAGTTTTTTTTTTATGTACATTGTATTTGCATTGTCTATAAATCTTAAAATATGTTCTTAGAGAAATCGATATAAGTAATATCGGTTTTTTTAAGTTCACGACATTATAAATACTAATAATAAATTTTGAAAAAATTCTAAATCAAATTTATGATCACAATATTTACTTAACAGTACTGTTAATCAAATTAAAAATAATTCATTTCATTCAATATACCATTACGTATATAACTAAAGTAATTTAAAACATTTAGATAATAGGTAACAAGTTTAACTTGTTTGTGCTTTAGTCTAGAAATATATGATAAATAAAAAGTTGAAAGCCTATTTTTTTTTCTAAAATATATGTTTTTATACTTCACGGTTGCCCAATTCTTTAACCGTTCAAATGACATCATTTTTTTTTCTTGTAACACATTTCATGAGAAATATTTAATTTATTAAATGTTATCGTCTATTCGTAGCTACCAACAATATTACAATAAACAATAATTTCGCCGCTGCGTCTCCATACAACAGAAAAATTAAGTACCGATCAATTTTAAAAACCGCCAATGAAATATTTTGAAGCATTCCTTAGTACCTACACAAAAAAAATTATAAAATTAACGAAAAAAATTATTAATACAATTTCATTTCCTTCTTCTTTTCACAATACGGTAACAAGGTACAACTAGATACTGCTCATAGTTTTAAAATGAGGCACGCGTTACATATGCCTCGATATCAGTATATACAATAAATAAATAAATATATTAATAATTCGGCTATGATTATATTAAATTTAAAATATAATTTAAACTCAGAATGTCTAATTCTCAAAATAGTAAAGTGGCCTCTTTCTACTCCTTCGTCCCAGACCTAGATGTAGTCATGATACAAAAATGGTACTCAACTATGTTATAACATTATGTCTGGCTTGACCACATTATAGTCTTATATGTAGCTTTTTAATATATTCAATCCTGACCCATTAGAAATACCTATTTAGTATTGCTATAGATTTTCCACAAGCTTCTGGTAAAGATGTAAAGTGTATGGTAATAGTAATGTGTTATGTTTCTAATGACTTAAAATCTGACAACTGAAACACATTTGTCCTTCTCTACTGTATACACATATAAATAAAATTGTAGCTTTAATAAAAATAGCTATCGACTCTGTGATCTTATTATATGAAGGACCAATTCAATAAGCTGTGTTTCTGCAGACTCAAATTTTGAAGTAATTTAGTATATTTGTATGATCTATATAAGTATATTCAATTGGAATCACTAGTTCTATGTAATAAATATGTGCTATTATAATTGTAACTATAATATTGGTAATTACGACTATATTTTCATTGTCACTTATTAGTCTACCAAGATTGTCCTTCAGTATTGTTTTTGTCCACAGATGACAATATAAAAATGTCTTTTACTCATGGTAAAGACAATATAAACAATAATAGAATATAAGACTAGCTTATAGAAGAGGCAAAATACTGGGCCACCTTATATGACATAACGATTATAAAAGAGCATAATAAAAAGAAGAGAAAATAGGACAGATAAAAGAAAACACTAGGTGTCATGTCATACAGGGAGGTCAAAGATATAGCCTGAGATAGAGCTGAAAAGAAGAATTTGCATTAATAAGTTGCACTGACAAGAAGAAACTTAAAAAAAAAAAGATAAGATTAGCTTATATACTCTTATAAAATAAATAAAAATATTGCCAACCTTTATTATTGTCAAACAATAAAATGACTTTTCCATTACATGTGAGCAATTGAAACACAAATATGATGAAAACATATTACAAAAAACTCTACTTCAATTTATCTCTAAATATATATTTTATCCTCCATTTTCTGACTGCTAACTTAGGAACTAACTTAGATCAGACAAGATGCCAAATTTTAATATTTTTAAATGTAATTCAAAGATAATAATAAATTGAAAACATGTGTACAATATCCTTAATATTTACGAAAGTTTTTATTTTATATTTGATTTTCCTTGTTGCATACTATATTATTCAAATTATAAATATGATTATGTGTGGGTCACATATATCTTTCCAAAATAAAAGTCTGATAAAATATATGTAAAGATACTATTAGAATACCATTTTCTCTTTTTTTGTATAGAACCTTAAAAAAAAACAAAAGACAATTGACTAGTTTGTTACAGCAATAAGAGTTATGAACTCAATATAATCAAACCTTCATGTAACAAAATATAGTCATTAAAAATGTAATTTTAAAATCTAACTTCAATAATATTTAATGATTACAATATATATTACAATATAATTACAAATAGGCACAAATATTATTTATCTGGATAAAAAAACAAAAGAAAACATTCTTGTGCTCATGTCTACTATCTATATAATATGTATATTATACATATCAGTATTACTATTTAGGCACCAATCTATACACCAGCCCAATACTAACAGTATCATTATTTCTTATATATACTATTTCACTGTTACATCATTGTGAACTAACATAATGTCTTAAAACAAAAATCTCAGTCTTCTGTGATTATAAAATCATTATTCAATAATTAGTTCCAAGCTGTTACTATCTATATCTGTTTTTGCTTCCTTAATTGGCCGTAAATTCTCATCTTTCAATGTTTTTCTCTTTAAACTTAGATTTTTGTTGGAAACTAAACATTCATTAACATTGGAGTCACTGTTAGATATCTTTCTTTTCTTTGTTTTTGTAACAACAAAGTCCAAATCAGATGAATCATCATCAAATCCAGAGTAAATAGGTACAGACCGACCACTTCTTGTTGATCTAATTGGCTGGATTCTTGTTGTCTCCTCAATGATTTGGATGGGTGGAGGCCATGTAGCAAAATTTGCACACTGTCGTGCTTGGCGATAGCTATTAATGGACATTAATTTAACATAAACAGCAAGAGTGCGAGCTTTTTCAGCCTGTGTTATAGTACTGGGCAGGATACTCCAAGGCAAACGCCTGTCACGCACATTTAAATATCTCCTTTTCATAGTTTTCTTTGGTGATGTGCTGCTAGGTTCTGTGTCAGCCTGACAAAGTGCAATAGTAACTGTTACATAGATAAATAATCTAACAGTAAAAAATTAATAATAAAGAAGAATCATTCACAGGATGAATTATTACCTTTCGTAATAATTCATCTTCCTTAGCAGATGCCTCTGAATCTCGTAAAGCTTTAAGCAGATCACTCATTTCTTCTTTCGTTAAATTATCTTCATCTAGGCCAAATTCTATAACAAAATATAATAATATATCTATAAATATAAATACTGAATCAAAAATTTAAAAATATTTTGAGATATATATTTTTAATATGTTAATATTGTACCGGTCAATTGATTTTTCATAATTTTCATTTCCGAGTCGCAACTATCATCAGACGACACAATATTGTTGGAATCTTCCATTTTAAATCTTATTATGCTTCTCACAGAAGCAAAAAGCGAAAAAATTTCAATAACATTAGATACCAAATTAATAACAACTAGGAAAATTTAACAAAAAAAACAAAGTACTCAGAGACATAAATAATTATAAACAAACAAACTATCACATCCGACCATCGTCAATCATTGGTCACATTTGATTTTTTTTTTTAAGTTTTAACGACTCTGGGTTCGAATAATTATTTTCATTTTTGCCACTGGTCCACTAGCCAGTCCAAACACATAAGTAGGGGGAAAGGAATTGTTAGTAATGGACACTAAGAATCTCATTGCTAGCAATATACCTAACCAGGTTGACCTCCTCGCGGATCCTCCTGGAAACTATCATGATCAATTCCTTATGATCATCATCATGATGAGCTAATGGGCCTATTTTCATTCTCATCTATCACCCTTCACTGGTGCTCCGCCAGCGTATCTCATTAGCGCAGGCGGGATTACCATTCCATTTTCACCTGTAGCTGGTCACATTAAATGACCGATGTGAACAACGTACGATTACCTACCGCTGTTAAACAGCTAACTTAAAGCGAGAGCCCCGTCACGGAGTACGAAAAATTGCACGTCAGACCTACCCACGCGTAATTAAAAAGACTCTGATAATTGAAAATCATTTGTTCCACATTATTGGTGACCCCTGCTGAACACGAAGGCCTGTATATTATTATCATTATTACTGAAAAAGTGTAAAATGTCTAACAACGAAGATAGAAATACCGCTGGACGGGTAGATCCTACTAACTTTTGTACTAGTGTCGACACAGAGGCACGATCTGAAATCTTCCGTGTCGGACTGCGGGTACCGCCCTTTTGGCCTGAAGAACCTGAATTATGGTTTGCACAGGTAGAAGCACAATTCGCAATATCAAATATCACTGTCGATGCAACAAAATTTGGACATGTCATCGCACAATTAGACCAGCAATATTCTAAGGAAGTAAAAGACCTGATTCTCGCGCCACCAGCCACCAACAAGTACGAAAAGCTAAAATCGGAGCTTATTAAACGACTCTCTGCTTCTCACGAAAAGAAAGTTAAGCAACTTTTGATGCACGAAGAGTTGGGAGATCGCAAACCATCCCAGTTCCTGCGACATCTACAGGGGTTAGCCGGACCGAAAGTACCTGAGGAATTTATACAAACCATATGGAGTAGTCGTCTTCCCAGGAGTATCCAGACAGTCATCGCCGCACAACCCAGTGCTTCATTGGAGCTTTTAGCTGACCTGGCCGACAGAATACAGGACATAGCCGCACCGACACCTCAAGTGGCATCCACCTCAGCACCCAACCCAGGATCTTCAACATATGATTCCATGGCCAACGAGATAGCAGAACTTCGGAAGCAAGTGAAGACTTTGACTATGCAGATGAACAGAAGATCACGTTCCAGGACAGGACAACAGCATTATCGCAGCAGATCAAATTCAAGCTACCGTAAATTTCCCATATGTTGGTACCACGCGAAATTCAATGATAGGGCAAAAAAAATGTATCAAACCATGTGATTTTAAATCGGAAAACTTTCAGGGCAGTCAGTAATGACGACAGACGATTGCCCGCTCAGTCCATGTCGCCTGTTTGTAACCGATCATAGGACTAAGATGCAATTTCTCGTCGATACCGGTAGTGAGCTTTGCGTCCTTCCTCGTACGGCACTCAAACAGCGACGTGCAAAAACAACATTCGTGCTTAACGCCGCGAACGCGTCCCCTATAAGTACGTTCGGTTATGCGCATCTTGTACTTGATTTAGGATTACGTCGCGATTTTTCTTGGAGGTTCATTGTTGCGGACATCACAAAACCCATTATTGGAGCCGATTTTTTAAAATACTACGATCTTATAGTAGACTTAAAAAACAAACGGCTAATAGATAATACTACATCTATATTTTCAATAGGTACGCCAGCTCTTTCTACAAGTGACATTTCTTCAGTGAATATTACGTTGGCAGATACGAAATATCATGATATCCTCAAAAATTATCCTGAGATTACGCATCCATCTGGTATCCAGCATACTCCCAAGCATAGTACTGTCCATTACATCAAGACGACACCCGGCCCGCCAGTCTCGTGTATTCCTCGTCGCCTAGCACCGGATAAGCTGAAAATAGCCAAAAAGGAATTTGAGGAAATGCTAAAAAATGGAACAACGCGACCCTCAAACAGTCCTTGGTCTTCACCATTACATTTAGTTCCAAAAAAAGACAACGAATGGCGGCCTTGTGGGGACTACAGACTACTTAATGCGAGAACAGTACCAGATCGCTATCCTATTCGACACATACAAGACTTCACTTATAGTATTTCTGGCTGTACAGTCTTTTCTACAATCGATTTAGTGAAAGCCTACAACCAGGTCCCGGTATATGCTAATGATATACAGAAGACAGCGATCGCAACACCATTCGGATTATTCGAATTCCCCTATATGACGTTTGGTCTTCGAAATGCAGGACAAACCTTCCAACGTTTCATCGATGAGATGACTCGAGGCTTGGATTTTTGTTTTGCATACTTGGATGATTTTCTAATCTTCTCAAAAGATCATCAAACGCACGAAGAACATCTACGACAACTCTTCACCAGAATGAAGGAATATGGCATTCTCATCAACATCAACAAATGTATATTTGGTCAAGCAGAGGTCACATTTCTCGGACATTGCATATCAGCCGAAGGTATTAAACCACTAGAAACCAAAGTGGAAGCAATCAAGCAATTTCCAGCACCTAAAAACGTTAAGGAACTCCGTAGATTTCTAGGAATGATAAATTTCTATAGGAGGTTTATACCAAAAGCAGCACAAATTCAAGCACCACTGAATACCCTTTTAATTGGCATCTCAAAAGGATCACAGCCAGTAATACTATCAGATGACACATTACAAGCTTTTAATGAGTGTAAAGAAAGTCTTTGTCGAGCAACACTCTTAGCACATCCTGATTGCAAATTAAAACTCAGCCTAGCTACTGACGCATCCGACGTAGCGATCGGAGCAGTACTGCAGCAGTATAAAGATAATACATGGCAGTCACTAGCTTTCTTTTCGCGCAAACTCAGTCCATCGCAAAAAAAATATTCACCGTACGATAGGGAACTGCTGGCAATATATGAGGCGATAAAATATTTCAGGTTTATGCTGGAAGCTAGGGACTTTAGCATCTATACAGATCATAGACCACTCTGTTCTGCCTTCGAAGCTCATAAGGATAAATGTTCTCCTAGGCAATATCGTCACCTTGACTTTATATCGCAGTTTACAACTGATATCAGACATATATCCGGTTGCAATAATGTGGTAGCTGATACTCTTTCCAGGATTGAAGAAGTCGAAAGCCCGATAGACCTTGGCCAACTAGCAAAATCCCAACACTCCGACCCTGATTGCAAATACTGATAGAGAAAGGATCATCACTTCGATTGGAAAAGATCACCATACCTGGCACACATACAGAATTATACTGCGACAAAAGTACTCAACCACCGAGGCCATTCATTACAATACCGTTTCGTCGTCAAATATTCGATAACCTGCATTCTTTAAGCCACCCTGGTGCAAACGCTACAGCCAGTTTGGTCACAGAGCGATATGTTTGGCCAGGAGTTAAGCGTGATTGTCGTGAGTGGACGCGTACCTGCATAGCATGTCAACGCTCTAAGGTAACCCGACACGTATCTGCCCCACTACATACTTTCGAGTTACCAAATGACAGATTTACTAATATACATATAGATCTCATTGGCCCGTTACCACCATCAAAGGGATACAAATACTGCTTAACCGCAATTGACCGTTTCACGAGATGGCCAGAAGCTATACCCATACCTGATGCAACAGCAGAAACAGTAGCCATCGCCTTACTATCAGGATGGATTTCGCGATTTGGTTGTCCAGCAAGTATAGTAACAGACCGCGGAAAACAATTTGAGTCTGCTTTATTTCAACAACTTGCGAAAATATCTGGTTTCAGACACAAGAAGACAACCGCGTATCACCCAACTTGTAATGGCATGATTGAACGGTTCCATCGGCAACTCAAAACGGCTATCACATGCCATGCTAATACAAATTGGATAGAAACATTGCCCCTTGTATTACTAGGAATACGAAGTGCATATAAAGCCGATTTAAAAACATCGTCGGCCGAGCTCGTGTATGGCGAGGCTCTTCGTTTACCTGGAGAATTTTTTACAGCCACTTCAAGCGGTAGTACAGATGTAACAGATTTCATTACACGGTTACGTTCCATAGTCGGAAAATTACAGCCAGTTCCTGCCTCACGTCACTGTAAAAACTCCATTTTCGTATTTAATGACCTAGCCACCACAAGCCATGTTTTTCTACGAGAAGATGCCGTACGCGGAAGTTTCCAACCTACTTATTCAGGACCTTATCAAGTACTTAAGCACGGAGAAAAAGTATTTAAAATATTAGTAAAAGGAAAACCAAACTCCGTAACGATCAACCGACTAAAACCTGCTTATCTGTTAAAAGATCCAGAATCAACTGAGAAACCACCACTTCCTATCGACAAAACTCGACAAACTAGTTCTGGTCGCACTGTTCGTTTCCCGGATTATTATCGTCCGTAGACACGGCCTCTGGAGGGGAGTGATGTAGCTGGTCACATTAAATGACCGATGTGAACAACGTACGATTACCTACCGCTGTTAAACAGCTAACTTAAAGCGAGAGCCCCGTCACGGAGTACGAAAAATTGCACGTCAGACCTACCCACGCGTAATTAAAAAGACTCTGATAATTGAAGATCATTTGTTCCACACACCCATCAAAAAAAAACATAAATATAAATACCGCGCAAGCCAAGCATAACCTCGGCACCGTGCGAATAATATAAAGCCTCTGAAGAAACAGAAGCGAAAACAGTACAGTACGCACCTTCCATTTCATAGTTAGCACCTGTTTCGTCGACCGAGGACCATTGAAATCGGTGCTCTGTATACCCACTATATAGGGTGCCGTGCTAGGTGGAATAAATTTACGTCCAAGCGTACTAGTGCCCCAGTGCCAACCGACACGCCTTCCGACTTTCGAGGACAGCGGTATCCCTCAAGATAAGTTTCCAAAATTAAAATTTCAATTTCATGTCACAGCAAAATCTTTATTCTAAGTACCAATCCTAGATTATATACGTAAGGCTGCCTTTTAAGTTGTAACGTATTCTAACCTCCCGCGATTATAAAAAAATTGGCATTATCATCTTTTTGAATGTAGAATTCCAAAACAAAGGAATGTTTCAGATTAGTCGAATAGTTTTATTGTATCGTCTATTCAAAGGTGATAAGTCGATTGTAAAAATAGAAATATGTAAGGAAAATTTGCGTGCGATAATTTTCTATAAATTTCAAAGAAGATTATCACGATTCGGTACTTTAAGGAGATCACTTCTGAATTTAGTGATGCAGCACCATGTCTTAGGACTGCAAAACGCTAGTATTTAGAATTTTAACATGGGCACTCTAGCTTCAGTGACAAGCCATGTGAAGGTCGTCGTCAAGAGAATATCGAAACTGCGCGACAGCTAATCCTCGAAGATCGTCATGTGACATACCGTGAAATAGAGGCATCCGTGTGTATTTCAGGGACTACTGTCCAAAAAATCCGGCACGAAGAACTTGGCGTAATAAAGTTGATCTCTCGTTGGATACCACATTTGCTTAGCGATAACAAAAAAACTTGGTAGCCGAATCTTTGCCGGAGATAACATGACCACTACTCTTGACTAAGGTAATGGTCACAGTATAGCGGCCGGAAACTAGGGACCATTATTTTATACTCTATTCGACCGTACGGAACAAACGTTCTGTACGGTCCTGTCAACAGTCTTGCAATTCCACTTCACTGCTAACCGAACGCTGCCAATGACTAAATTAATAAGCGACATAGCATGAGTGGCATACAATTGCTAGTAGCAAATGATATTTGAAATATTACATATAAAGAATTTCAAGCGCAGAACATTCAAACTTTGGAATGTCGAAATTTTCCTAGAGACTATAATTTTCCGAGAGTTTTAGTTTGCAATCTCCTTGCAGGTACAAACTATACTTATTCTATGGATTTTCATTAAAACATTGCACTGTCAAATATGCCGAACTGCCACTATCAAAGTCGAAAAAAAGCGCGGGAAACGTTTAAAAAAGCGGGAGTGTTTTTTGATCTTCTTTAAATTAATTTTATTTTTAATTATATAAGGATTAGTTTTATTTATATATTGTGTATTAGATTGTATATATAATTGTATATTTTGTAGTAATAGTGTTTGTTGCTGTAAATATTGGTAAGTAAATTACCTATATTAATTAGACATTATGGATCCACCTATAGACCCTGGGGGGACAACCCCCCAGGTGTCTGCAAATATAACTATCCCATTTAATAATAGTTTTGATATATTGGGTGAATCTAGTATGGACACAGATGGTTCTAGCGTTGCAAGTTCTAAACGTAAGCGAGTACGTGGCGAACGTCGCATTTGCAAACATTGCAATAAAAAACGAAGGAGGCACACCAAAGGTCTCGAATCTAAAATTAAAGATAGTGATTGTCAATGTATTGAGGATGAGAATCAAACTCTAGTATCAATACCAGTTGTAAATAATACCGAGTCTGTTAAACCTGCTTCTCCACCCAGTACTTTAAGCAGAACTTTGTACAATGCCGAGGATGTAGCTCCTTATGTCGTTCATGTACAAAAAAATGAAACACATCCTAATGATAACACTACATTACATCCTATTGCATTTGGTCGCTTTTTACACACTAATAAGATAAATAATATAGTGAATGGTAGCCTCAAAAGAATAGGAAGAAACCGTTTATCGCTTTCTTTCTCAAATTTTGAAAATGCAAATGCATTTTTAAATAATAGTCACTTAGAAACACATAATTTTAAGGCATTTATACCTTCTTTCCATGTAACCCGTATGGGAATTGTGAGGGGTATTCCTAAAGATTGGACAGAAGAGGAAGTAATCCAAAATATATCAGTACCTATAGGTTGTGGGAGAATTCTAAAAACCAGAAGAATTAAGAAAAAGACCATTAATGAAGGACAACCAAGTTTTATTAATACTGAAACCATTGTTATTACTTTTGATGGACAAATATTACCAAAAAGAGTATTTATGTTTTACACATCATTAACTGTAGATTTGTACATTTACCCCACTATCCAATGCTATAACTGCTGTAGGTTCGGACATGTCAAGATGCAGTGTCGTTCAAATCCTCGGTGTTATAAATGCAGGCAAAATCATACAGGTGATAAATGTGAAGTAGATGAGGAAAATGTTTCTTGTATCTTGTGTAATAGTTCTCATTCAGCAATTAGTAAGAAATGTCCTGAATATGCACGTCAGAAAGCCATTAAAGAAACAATGGCCCACAGTTGTGTTTCTTATGCTGAAGCATCAAAATTTCATCCTCCCACTTCTAAACTATATTCAGATGTATTAACATCATCATCTCCGTCCAATAAATCTCATTTTCAATCTTCTTTCCTCAAAGAGAAATCATCATTACCACATATTCAATCATCACATAAAAAAACAGTTACACTTAAACCACGCTCTCCTCAAAAAGCACAACAAGGATATGATCGTTCTGCCCATGAAGCCATAGTTAAGGAATATAATATTCCTGCTCCCTCTAATGGTTGTGCATTATCATCAAATAATATTGACAATAATCAATCCATCTTTGATATTATTCTCATGCTTATTAAAGTGTTATCGCAATCGAAGATGATACAAACAACTTTACCACCGTCCAACGATGCCATTTACAATGTATTTTCTCAATTATTAACTTCTCACAATGGATTACAAAGTCCTAATAATTCAGTGGAACTGTCGTAGCATAACAAACAAGAAATCAGACTTATTTTATTTGATTAATAAATATAATCCTTTTATAATAGCTCTCCAAGAGACTTGGTTAAAGCCAGGATATCCTTTTAGGATTTCAGGCTTTACAAGTCTCCGAGATGATAGAGCTGACGGATATGGCGGTGTTGCCATATTGGTCAAAAACTCCCTTCCTTTTTCTTCTTTTTCGCTTCCTGTATATAGCGGCATTAATGCAGCTGCTATAATTATAAATGGTATCTGTTTTGTTACTTTATATATTCCTGATCCTACATGCCAAATATATTCACAACTAGAACAATTATTTTCAATTTTACCTAAACCTTTTCTCGTAATGGGCGATTTTAATGCTCAACACCAATCGTGGGGCAGTTCTACTTCTAATTTTTATGGTGGAAAACTCCTGACGATAATTGACACTTACAACTTATGTATTATTAACTCAGATGTACCAACACGTAGAACTGCACCGAATGAAGGGTTTAGTGCTCCTGACATTTCAATATGTTCTTCTGATTTAGCTTCTTCACTGTCGTGGTATCCTCATTCCTCTACTTTCGGAAGCGATCACTTTCCCCTCATTCTTTCTTTTCCAATTTCCATTCCCTCAAGTCGAAAGAGTGGTCCTCGGCTTAAATATAATTTATCAAATGTAGACTGGAATATTTACAAACAATATTTAGATAATAAAATATCGGAGTTACCTATTGTTTACCATGGAAATGAACATCAATGTTGTAATGACTTGATGATAAATATGAAGGAGGTTGCTGATTTATTATTTCCTGTTAAAAATAGTGCTTCAGGGAAAATTCCCTCGCCACCTTGGTGGGACAAAGATTGTACGGAAGCAATTAAAAATCGTAAAGAGGCTGAAAAAAATTATAATAATTACATGACACCAGAAAATTTTGAAATTTACACCGCAGTTTCACGTTCTACTCGAAAACTACTGAAAAAAAAGAAATTAGAAGGCTGGAGAAGATTTTGTTCTTCTATCTGTCCAGAAGTTAATTCATCAGTCGTTTGGAATAATATTAAAAGATTCAGATCTGCCTTTAGTGATCATACATCACGTTCTGCACTCGATTTAACTTTAGCGAATAAATTTTTAGATCGTCTTGCTCCTAGTTATGTGCCGGAATGCCTTTACAATATTTCTCTATCCGTCTCTGACGAATTATTCGAACTTGACTCTCCTTTTACTCTAGTAGAACTTAAAGGTGTTCTAGCTTCTATTAAAGACTCTGCACCGGGAGAAGACGGTATACCGTATTCCTTTTTTAAAAATGCTAGCGATGCGACATTAATTTACTTTTTAAATATAATTAATTCCATAATTATTTCGGGAAATATACCTACTTCATGGAAGTCTCAGATTATTATACCATTTCTAAAGCCTCATAAACCACCTTCTGAACCATCTTCATACCGTCCTGTTGCACTTTCCTCTGTCTTACTAAAGCTAGCTGAACATTTAGTGAAAAACCGTCTAGAATGGTTTTTAGAAAGTAATAACTTACTATCCCCGAACCAGTTTGGTTTTAGGAAAGGTAAGAGCACCTTAGATAATGTGAGCATTCTTATTTCAGATATTCATATAGCTTTCTCACAAAATTTGTCAATCCTCTCAGCCTTTTTAGATATAAATTCTGCCTATGATAATGTAATAATTTCTATTTTAAAAACTAAATTACAAGCTCTAAATGTACCGGTAATGCTTTCTAATTTCATTATTAATATTTTATCAGAAAGAACAATATATATGAATTTAGATGAAGATACCAAATTATCTAGAACAGTATGGAAAGGCCTTCCACAAGGATCTGTTCTCAGTCCAATCTTATTTAACATATACACATACGATCTAGAATTATTCCTTGATAAATCCGTCAAAATTTTACAATATGCTGATGATCTTTTATTATATTTTATTGCGAAGTCCATAGAATCTGCTTCTGCCAAATTATCTGATTCATTAGATTTGTTAAAAACGTGGTTAGATGCAAATGGTCTTAATCTTTCTGTAACCAAGAGTAGTGTAGTTTTGTTTTCAAGAATGAGATCACCGCAACAAATTAAGGTGCTTTATGATAACTCATACATTCCTATAAAGACTGAAATTAAATTTTTAGGTATCGTGCTAGATAATAAATTAACAGGTCTGTCCCACTGTAATTATATTTCTACGAAATGTGAGCGTAACCTCAACATTCTTAGGTGCCTTGCTGGAGTTTGGTGGGGAGCACATCCCGTTTCACTAAAACTTGCTTATAATGGTCTTATAAGGAGTGTCATTGATTATGGAACTTTTTTGTTAGCTCCAGGAAGTTCATTTGCTTTTAAGAAATTGGATTTAATTCAATCAAAGGCCTTGAGGATTATCTCTGGAGCAATGAAATCAAGTCCAATCAATGCTTTACAGCTCGAAGTCGGTGATCCACCTTTGGTTTTAAGAAGACAATATCTATCTGATCGCTTCTTTTTTCGTTGTTTACAATTATCTGATCATCCGCTTATTCAAAAGTTATCTCAACTACATATCTTTATTTCGTCTTCATCTTATTGGAAACATAAAAAACCTCCATGTTTAATACAAAGTTATGAAAAATATAAATCCATAGAATCTCCCACTTTTACATCGTCCTGTTTTCCCATTTATAAATGCTCATATCAATCTTTAGTTTTATCTCCTAATATTAAATATGATTTTGGGTTATTAAAAAATGATTCAGAATTGAATGCCAAATTTATGTTTATAACTGACATTGAATGGAATGAATGGCACTACATCTTTACTGATGCATCAAAACCAGACAATAGCGGTTGTGTAGGTGTGGGTGTGTTTCATTCACAATTTAATATCGTTCAAAAAATTAAACTTCCACCGGAGTCTTCAGTTTTTACCGGGGAATGTTATGGTATTTTAAAAGCTGTAGAATATATACTTTTAATGAAATTACATAAGGCAATAGTTTTCACTGACTCTATGAGCTCTTTGCAAGCTCTAGCCAAATATCCGTTTAAATCAAAACCAGTTTATCCCATTATTTGTGACATAAGACAAAGTCTTTATCTTTGCATGTTGAGAGGTTATTCCGTTTCTTTTGCCTGGTTACCAGGACACAGTGGTATTAGCGGCAATGACAAAGCTGACCTTATTGCAAGAGAGGCTGTAACTTGTGGTGATATGTATCCGTATCATAATTACTGTAGTGACCTAGCTTGTCTCCCAAAAATATATTTAAGGTATGCCTGGAAGGAATATTGGGAAAAAACAAGTACAATAAAAGGAAGATTTTATCGCCTTATACAACCCGATATTCCTTTCAAACCATGGTTTTGTAAATTAAAGCTTGGAAAGACCGCAACAACTATTATAACTCGTATGCGTCTAGGTCACGTATGCACACCTTCTCATTTATACAAGCTTGGTATTGTACAAAGTTCGTCGTGTAATTGCGGTGCTGAAGTGGCGGACTTGAATCATATATTCTTCTCATGTTCTAAATTTGACCACACCTCCCTTTTTAATCATCTCCGATCCATCCGTGTTCCATTCCCAACTTCTATTCTTACTCTACTTTCTTCCAATGATCCTATTATCTATAAAATACTATCTTCATATATATATGATAACAATATTAAGATTTAGTTATATTACATGAATACATTTATAGTTGCATCAATTGCTTTTCCTATATATTTATAAGTATATTCTCATATGTACAAGTATATGTTTCATATCCTTAAATATCCTAGACCTAATCCTTATCCTTTCTAAATTCGTTTGTGTTAGGTATTTTTATTACTATTATCGTTTCCCCGTTTTGTTCTTGGCAAAATACCCTAATATCGGGGTGAACGCCACAAAAAAAAAAAAAAAAAAAAAAAAAAAAAAAAAAAAAAAAAACTATCAAAGTCAGAAACATTTGTCTATTAATCTGAGTTTAATATAATCTGTCCGTGTTAGTTGTATTCAGTTCTTTTTATTATTGAATGTTTAACTTTTTATAAATATTTTTATTTTCATACTCGTTTTATTCAAAAAACGTTTTTATATTGAAACATGCGATGTAATTCACTTATGTGTAAATGTCATATATGTTTTCTTAAATAACGCAAAATGGAAGAAGAGTTACGGTGTTATATTTGCAAAGAATTCTACAGAGAACCTGTATTATTACCTTGTGGTCATGCTTTATGTCGTGCCTGCGCTGTAAACTTGCAATGTCATGTGCACGAGGTAGACAATTCTACTGCTTCGAGTGATTACCAGGAAGCTGACAAAGCATCCGTTTCCAGTGAAACTGACAGCGGTGTAGTATGTGGATCAAGGCCTAATAGTTACGCGGGAACGCCAGCCGCGCCTGCATATCCAGCTCCATCATTTACTTTAACTTGTCCATTGTGTAATAAACAAGTATGTTTAGACGAAAATGGAGCCGAAGGTCTTCCACCATTCCGTGTTATGCGGACTATTGTGGAACGTTTTGGTGGAGTCACTGGTGCACCACCTGCTGAAGAAGCATGTCAAATGTGTGAAGGAGAGAGGCGAGCAGCCATAGTACGCTGTGAACAATGTTCTGTGAGGTATTGTGCTGGATGCCGTGATGCTTGGCATCCAACACGTGGTCCTCTAGCCCAGCATGAGTTAAGAACTCTCGGAACTATATGCCTTGACCATGGATCTTCACCGGTCCTCTATTGTAATACATGCTTAGTGCCAATCTGTCAATGTTGCCTCACTGAAAAACATTCAACACATGAAACCCAACCATTGTCGAGTGCAGCCAGAGCCCATAAGGTAAAAAAATATTTTTGTTTTGTAAGCATTTTATTTCATAAACTAAAAAATCTACAGTTTGTGCCTCCATAAAATCAAATTCATAAAATACTAAAAATCTGAAAAAAATATCACCAGTTATTTTAATGCATTATAAAGAATTTTCATTAAATGGAGAGCAAAAAAAAAGCAATATAATTTTTTGAATGTTTTAATTGTATCTTTTGTTATATTTTAATATTAATGAAGGTGATGATCTTTATTAAATAAAAAGATTTCTGAAAAGAATGAAATATTTAGGCCTCTGTGACAGTATTGTATTTGAAGGTTAGTGAAACTAATATTGTATTAACTATAAGTTTATACAATATTGGGGTCTAAATAACTATGTATTGTTTTGCTATTGAGAATGGTTACAACATCGTAAAGAGTGTGACAATATAAACCAAACAAACCTTAGCAATTTCTACATTTTAAGGAATTTTTTTTAAGTAGAAGTTTGCTATATAGAGTTTACACTCTATGTAGCGAATATATATATATAGAATATATATTCGCTATAAAGATAGAAAAGAAGTCAATGGTAATTTATCTTCTATTAAATTTTTCTCTCTTGCTCTCTCTAATATTAATTAAGAATCAAGTCAATCATCTACTTCATAAAAGATTAATTCTATTTCAGACTGAACTTTCACAATCACTGCAACAGCTTTCTGAGCAAGCCAAAGCAATGACTGAATATATACAACTAGTCAAAGGTTCAGGGGACAAAATTAATGTAAGTAAGCTACATAAATAATCACATAGATAAACTTAATTTAATCACAAATAAAAATATTCTTGATACAGGAGTCCTCTGAAGAGTTAGAGCAACAAATAGATCAAGCTTGTAGTGAAGTGATCCATGCTGTTGAAATAAGAAGAGATGAGCTATTACGCGCAGCAAGAAATACTCGATCTCAAACTGTTGCTAATATGCGTATGTTAACATCACAAGCAGCGCAGAAGCTCCGAGAGGCCACAGCATTATTGCACTTTTCCATAGAAGCACTCAAAGAAACTGATCATGCAGCATTTTTGCAGGTATTTTTTTCCTTTTGAGATTTTATTCTATGTATTTATTTCTTGGTTTTCATTGAAATATAATTAGGATTCTAATCGATACCTTCAACAAAACCAGTTGAATTAGTTTTTTATATTACATTTTGGTTTTTAACAATATTTTTAATAAATTCAATAGAGAAGTTTTAGTAAGTGGGCCATTATATAATATAATAGGATTAAGAATAGGATAGTTATAACTTTTTAAATGAAAAAAGTAATAGTAACTATTGTTGGTAACCAGACAACTACACAAATGCAATTATGAGACAAAGCAATATACTGACCCAATTTATACTAGAATTGTTTATAAAGATAATATGAGTAGTATCTCTATTTGTACTTTTAACTAATCAGCTTATCAATTTCAAATATGATAGTTCTTTGGAAATCTGTTGTGTGAGAAATCACTTCCAACTGTTCAAATTAAAATATAGTATATTTGAACACACCTTAAATAATGGATAAATAAAAGTCGATTGCTTGGGTACCTCTGTCCCATTCGCGTTTCTACTGTGAAGCAGTTGTGTTTGCATGGCAGTGTTTCTGTTTGAAACGTGGGATATGCTGTGAATTTACAGGGTACAGAGGAATAACACCCGAGTCCTCAGGAATGGCAACGAATGGAGGGTATCATGGCGAAACAGTATACTCTGTCATGTCCATGGTACTGCTCATGTCTATAGGCGACGGTTACCACTTTCCATCAGGTGGGCCGTCAGCTTGTTTGCCATTCTAAGTTGTATAAAAAAAAAATTAAGTTTTCACCTTCTTGACTTATGTCAGCTTTAATATATACACCATCCTGTAACCCACAGGAAAAAGATTACAAATGTTGTTGATATTTTTTTATGTCCTTGTATCTCACCCTCTTTGTATACTGAATTTGTGAGTGGTTGTATGAATTGCGTTGGATGCCTCTGGTGTGTTTGTTGAATGTTGTGTGTTAGTTATCTGTTGGGTGGTTGTTTTTTGATGGGTAAAAATGATATGTTAACCCTGCTTGTGCTAATGGGATACGCTGGCGGAGCACCAGAGAGTGGTGATAGATGAGAATGAAAACAAGTCAGTTAGCCCATCATGATGAATTCATCAGGAATTAACCATCATAGTTTCCAGGAAGAACCACGAGGAGGTGACCTGGTTAGGTATATTGCTAGCAATGGGATTCTCAGTCACCATTACTAACAATCCCTTTATCCATTAAGTTTACTCAGTCGCCTCTTACAACACCCACGGAAAAGGAAGGGTTGATCCATTCTATGCGGGGTGCACAAGGCAAACAAACAACAGAGGCAAAAATTTTCTAAATTATTATTTTAGAATCTATTGCTTTTATTAAAATCTTATATCTTTTTTTTTATATTTCCTGTGTACAAACATCGTGTATTTACAATTTTAATGTATTAATCCTTATAAATAAAATACAATTACCTTATATATATGAGCACATCCTTTACAGATTGGCTGCACCTATTTGACTAATTCTTTTCTTGTTGTATTTGTAATTGTCATGACAAGTTTTATATAAAAGAAAATGTTTGATAATAATTATGGAAAAGCAAACCCGACATGCGAAGCAGAGACGGGCAGGTAGTATTTTTATAGAATTTAATCATATATGCAGACACAGCATGTATCAGACATATAAACGACACAGACCGGGAATTATAAAGACAAAAATACACTATGTAGATTTAGAATTATGTATAAAATTAATAATGTGTTTTTAGGTGGGGAATATACTTTCGGTGCGAGCTCAGGAAACTGCGTCGAAGCTGTGCTCCGTGGAGCCGCCGCCGGCGCCGCCCGCCCTCACGCTTGACACCGAGCCCGTACTGCGCACTGTCCGCACCATGAACTTCATTGAATGCATTCGTATGTTATATACTCATTAGCACTTAAGAGAAGAACGACATGCAACATTGCCCGCTTCAAGAATCCTTTTTTTCTTGAAAAATGTTTTTAAAAATTAGTCAATTCTGTGTAACATTTTATTCTTATTGATTTTGAAATTTTGATTGAAGCAAGTTTTACTACATATTTAAAACACAGCTTGTGGCAGTGATAAAAGATTTGGTTTAATCGGCTTGCAGTTCATTGAAATACGAAGCTCCAAATAAATTATTATTTGGAGAATTTTACTATGTTTAATTATAAACATAGTAAAATTCTATTTACTTTTTAATTTAATTTCGTGCTTTATATGTAATATTATATTTTTTAATTGCTGACACTGGAAACGCAGCACCGGAAAAAGAAATGCGATCATCAGGTAAAAATTTATAGTATCGCAAAATTTGCCTTCTTACTTTATTAAATAGATTGAAAATTGTGAACGGAAAGGGCCATCAATAGAAGACACATACATATATGACTTTTATGTATGGCTCTCACTAAAAATCAACAAATAATCTCTTAACTTTTTATTCACTCATATCTCTAAAATTAATAAAAAAAAAAAAACAAAATACGTAAACATACTGAATAAATTATAATAAGTATTTAAAGTTTCGTGGGTAAATATTAGTAACAAGCGTTCAAGGGGTTCACCCACATGTCACCAAAGGTGATAGGAGTGATCGAAATTTAAAAAAATCGTCTCACATATTTAATGGTTAGTCGATTACGTGAAATGGTGATATGGTGCACGGTGTCTGCAGCGCCGGGCGCGCCGTCGCTGGCGGTGGAGGCGTGCGTGGCGCGCGGCTGCTCGTGCACGCTGGCGTGGCGGCCGCCCGCGCCGCCCGCGCGCGCCGCCGTGCGCGGCTACGTGCTGGAGCTCGACGACGGGCTCGGCGGACCGTTCCGGGTGAGTCGTGCCGCGCCGGCACTCGCCCACGCTAGCATGGTAGCCGCCCCACCACCTGCGGGCAAATGCTCCGAGTGAGAAACAAATTCAGCAAACCATTTCCAGTAATGGATTCATTGGCTGGTTTACATTGGTGTATGCTTGTTTGGTTTATACTCACACCAATGTCTACAAATTACATGCTCCAGCTAAATGACAACATCAGCAGACTATTCCGGGTAAATCACGTGGCGTGTGCCATAATCCGGGTCAGCGGGCAGTCATCGCAGTCAGAGATAGCTTGGTCTTGAATAATTTGTTTAGTGTTTTTCACAGAATCCAGTGGCGCACGCCATGGACTCGGGGTATCGTTGGTGTGCGCCGCTAATGCACCGCTCGATTATAATCTTAAATCGAGTTGGCGTTACATATTTAGGTTAATAAAACAAAAAAAGAAATTAATAAACGAAATTTAGTAACTTTTTCTTGATACAGGAGGTGTATTGTGGTAGGGAGACAGTATGCACAATTGATGGACTTCACTACGCGTCTCTGTACAGCGCACGAGTCAAAGCATTTAACGGGGCTGGAGAAGGGCCTTATAGCGAAGTTATCGGCTTACAAACTTCACCTGGTAAGTTCGTATGTGCATTGTAGTATATACGTAAATGATTAAAAGAATTTATTTTAAAAGTACGCTTATAGTGACAGCGTATTATAAATTGCAGTAAACATTTTTTTTAACATAACTAATTAATTAAATTGATGTGTGTCACATATTGGACTACTTTTATTTGATTGTAGTATTGAAAGTAGCAATTACGCAACTTATTATTCTTTAGTAATATTCTTCATTTTATTTAATTTTAATTTTACTAAAACAGTCTGAAACAGACAGTAAGAGCAGGATCAATTCTTGTGAAAGATGACATGCAACGTGAATTAAGAGCACATTTTCGTGTGCAAAGTGGCGTGGCTTTTTTAATGGAATGAAAATAGAATGGAAGTCCTACGCTATCAGTGGATGCTGTTTCCAAGAAGACCGCGTAGAGGTCGACCTGTCAGTATATATTGCTAGAAATGGGATCTTTAAATCCCATTTGTGACAATCCCTGTCCTGACAGTGGCGTGGTTCACGTGGGACGCGCGATGCGGGTCGACAGCGGGCGCGGGCGCGGCAGCGGGCGCGGCAGGGGGCGCGGGCGAGTGCGGGTTGTCGCTGAGCGCGGACGGTCTGAGCGCGCGCGCCGCCGGCTGGCAGCCGCGGGTCGCGCTCGCCGACCAGCCGCTCGCGCGCGGCCTGCACTACTGGCGGCTGCGGCTCGACCACTACGACGGCGACGCGGACCCCGCCTTCGGCGTTGCGAGGGCTGACGTCGCCAGAGACAAGATGCTCGGTATGTTCACTCACTCTAGCACGGAAAATACAATTTCATTCTAACTAGCCGCACAAATTTGACGGCGGCTTTATTTTTTGCTTATCATTCTGTATCTCGATCGCTCGCCTTTCACCCTCATTATTTCATAATTTCTATTCTTCTTTCTATATATTTTCTATCGTAAATACTTTCTGAATGAAATAGACAAATCTAGTTATAACATTTACCCTGGATGGCTACAAGTTATTAACATGGATAATGTGTGTGTGTAACGCGACAGGCAGCGACGCGCTCGGGTGGGCGATGTACATCGATGGGTCGCGGTCGTGGTTCGTGCACGGCGGCGCGCACGGCGGCCGCGCGGCGGGCGGCGTGGCGGCCGGCTGCACCGTCGGCGTGCTGCTCGACCTCACGCGCGGCACGCTGCGCTTCACGGTCGACGACCGGCCGCAGGTATCATATTAAAATTAATTATATAAATATATATGTATATATATATATATATATATATATATATATATATATATATATATATATATATATATATATATATATATATACCATCACTCCACACTTATGTATAAATGTTTTGGGTGTGTATAATTTTGTAATATACCTATTGTTATTTATTTATATGCATTTATTTATTTATTTATACTTGTACAAAGGTGTAGCACTTATAATTAATACAATGAGTTAAAACAATTTATAGTACCTACACACACTAGAAACAGGGTAATACTAAATCCGAATTAATATTACACACTTAAGGTATTTATCTTATGATCTCTTATTATTGATTTAATATATCTAAGTAGCAAACAAAAACAAAAGTATACTTGAAATGAAACATGAATTTCATTTCATCCACACTAACCTAATTTCAAGTTTTAAAAAATTAGATTATTACAATGTGCTGAGGATTTTCTTCTACCCGCCGTATTAGTAGAAATACTGTATCACGGTCAAATATGAATCCAAATGTAAAGACAATTTCATCCATAAAAGTCCAAAAATGAGTCAATGCATTGACATATATGTTACAGGGCGAGGTGGCGTTCACAGGCCTACGTGGTGCGTTCTACCCGGCAGTGTCGCTTAACCGTGGAGTGGCTGTCACGCTGCAGCCCGGAGTGCCACCGCCGCCCGAACTGCTACTTTCTCAACTCTCCATAGATTAATTCCTCAACTTTGAGTTATCTCACCTTACTTTCGCCCCACTACTCCACCTTCTCACGACTATTACAAACACACGACACTTAAGTACTAAAAGTGGAGTTAGACGAAACGATCATAGTAACCTGTACTTTAATTATTCTAATTTATCTTTAATATAAATTTAGAGTCTTTTATTGCTCGATCACTTTTATAATTTTGTATGTTATTCTTGCATTATTCTTTTAATGTAACTATCAGTTCCAACCTGGACAATTGTTCCTTTTAAAGGAAATTTAATGCATCTTGAGTCTTGTTTTTAATTATGACATCTGTCATGAAGGGCTGCAATGCTTACTGAAAAATGATATTACCCTTGTTGGAAATCATGGTCTAACTCTGCCTTTAAATAGGTTTCATGAAAAAATCTTACAAATAAAAATGTATTATTATTATGTTTTATTTGCAGCATTGTTTAATTTTTTAATATTTGGGTTTATTATATAATCCGTTAAATCTTAATATATATCTGTGTGTATATAAATATTAAATCATCGCCAAGTACAAATTCTTTATATCCATTGCAACTGAAAGAAATTCTTTCATTAAATTTACTATGTTGTACTCCCGTAATACGAAATATTCAATGGATTATATTTTAATGAAATATATATGTATATTGTACAAACAATTGTAAACATGATAAAGTACTTAACTATGTTCTCTAATCTATCATATTCCTTACATATTTATAAGTAAAAGCATACGAATACACGACATATTGTTAAGTGTATTTAATGTGTAATTAATTTTGAATACACACGATGTATTTATACTTAAGTATGTATTTCAGCATGATGAAACATTCATGACAATAACTTGTAGGCACAATGTCAGTTATTCCAAGTAATATATAAAGTATAAAATACCTATAAAACATACACTATAAGATTATACTATATATAATTACTGTGCATCGAATATATAAAAGCTGCAGTTCTAGCCGCCCACTAGATCTAAGAATTCATCTACGGAAATATTAATATAAAAAATTAGGTAGATTAAAAAAATATTTTTTGTGTGACAACATTGTATCTCGTGACTCTAAAGTCATGTTAATTATTTATTGATTTTATCATAATTTAATTAAGTAATAATAAGTATCAATTTCGTATAAATAGAAATTGAAATTTAATGATGATAATAAAGACAACTTGGTCTTTATTATTAATATATTAGCCATACTTCGATTACGATGATTATGTTAGTAGTTAGTAATATTTAATATTATTATGTCACTGCCATTTACTTGCGTACTATATAACTAGTATAACGGGACCTGAAATGAGTTGAATATTCCATTACCCACCAATATGCGCATGCCTATTTTTTAAATATTATTTTTATATGCATGAATAAGATAATCAACCCGTAACTAACTTATTACAAAAATACTTTTAAATTATTATTTCAATACAAAGATATAGAACTTGTATTTCTAAATTTTGCAACACACTTGCAATTTCTCTGATGTTGGGGGTGCCTATGTGCGACGGTAATCACTTACCGTCAGGTGAGCCGCATGCTCGTTTGCCCACTATCTTATAAAAAACATTAAAATTAGTCAAATTTTAATCAACCATTGTCATATGGGGTTATACCTTTAGTTTTTCTCCGTATCTGAAAGTATTACACATATTAAACCGTATTAGCTTTACCCAAATTTAATAAGACGAATAGTAATAATATTTTCATTACGAAGAATTACTCAAGCACATGTTATAATTGTATTAATAGTAATTTATCTTCATCAGTTTCGGGACCATCCTGAACCCTTAATCATGAAAATACACGTAAATCAATACAGTTATTTTTACATTTAAAAGGTCGTATCATTATTAGAAAATAATATTAGAACAAATATCAGCCTCATTTTGTTACAAAAACATATGAAAGAAATAAGGATGATCATTAATCATTAGCATATTTAAGATTATTTCCCAGGGAGGAGAAGCCAGTCTCTTTATTGTAATGTGGGCAAACCCCCCCCCCCCCCCCCTCGAAATACGCCTATGTATCTATTTGCCGTGAATATGGCTTACAGTAGAAAATCTAAAATTAATATTAACAAACCTATTTTATTCATACCATTATATAAAATATAGTTTTGACGATTACTTCTAAAATTTGTTCACCATCACAAGTTGTAATCAACAAATGTGTACTTAAAATATAATATTCCTACTAATACCTATTGAATTGGTACTTAAAAAATAAACTTATATACTTAATATATATTTATATACGTTTAATAAACGTTACATTATTCAATAACTAGTCATTTTGGCTTATAAAAAAATATTACTTTCTTGACAATTGCGGCCACATTTTTTTTTTTTTCATATATAAGTACTTCATTTTAATATATTATTATAGTATGAGTAGAAATATGAACACTGGATTTTTATGGGTCATCGTGATCATTGTTATCTTCACGCCTGCCCACTGAGATGAACAATCTCTATCTAATCATTTTATAGAATTACTTAGTGATAAGTTAACTTATACCCTAATTTTGTCGTTTTATTTTTGTAGTATTTTGTTTATTTTACAGAAATTAAGTAGGGGGTTGATTTTGAAGCACTGCTCTTTATATATCTTTAAAAATGAAAATTGATGCTTTACCCGAAAGTATGTTATATTATGGACACCGAGATATAAATTTAATGTGCATTGTCCATAATATGGGTAGCCCTTTTATTAAACTGTAATATATTTTTTAAAATGTATAGCATTTCAGAATCAACTTCATTATCTATTTAATGGTATGAAATTACCTTATTTTTTTGTACGGAGTGTTCTAGTTGAAGAATTGCTCTAGAGATTTTGTCATATTGATGATGATGATTTACTTATTAAAATATTTTTATGGCCCATAACATATCATGCAGCTTCTTTGCACTTAGCACAAGTAATGAATAATTTAAGTGGATTACATCAAGTGGATTGAAACAAATAGTCATCTAGGTATTTTTTTGTTTGTGTTATGTCTATAAAAAAAACTACAGCCATTTGTATATCCATTTTTATAGAGGAATGTTGATTATCTTTTTGCTTAGTCTCACATTCGCTTAAGAATCGCATTTTGATTAGACACTTAAGTGCTCTGTTGAAATTCTTTAACATCGCGTAACTATCAATAAACTATTATCCCTGACAAACATTATTATCCTTGCAGCTCGACTCTGAAATAGTAGCAGACGACATTCTGGTAATCATGACTGAAAGTAAATTAGCATTTACTTGTCTGTAATTATTTCTTTATTGTTATTTACAAGCTAATTAATCTTGCGATATGGTATCTTATTCTAAGCATAAAAAATATCATCAGCTGGTGTATTATTTTAAAATATTATTTATTCGCCACTTGCACCTATTCATTAATTTATTCCTTTAATAAAATATATCTGGCATATGTACTTATAAAATCGAAGAACGTAATTGGATAATGTTACTAATATTGATTTAAAATTTTCTTGATTATTGACTGATTTATAACATTAAATACATGCATTAATAAAATGGCGTTTTAAATTAAACAAATATTGTTTTATTTTTGCCCTTTTCCACAACAAAAATACTTTATCACCACTTTTAGAACGCAAAGCGTAATCCTTACTACTTTAAATGTGAAAGTGAGTTTATTTGAATTTATTACCTCTTGCCGGCTTGACGGATCAGCATATTATGATAATGTCATATAGTAATTAGATAGCATGGAGTATATATAAAGTATTTATTGAATTATGAAATTAAACAAAGTTAGATTAGCTCTAACTAGTAGTAACCGTACTTAAATAGTACGTACTATTTGATATATACATGTATCTACACATTACCTAGATGTTACATATGATAAATATGAAAAAACCCGAATATTGTCCCATTCGGTAATTTTTCCCGGATTTTCCCTACATTGGGGTTTTTTCCGGGTAAAATCCCATTTCTATATAGTATATGTGATGTATTTGAGCTAGCTAGCTTGAGAAACAAGCGATTGATGTGATAGTGTGAGTGATACTTGCCTATTTCAGTAAAAACCATAATAAAAGTCTGCTGTTCTCAAATAGTAGCACAAATAAAAAATAGATAGAATTTTCCATTTGTTACTTATTCCATTTAAATAATATTTCTCTTAATCTGAACATTTAACAACATTACCTCTTTATTAAATTCTATTGCAAGTACTTAAATCTCGAGGCCGTGGCCGAGCACTACCCGCACACAAGCCTTACAGCCTGCACAAATAATAAACAGAGCTTTAGATGTATTGAATTTTTTTTTTATTCTGGTGTATTATTGCTAATTATCAATAATACAGTAATGAGGGAAACTACGAAAATAGTCTGCATGGATACTTTTGTTCCACCCATGTTTTTGTCGCTAAGCAAATGTGCTTGCATAGTTGTTTCAATCTGAAGGGTTCCCGTTTCAATATGGCTAAAAAGAATTATAAAAGCTGTATAAGACAACACCTTTGTCTTGAAGACTGGCCACTTCTAAAATGTCCTTTATAGTGCATCATATTTACAATATGATGAAACATGTATTATATAATTCTATAATGTTCATGTTCGTTTATATAAACGACGATTACCACTTCATCAACTGACCAGTTTTTTTTTTATGGATTACTACAGATGGGCAAAGCACCGGGTTTAAACCCGGTGCTTTGGTAAAAACCCAATAAACACCCATAAACTCCCATAATCACCCAAAAAATAGGTTTTTACGTATTTTTTTGAAAATATGTAAGTAATACCAATAAATTATTTTTATAAATTGTATTGATCAATTCTACAATATTAAATAAAACGTTAACTAATAATATTTCAGGAAATTTTAAAAATCTATATATAATAAAATGAAAGTAATTAATTTTCAGTGTTTTCATGTTGCAGTTGATCAACATGTTGGCCTTTTGCTTCCCGTAGATACTTTAAAATTTCTTCATAACACCTCGTTCGCACACATGGCCGTATATATTTAAATTCTTGAGCCACTAACAGTCCGAAATACTCATTTCTTTTATCCTCTTCTCCATAAATTAAGCATTTAGAACAGTTTGTTTCTTCTTTCAGTAAATTTTCTTTTACTTTACCCTCGTTTTTTTTCTTTGTTGCGACGACGCTGGGTAAATCATCTGGACACTGGGTCTCACTATCGCCAAATATATTTGGAGATCGGCTTCGGCTACGGCTTGGCAGACATTTTTTTCTTTCTACAATTTTAAATTAAATTTATTAGAATAAATGCTTCGAACACACGCGATCTAAGTACCTTTTGTGTTTATTATACCTTACCTACCTAGGTATAAAAAGAGTACTTACGTAGATTTTCTTTTATTAACTGTTTTATACGAAGATCTTGATCTCTCAAATTAGCATCCATTTTACTTCCAGTGATTATCAACTAAATTAATAATCCACAAAGTATTAAATAACGTTTTTATGAAATATTTAGCACAAAAACAATACCCTTTAAATATCGATCGTCAGTAACTGTGGCTGACTTACCTATATTCTAGCAAGCAGGACTGCCAGATGTGAAGGGGAAAACCCCAATAAATTGTTGCATGTGACTGATGATGTGAGCATGTTCGTTTCATAATAAAAATGTTGCCAGGTAACCAAAAAGTCGTATGTTTTTGTGCGAATTACGATCATAATCTTTACGATCGTACATTAAAAAATAGACAAATAATAGTATGAGTACGATTTAAATCGTATATCTGTCAACCCTGCTAGCAAGACAGCGACAAAATCACGTTGCATAACAATGTAGCCCAAGCTTATATCTTATGAAATATACGGAAGAGATACGGACTTAGAAAAAACAGAAATGTTGTTCTTTGTGGAAGTCATTGATGAAATTCTATGTATTTTAGCCCGCAAACTTTCTTCAAACAAAAACAGCGCCATCTAGTATCGAGTTCTGTAATTATCTCTTTGTTTATGGATTTGAAGTAAGACCGCCACGCATGCAATACATTATGACTGGGGATTCCCCTATTCGTCGACGCTGAATATGAGGCGACGACAATCACTGTCAAACGTGTTCACTATTACTCTGACTCTGGTAACGTGACTTCCTGGTAACGTGTTAGGTAGGAAAAGCAGTAAAAAAGTGCATATTAAGGGAGCAGATTTGAAATAATATTTATACTTAACAAGAAATAATTAAAGGTAAGTGGATTTTTGAATGATACAATTATATCATGATCACTTAACAATTTTAACTTAAAATTAGATGTATTATTACAAGCTTTTATTTAGCTTGCGTTATGTAAATAAAAGTATGTAGGTATGTTCGTATGTTGATGCAATTATCCTCAATCCTCAACCGACTGGGATAAAATTTTCCATACACGTTTATTTTGGATGATAGTGCATAGTTAGCTGAGAGTCGTCATTGGATAATAATGGTGGATAGCCTAAGATGTGTACTAGATATTTATTTTTAACATAATATGCGTAAGTACCTAATCGAATTAAAGAAGTTGCTGAGAAAAATACAGAACAATACGATAATAAACTAGCGTCTGCGTTTAATCCTCCGAGGAGATGTAATTTTACAAAGGTTTTTTGTATTTATTTTATTATTTTTTTAATAAATTTATTGTAAATAACAAGAAATAATCATTGTAAAAAAATAGGCACTCTATTGTTGAATTTTCGTCAGACCAACTAATCATCGTTCATTTTTTTAGGTTCAATGGGGAGACCTAAAGATTTACGCATATGGGAGCACTACCGTACTTTACCAAACAAGTCTGTTTCTTGCAAGCTTTGTAATAAGGTCTACAAATTCAGTAATGCTGCCAAAATGCTTCAACATCTTATCACTTGTCCAAAATCTCCAGAAACATTAAAAGACTCTATGAAACTTATAAAAGATAGCTCGTCCAAAACCAAAATGTCTGGACTGTCAGAGATAGAGACAAATGATTCTTTTATAAGCCCCTCGTCGTCTGCTAACACTACAATAAATGCTGAGTTTCAAGACACCGATGATCATATAAAAACAGAATTAGCGAGAGCTATATTTGTAACAGGGACGCCATTATCGATGGTGCAACATCCTTTATGGATACAATTTTTCGAAAAATTGCAACCAAAATTTAAAATACCTTCACGTAAAGCTTTAGCGACAAAATACTTAGATAAAATATATAGAGAAATGCGTTTTGAGTTAAATGAGGAACTAAATGCTTGTAGTTACTTACACCTTCAGTGCGATGGCTGGTCTAATTTAAGAAATGAAGGAATAATAAACTTTCTTATATCAAAACCTCAACCTGCATACGTTAAAAGTTTGAATACTGAAAGTAATCCTCACACTAGTGAATACCTTAGCCAAGAAGTTGAAAAAGTAATGAAAGTGTATGGAGCAAATAAGTTTCTTGTACTTATTGGCGATAACGCTAGAAATATACAAAAGGCATTCGAATTAACAAAACTCAAATATCCACATGTTGTTCCTCTCGGTTGCTGTGCACATATCCTTAACTTGTTGTGCCAAGATATTGTAAAGATACAAGAAGTAACTGTGTTTATTATGCAAGCCATAAATATAATAAAAACTGTTAAAAGGAGTCAACGATTAAGTTCCTTGTTGATAAAATCAAGGCAGGGTGAAGATTCTACACAAACACTAAAATTGCCTTGTGCTACAAGATGGGGAAGTCATGTTACTTCGTTAAAAAGTTTGAAAGCAAATAAGATAGCTTTGCAAATATTAACAGTTAGAGAAGATGTAAATTACAATTTCAAGAGATATTAAAGATTTAATTCTAAGTGATGATTTCTGGACGAAGACAGGGGAATGTATAAGTATTTTGGAACCAGTCACTGAAAGCATATTTTACTTAGAGAGCGACCAGAATCGTTTGCATCGCACATACATTACATTTAGAGATGTACAAGCTAAGATACGTTTTGCATTAAATGAGATTTCGACATTGAGCGAAGAAAGCAAACAGCAGATTCTAACATCAGTATCTTCAAGATGCAATATGGCAATGAGGCCAATACATTTTGCAGCATATATTCTAGACCCCAGGACTCTAGGAGTCGAACTTACTCAAGAGGAAGAACGGGTATGGAGTTTATCTACAATTTAAGCCAACACTTAAGTTTGTCAAATGTAATGGCAGATTTGGCGTGTTATAAAGCTAAAGAAAACTTTTGGGCCAGAGGATTTGTATGGAGCTCATTAGATAGCATTGAGCCCCTAATATGGTGGAAAGGTATTTGTGGTTCCACTGAGTTAAGCAAAGTAGCGATTCGTATTCTATCAGCTCCCTGTACTTCGGCAGCCACTGAGCGTTCCTTTAGTATCCAAGGCTACATACATAATAACAAAAGAAATCGACTTACAACTGAAAGAACTGAAAAAATTTCATTCATTTGTTATAACTGGAATCTTAAACATAAAGCTGAATGCGAGGACATTCAGTTTAATGAAGAAAATACCTTAGAAGCTTTCATTGAGCAAGTAAATGAACATAACAGTTTAGACGAAATAGAGCCTATCGAACCTATACAATTCATCGCTTGTAATAACTCTGAATCTGACAGTGATTGACTGTAGTTTTACATTTTACTTTCATCTCTTTCTTAATAAACTCAAAATCAAATTAAAAGTTTTTTATTCTGTAGGCTGCATAATAATATTGTCTGTCCAGTATAGTGGACGTCTTGCGGCTGAGATGACGATGATGAAGTACAAAATCATAAACACCCAAAAATTTGGGTGTTTATGGGGTTTAAACCCAATAAACCCAAAACACCCGGTTTTTACCCACCAGACTTTAAACCCACCCAGGTGGATTGCCCATCTCTATGGATTACAATGAAATGGTAACTCCGCCTGCACTAACGGTATATGCTAGCGATGTACCAGTGAAGGATGATAGATGAAAATGAAAAGGAAAGTCAGTTTATCAGTGATGAATATACTTGGAATTCAGCACGATGGTTTCTACGTGGTCCCACGTGGAAGTCGTCAGGCGGAGGTTCATATTCTTTGGTGCATGTTCCTTTTGGATGTGGTCGACAATAAAGTGCGAATAACCTACATCTCTGCCTTAAAACATTTAAAATACATACATTTCCTCAATAAATACTATTGCCTAACAAAAAACCGTATGAAAAAACTAAGCAGAATGGATACACGAAAGATCCCGTGACGTCGCGCCATAGACGACAACTCTCATAGGATTAGGAGTAAACCCTGTCGATTGCAAAAATTGTAAAAATCGATTCAGAATTAGCAACTTAATCATATAACTAAAAAAATCAGAAAAACCTTTAAAAAAATTTTGTGTTATGAATTTTCTGTAGTCATTACTGTGGTAATTAATAATGCAGGTATTAAAATAAAACTAGAGTATCATGCATAAAATAAAACCTGATATGCGGTGCTTAATGCCTATATTGTAATGTGATATTGTGACTTTATTCCATTTTCCCCATTAGTTAGTTTGCTATAAAAAAAAAGGAACCTTTTCTCCTAGTACTTATAATCAAGCTATGGTATGCATGTTTGAAATCAAAGTAGTTATTTTGGCGTGAAGAGTTTATTTTTTGGTCTTTTTCAACAATAATATATTTTTTAATAGAAAACAAGATAAATTATTACTTTACAGAATATAATATGACACTGCCGAATGCGTAGTTACAATGACCTGTATAATATAGTCTATTTGTATAGAGTTATTCATGATTTATTATTTTACAATCTAGGTACGTGATATGCTTTCTGTAATCGCCAACGTCTGATAAGATGAAGACTAACAACAGTCACTTTCGATTTGGCAATATAATTTATAAATTATACAATTAATATCATGAATAGGTACATAAAATATTTCTCTCAATATATTAAGTGTAACTATTTATAGAAGTTTCATGTAACATGTCAAGCCAGTGTTCAGATTAAATACATAACCTTTTCACTGGTTATATTTTGTTGCAGTAAATTACCTCATTCCAATAAATTTACTATAGACTGTCAAAATATGAGTATCACATTTATAATTATTGTTGTGTGATATCATAATGATAGTCAAAGTATTAAGCAGTAAAAAAACTTTTTATGAATATCCACCTGCAACATTCGGCTACTTAAATAGGTTCAGTCTGATAGTTCAAAAATTGCCCTAGGATATCTATCATTGGACAGACAGAGTTTGTTACTTCAAAAAACACCTTATAGATGCGTATACACTGTCAATGTCTAGGCCTAGTACATATAACAACCAACAGTGAGGACTTCATATGAAGAAAATAAGTCACGTCTATCTATATCTTAGGTAGTTTATACGCGTCCAACAAAATTTGGTTGTAAAATAATATAGGTCATTTTTTGCACAACTTCTCATATGGACGTTGATGAGATGATTAATCTTATTGCATTATTTTGCTGTTTTATGTCATACATCTTCTCAATGAAATATAAAAATAATAATCATCAATAATTACGAACAGTCTAGCGAAGTTTCTTAAAAATGTATAGTAAAATAAGCATCATTTACCACAAGCCGGTTGATTTTTGTCACTAAATAAGTTTTTTAAATAATTTTGTTAATTTATATATAACAACAAAAATATAATAGATATAATCAAATATTTTTCGTCATATCACCCATTTAGTTTATCAATCTCGGTTGGCAACTTATTCTTGATAGACTTGTTTTTTCGTATGCGATATACAATGTTGCAAGTTTCATTTTCATAAAATTTCAGCAATACAAATTTATTAGAAAATCACATCTAATTTAGTTCTAAATCATGAAACTATACATATCACAGATATACATCAAGTGCCAGTAACATCTTAGAAGTTTGACACATCTAGAAATAATATTTTATAAACAATTTTGTACGTAAGTAAATAATTATTTTGCACAGACAAATACCAACATGCTTTTGTACTTATGGCTAATATTTAATTAAACTCTAGTTCCCCTTCTTATTTGTCTGCGAGAATGCCATAATTGGAGATTACATTGGCGCATATTAGTCTTCTATGCAAAATCACAAAATATATCATTGTATCGTAACTTTTATACAATTTCAAGCAATCTTAATGTAAAAAAAATGTCTTCAATAATCTAGTGAATAGAAGAATAATTGTTTTTGTTAACCCAATCATTGTACAATGTTCTCCTCCCATCTCTGTTGTTTTTTTTTTTTAATATTTGTGATGATAGTAGTGTAAAAAATGTATACAAAACAGAATGGGAGAATTATGGTAACTAAACAGAGATCTATAGCATTGCAGAAAAATTTAAAAACTAAAAACAGGCAGGTCATGTACAAATTATTAAAAATGCTGTGTATAAGAATTGAACTACACATGACCAAAACTCTTCACTTGACATCCCTAATACTTTTATTCCCCCCCAGAGAGCAAAATCGAGTTTTTAAATAATGAAAATTAATAGCTCTCTAAAACAAAAACAAAGACAAAGCAATGACCATATCTGCAAGCCGTAATAGATTTAGTCCATTCCCTTGTCTTGTTAAAGTCACAGCTTTTTTTAAATTGATAGAACAAATTTATGAATTGTTTGCAATGAGATTTGGTGGGCTACCCATGTGTTGATCAGGGTAATTTGTAGAAAATCTGACTTGTGAACAAGAAAAATTAACTATAAAATATATTCCTCTCCATTTCTTTAACCATTCCCACCAAAATCAACATACAATTCATGCCAAGGCTGTGACAAAAACCGCTTTTAGAAATTACACAAAAAAAAAAAACAGTACAAACTATTAAATAAAATTGAGTCAATATAATAAGTTAACTTGGTAATTATTACAATTATTATTATTCACTTTAATGAACATATTACATCAGTCACCTTATGGTATTTTCCCAAGTTAACTTACAACATGAGCACAATTATCACAAAATACGGCTTGAAGTAATTGGACACTATCTCAAGCGGCCAGAAACAATGCCCTTGACGCTGCCATAAACACTCAAATGATCAGTATAATTTACTTGAGCTAGACTTATTATCTACCCATATTACAGAATGCACAATGTTTTTAAGAGAGTAAAAATAAAATGGTGCTAGCTCAAGATTGCTTATAATATGGGTAGGATTTACACATTAATATATATAGCAAGTCTACCACAATTTATGTTAAGATCTTGGACAAATTTAGGTAGACTTAAAGTTGGTATTCAGATTCAGATAAATATTTTATGTTTTAACAATGGAGGAATCCACGCACAGTATCCAATATGGACAAAGAGCGTAAAAAACCTTTTTAAGTCCCAATGTTTTATATACACTTTAAAAAAGTGACCCTATTTAGGGTCGAAGTCTTATTTCACGATAACTATTTACACGCACATTTTGTTACAATAAATTCATTACACTTTTTACAAATAAGTTTTTTGTTTTTGTTATTTTTATATTATTCCTTTCACCAGTCAGCAAGTCCAGATAGATGTAGAGGGCACAGAGTGTGCGCGAGTGAACACTGTGGCAGCACGGCGTTACTTGTCGGCAGAGTCATCGTCCTCGGGGCGCGCTACATATAGCGCCGGGTCGATCACCTTCGGAATAGGTTTGATCTCCGTGCCCAACTCCTGCTCTATACGATGCAGTGCAAATCGATCTTCGTATGTGATTAGATTAATTGCAATACCTAAGTGGCCAAATCGTCCAGAACGACCAATGCGGTGGAGATACGTTTCTGCCATACGCGGGAAATCAAAGTTAATAACAACATTGACTGCCTGCACATCTATACCTCTAGTGAATAAATCAGAGCAAACTAAATTACGGCACAATCCTGCGCGGAAATCGTGGAAGACGCGATTGCGATGTGCCTGCGCCATGCGCGCATGTATGTAATAGCAACAATATCCCAACTCTGTTATTTTCTTGGCAAGTAACTCTACACGCTGAGTGGAATTGCAGAATATTATAGACTGATTAATTTGTAACTGAAACAAAAAATGTAACATAGAAAATGTAAAATAGATAATTTTATGATAAAAGAATATTCACAAACTTAGAAAGTTATAAACAAATGGGAGTTTCCTTCTAGTCATAGTGTGCTCTCCTACTAGTAGGAGAACAAAGATATGATATTCCTTGTTCTCCTATCCTTCAGTAGCAGTATGAGGAACTATTATTTATAACACTTATGCTGACTCGTATTAAAAAGTAATAATGATACAAAGTGTGGGTTCTTGAATAAGGATTAGAAATAAAAGTATAACTCAATTATGGGCAGAAAGGAACTGTTACTAATGGAGTCTTACAGACTCACTGCTAGCAATATAATCTATTAGGTTGACCTCCATGCGGTTCCGCCTGGAAACTATAGGGGTTAATTTCTGTCGTGTTCGTCAAAAATTACTTGCAGTTTTAAGTAAATAACAATACATAAAAAAATTAAATAAGTTTCAAAACAAAAAGTTATCAATTTTTTTTTGTCCTCATCTGCTGACAATACCCCAAAAAAACTGTCTTTTAGGCTTCTTTGTAAAGGTAATAAGGACATTTCTTCAAGCGCACATTACACTCTTGATATTCATATATAGCTCATATAGGTTATACATGTTTATTAGACATGGTAGATATAAAAAAAATTAAGAACAAAACTAAGGTTTATCTTTGAAACTTTATCACTTATTAAAAAGTCTTGTCAAGCTGAATGTCTCAAAACTTATACTGTCTTCGTGCTACGAACAGTAGGAATAAAAAAAAAAAACGCCAGAATTAATAACTTTGAGATATGAAAAAAATTTATTCATATAGATGGCATGTTTATATACAGTTGTTCATGTCTATAGACGTACTATGGGTACCGCTTTCTATCAGATGGGCCATCAGCTTGTAAGTATTATAAGATAGATCATATTTTTTTCAAAATTTATAAATTTTACAAAAAGACATTTCATATAACTATACAAAAATGCACCATTACCTTCTGGTTCATTGGCACTTTTCATACTAATAAAACACAATTTTTTTATGTTGGCTTATTACCTATTCAATTATAAAATTTCATTAAATGCATTCAGCTAATTTCCCATCACCAAACACAGATAGTTGTCAATTTTAAAAATGTATAACAATTGCTATATAAATATATAGTCTATCTACCAAATTTTTATTACATACTGATTATGATTTCAATCTTTATTATGTGTTAATATAAATTCAAAATTACCTTAGAAAAAAGTGTATTTAAACAATGAACTTTCTGTCTCTCTTGTACAAATGCATAGTACTGTGTAACTCCCTTCAGTGTTAATTCCTCCATGAGATTAATCTCATAAGGTTCTCTCAAGTGCTTTTCCATAAATTGCTTTACACTCAGTGGAAAAGTGGCAGAGAACAGTAAAATCTGGCGCTCCTTGGGTAATCTGGACACAAATATTAAAAAAATATTAATCATTTGAACAAACTAATAAATACGCCTGTGCTATCGGTATACACTGGCGAGGCACCAGTGAGAGATGATAGATGAGTATGAAAGAAAGCAGGTCAGTTACCCCATCCTGATACCAAGTTTAATAAAAATATGAGCCAAAAACTAGTGCCACTATATGAATTACTAAAAAAGGGGCATATATGGTTCTGGTCCCCAGAATGTGAAAAAGTGTAGAAATTAAACGCTGAAGTCGAAGTAGAATTAAGTACTGAAGTCTTAGCCCATTATGATCCAAAAAAAAACTATTCGTGATGTGCGACGCGAGCGCACGGAGACTGGGGAGTGTTCTGTCGCAGCCGAGCGATGACGGCCGCGGCGAACGGCCGGTTGCGTACGTATCTCGTACACTAAGTAATACGGAGAAAAACTATTCACAAATACACCGCGAAGCATTAGCGATCATATTTTATATGAATAAGTTTCACCAATACTTATATGTTCGCCATTTTACATTACAGACCATAAGCCTCTGGTATCTATCGGACCTAACCTAACCTAGAGGCCTTATTATTAGATTATTGGGAAGTTATACGTCAGACATCTCGAGACCCCTTATTATCAAAGATACTAAATTATATCCATGACGGATGGCCTACCCAATGTGAGATTTCTAGTTTAAAACCGAGTTATAACCGGAGGGAGGAATTATATAAAGAGTTGGGTTGTGTCCTGTGGGGCCACAGGTTAGTAGTGCCAGATAAATTTAAAGAGAAAATATTAATTATACGAGCTCCACATAAGATAGCAACGTGGATCAGATACGTAAACGATCTAGTAGTCGATTATCGCTTGTTTTTCCTCCGGATATAAATAAATCGTTAAGCACAAATAATCAAGGTACAACACAGATTGGAGAAGGTACAGAGGAATTAGTACAGTCAGGAGGAGGAAAATATCAAACCGCAGGGAACAGAACAATCGGAACAAGTTACAGGGAATATTAGGAGCCCTTGACTTTCACCTGAGCAGCGACCAACTGGGCCGCCTGTTCCGATACCACCCCGAACTCGCCCAGTTAGAATGTGTAGACTTAAGTTTCCTAGGCATAAATTTTAGAATTAATTTGTAATAATTTTTATTTAAATTTTAGTTTAGTTATAAATTTTATGTAGAGGATTGTAGTGGGTAACACTGTTATTATTAATTGGAGGGCAGTTACGAAATAAAGTGTGTTGTATGTTGATGAACGCTCGCCTGGGATTTATCCCGCTACTATAGAATATTACAGTTTTCTTAGCGGTAAACGTGCAAGCTTGTATCTTAGTAGGGTTAAATTAGAACTTTGACAAATGTACTCTCGATTTTATACAAGCTGTCCGCTGTTAGCCTCCACAACAGGACGAGGGATGTTGGCACGGCCCGTGTAGTAAGCGTCCCCAATACGGGCATTAAATTATAACTTAACAATAAATGTCGACTGATATGCATCAAAAACAGCGTTTGATACAGAACTGAACCTTGTGGGATGCCGGCGTTAATGTTCATGCTATCAAAGCAACAACCATCAACCATGTTTTTGATGCATCTTCCAGACAAAAACTTGGCGACTCATTTGCACAATCCCTCGAGTAAACCGTATAAGGGGAATTTCGATATATATGTGATAGATATGGCAAAAGTGTACGATCAGGTTTGGCACAAACCAAACCCGATCGTACACTTTTGCCATATCTAGCCTAACAGCCAATGCCTCACCTTTATTTCCAACAGCAAGTGCCCAACAGTGTGTTAAGTACACATATACAGTTGAGCGATTATGGCGAAAACTATATTAGTGGATTCCGAGGAGTTGTGAATTGTTTACGCGCTCCATCATCTTGGTGAGAAAGGAGACGGTAGCAATAGGGCTATAGTTTGATGGGTTTGATCTGTCGTCCTTTTTAGACAGAGTGCACGACTGACAGAAGTTACTTTTGGCAGCTTTGACGAACGATCAGAAAGCCCAGGGAATTCACTTAAAAACACACACATAGTGAAGTTAGGACTATCGTGGCGACACCAACGAAGTTTAGCTCTCTCCCCTTATTGTTTAATTATAGCAAATGCAGTCTTAACGAATTATGGGAGCAGTCTCTGCAGCTGTTAATATTTTTGCTAAGGATTCAGCAGTTGCAATTTAAAATAAGAAGCATTTAGAGGATAAAGTGAATATCTGGAAGGATATACTTGAGAATGGTGGTGTTAAACTATAATGAAGACAAAATATTTGCCTTGCAATTTCTATTAATATCCAAATCTTTATTCTTTCCAAATTGTCAAGAGGAAATTGAGAATTGACTGAAAATCAATTCATATAGTTGAAACACAAAAAGTATTATTCTAGTTATTTTAGTTTATTAACCTGATAAAAGATTTATAAAGAATTTGCTCAGTTCAAATTAATTTTACTAAGTGTATTTTCTTTCTTTATTTCAATAATAAAAAATGTGGGTATAAAATTATTCAAATATATTTGAATAGCACTGATTTTATATTTGAATATTAATTCTGAAATAATATTTAAATAATTCAATTATTCAAATACAAGTTGTACTTAGAAAACATTAGGAATGGCTTATGTCCAGCAGTGGACAGATACAAGCTGAAATGATGATACTACAATGTCATAAAATAAGAATGGAGTACATACCGTGAGATAACCATATCCAACATGCCCTTGAAATCTTGGGAAAGGAGTTTGTCTGCCTCATCCAGAACCAGCATCCTGCACTGGTCCATTTTAGCAACTTGTTTATCCATGAGATCAATCATTCGACCTGGCGTAGCAATTATAACTTGAACTGCAAAATGGAATTTATCTTATGTAAGACCTCCAAAAACAGTTGAAATGGACAATTATTTTTGTTGATATTTGGCTTGTTGTCTTGTAACATGTTATGACTTAATACTACACATGTATAAAGAACACAGATAAATTTGAACAGTTACAGAAATTACAAAAAATAGTAATAATTAATTTGGAATCAGTAACATAATCACTAAACAATAGATTTTACATACTTAAAATAGTCATTTACTTGCTGAATTATATAAATTTATCATTAAAATTTTTGAAGTCTTTTTTGTTCCCTTTTTACCTTTAAGAAAACAATTTAAGATATTATAGTATTTTTTATATTAAAAAAATTGAATTACAAATTGATTTTAATAAATTATAAGAATTACTATCTGGTATCTAGCCAAATAGTAAAATCATAGCTAGAGAGGCCAGATACTGGATAGTTGCTTATATCCAGATATCCATTAAATCTATTTATTAATTTCATCTCTAAAATTAAGTGTTCAAAAATAAATCAAAATATACGAGGTTTGTCCGGAAAGTACGTATAAAAGTTTTTTAAAAATTTTATTTTACAATTATTCAGGTAAATCAATTTTATCCCCTTCAAAGTACTCCCCCTGTGACATAATGCACTTGTGCCAACGCCGTTTCCACTGTGAGAAGGCTCCTTGAAAGTCCTCTGGTTGTAGGTTTCTCAGCTGCCCCGTCGTAGCTTTTTTTATCTCATTTATGTCCCCCAAATGCCGCCCCCGAAGTACCAATTTGGTTTTTGGGAACAAGAAGAAGTCACACGGGGCCAAATCCGGCGAATAGGGGGGGTGTTCGGTCACCGTAATGGAATTTTTACTCAAAAACTCACGGACAACAAGAGAGGTGTGGGCAGGGGCATTGTCGTGGTGAAGAATCCAACGCCCCTCTCGCGCCAATTCTGGACGAACTCGTGCCACACGAGCTTTGAGGCGTCTGAGCACATCGACGTAGAATTTTCCATCAACTGTCTGGCCTGGAGGGACGAATTCTTGATGGACAATCCCCCGAACATCGAAAAAAACAATCAACATTGTCTCGGCCCTCTCTGAATCTTTTTAGCCACTTGTGGACGGTTGGTTCCTTCACAGCATCATCCCCATAAACTGTTCTGAGATCGGCAAAAATTTCACGGCCATTCTTGCCGAGTTTCGAGAGAAACTTGATTACGACGCGCTGCTCTTCAACGGAAGCGGGCTCCATGCCGACGGGGTTTCGTTAAGAGGTAACTTCACAGATGGCGTGACAAGCCAGTTCGCACCGCACGGCGGTCAGACCAGAACTGAAGCATTGTTAGGGACATAAGGAAGGGGTCCTGCGCTTACCTGGCCTCCCCACTCCTCTTTCTCGCATTCCAGAACACTTTTATACGAACTTTCCAGACAGACCTCGTATATAATCATAATAAACCATAAAAAACTTACAATATTTTTCTTAAACATTTTTATTTCAAAATCTATAAAAGAATATCTCACCATTTTGATAGATACGCATAATATCATCTCTGAGGTTGGTACCTCCTGTAGTCACCATTACACGAATGTCTGTGTGCTTCGCCAGCTCAATGCAAATTTGTGATGTTTGAAGTGCTAACTCCCTTGTTGGTACCACAATTAAAGCTTGTATAGCATCTTTTTTAGGATCAACCTACATAAAAAATAAGGTCAGTTTAATATAAAATAAATACTTAATTCATTTAGATAAAACAACAATGGACATCAGATTAGGTACTTATCACTTATGGAAAGTGAAGGGGAATCCAAAAATATCATCATGTTTATTGACTAATATTATAAAAGATTTTTATTGTAAAATAATATATATGACTGAAATCTTAAAAATTTATACTATTGAGAACATTAAACATATTAAAACTATTAATAATATACAAGCTATGTCTGACTAATAGAGATCAATGTTAAGATATTTCCACCATTTATGTATTTTCTCTCAATCTTATTGCTGTACAATAACATTTTAAATATTCATAATTACATAAACAAAACTTAGCCACAAAATGTTAAATAACAGGGACAAAATAAATTATATAATTTTTTTGTCATTGTAATTAAGTCATAACTCTATTATTAATTTTGCATTCATATCTATTGTCCATTATACACATATTAAAAAACATTTCACTACTCTTATTCAAACTAAGTTACAAATTAATTACAGCAGTTCAATATAGTCTATTAGAAAAAAAAAAAAATTACCTGTTCTAAAACTGGAATACAATATGCACCAGTTTTGCCAGTTCCATTCTTCGCTCTTGCAAGTACATCTTTGCCACTAAGTGCAATAGGGATTGAAGCCTCTTGAATAGGGGAAGGTTTTTCCCAACCCTTTTCAAAAATACCCATCAGCAACTCTCTTTTCAGACAAAACTCTTCAAACTCATTACCTCTAGTATCTGTCACATCCTAAAGAATAAAAATTATTGTAAGTAACACAATGGCTGCCAAGGTAAATAATGTGGGTACTTGTTAAAACTTACACTGGTTTTTATTCTTCTGTCTTTTGGAGGTATTTTTAATTTTGATTTCCAACCGATGTCGTCGATAGTTTTATCGACGTCTCTGTAAGAATCAATGTAATCTTTCAATGATTGCTTACTGCAAATAATTACGTATAATGATAAAACAATATATAATAATAAACATACCCCTTGCTCTGATTAGATAAACTATTTCCGACGTGATTACTTGAACTAATTCTATTTTCGGTCATCATTTTGCCAAACAATCCCAGTAGGGACGACTAAAATTAGAAACTTATAATCACAAAACTTTGTCCAACACTAAATAAATTTTAGAATAAATCACTGTCAGATTCATAAGCTACTAGGAAATTATCACGTTCACCAAATTAGTCCGGGAATCTGAAACAAATAAATAGGTACATTGATAAAATTATAGCCAATGAAGATAATACAAGAGACGCGTCAACAAGACCAAATACAATAATATCTAGTAGTAGGTATATTTATATTACAGTGGACCTACAATTATTTGAAAACTTTAATTAATAAATTATTATTACAAAAAATACATGACTAGAATAAAGGTTCCCAAACTAAAAGAAAAGTAATAATCAGCGATTAAGAAGATTACAAAGGATGATATTCATACATTTTACTTAGATCTATAATGGCCGCCTAGAAATTATTGATAAAGGAAACAACGTACTACATCAGTAGGAAAAAGGATTATTTGGAATTAATGAATTTCTTAGTGAATTAGATATGTAAGAAAATAAAAAATACACATAAAATATATTAAAATAATTAATTACCTTGATAAAACTTTATAAAAGACGATACTCGTACTCGTTAGTAGACGACGACATCACAAAGTATCCAAAGACAAACAAACAATTTTTTTTCAACGCGAGTAAAGATCCATAAACAGTACACAGTTTGAATAGTCATAATAAAACGGTGTTAAAAATAATCGCGGGGTGAATAGAAAAAAATCTATATAAGTACGGGACAGGTTGGCAAAAACTGAAACAATTAATTCAGACCATTATTCTTAACTGAAAGTCGATAGAAATTCTTACAGGAAAATTTCAAATTTTTCTGCTTTCTTTATTTAAAATCATGTAATCATTATCGCTTACGCAAACGCATGGCAGGCAGATTGGCAACCGCAGTCAGGCATTAGAGATGTTTTAAGAGGGACGCTGCTGCCCATCCCTCGCCATCACTTAATCATCTTTTACAACACCCTCAATGAGCGGAATCAAGTGTGTGATATTAACGTTGCAAGAGTACGAAAACTACCTACGAAGAAGCACCATTTACCACGCGTTGATTGTATTCCGCATCGTGTAGATCATAAAATTTGTAAAACATTACACGGCATCAAAATTAAAAATCGACTATGGTACCATACATCTGATTTAGCTGTTTGCATTTTGGCCAACCTGTCTTTTCCACCTTGTATAATAGTTATAAGACCTCTTTTCTATGTCTACAAGAATTCATATATAATACAAATATTTTGATACAGTAAATATTTTTATATTATAAGACAATAATTATTAAATGCCAAACATACACCAATCTATATTTACGTTATTTTTTATTAAAAAATTACAAACTAAAAACGTTTTTTGTATTTCGGCTGTAGTTTGTTTTTCGCATTGTATATATTTCGAAACATGTAAGTTATTATTTATTTGTACTTTTGATTATATAAAAAAATAGTTGAAAATACACTAGAAAAAAAAATTAAAGGATCAAAAAAAAAATGCCAAATTTTTTAAGGTGTTTCAAGTAACTGTATTTCCATTAAAAATGGTCGTATTGCAATTTTAAAAAAAGGATTTTAAAGCTCAAACTTTCTAGTTTTGAGATCTTATGATGAAATAATTTTTAAGCAACGTGTTCTGCTCAATCCTAATGAATACCGAAACAAAAATTTTATCAAAATTTTTACGGATCTTTTTTTTGGTCCACGAACTTGGAAAAATTTTTTCCAACTTAATCACTATATGGATCAGATAGCTTATTCATTCAGCTTCAATTTGCTGTTTGCAAAGTTCGATACGACTACTTCTCGCTGAGATATCGAACTTTGAATGTATAAGGATCTTTTTGTCTTTAACCAAAAATATCTCAGCAACCGCTAATCGCATAAGAAAACTAAGGAGGATTTTAAAATCTTGAATAAATTTCCGACAAAAATCAGCTATGGTTTTTTGAAAATTTTTTTTTATTCTTCACATTAATATCCTAAACTTATCTGTGATCTATGCCATTTCTAGACATGTCAAATCAACTACCTATTTATTGCTTTACCAATTTAATAGAATATTACTACTATTTAATTAGATATAGACATTAATAATGAATATATTATGTTATTTTACTGGTATATAAATTTAATTAGCTAGATATATAAAATATACCATAACCTAATGGTAACTCTGAAACCACGAATCATAATTAAACTCTTGACACTATTTAAAAAAAATACCTTTAAATTAAATAACAAAATAATTTTTAAATAATTATTATTCTGCGGGGAGAATCAAATAATTTTAATTGCAGTTATAGTAACAATAACTTATTTATTAATATGTAAGTATTAAATTTTAGAATTAAAAAAAAATTAACAAAAAAATACCTGAAACATCACACGTATATACAATTCTTTTACAATTATAATCTAACTTTACAACATACATTCCAAAGCATAGGTAATTTTTTAATAATATTCTTGACCATTTTCTTATAGGACGGAATATTGGAAATCGCAGGCAAGAAAGTATTGTGAATTTTGCAAGTGTTGGTTTGCTGATAACAAAGTTGTAAGTTCACATTGAAATTCAATAGAATATATAGATTTGTTTTGGACTAATTGTATATTGTTATATCATGTAATTACAAAATACTTTATATATTATAAATACTCAATTAACTATTTGCAGTCAATATCATTTCATGAAAATGGAAAAAGACATAAAGAAAATGTCCAGAAACATATATCACAACTCAGCAAGAAAAGTGCAAAGGAATTCAAACAAAAAGAGAAAATTGATGATGATATTAAGAAAATGGAAACAGCAGCAATGGCTGCGTACCTTAAAGATGTACAAAATAATGCAGATCTCACATCACAGGTGTGGTATAAAATAAAATAAATATATTATTTAGTAATATATTGTATGTTATGTATGTATTGTATATATGTATATAACAGAGATGTCACATATATGTATTTATAGTTTGCTAGTGGTTTAACAGGTTATAGTTAAGTATACTGTCCATATAAACAGTATGTTATACACAGACTATGATCAATTGGCAATTGTATCTTGTTTAGAAACAATCAAAATTGTATTTAGGGAGCAGCATTGTGACTTGATTTGATCACTTGGCTGCCTGGTTGTCACTTGATTGGTGGCACACATTTGGCTGTTATCATGTGTTTGTCATATAGTTCACATGGCAGCATGTCACTACTTAAGGGAGTTACGAGATGCAAACGCCTAAAATGGCTGCCCATTTTGCAAAAGAAAATTCTGGGTCCAATTTTATTCACATTATTGAATTATACTTTTCTTTGTATAAAAAATACTGAAATACTCAAGAAAAGATATTATGGACAGATCTTTATATTTGTTTTGGTATATTGATGAAGCCAATACATTATTTGCTTATATTGACATATTCTAAAAAAAAAAAGACTGAGGACTGTGTGCCTGTTTACTGTCAATTATATCTATATATAGATATAATTATATCCTTGTTTACAACCATTGTAATATAGAAAATAATACACTAATAAATTATAATATAATTTGTATTCATGAGCATGTCTGTATAGGTTTGGATGTATTATATATATTATACTTACATATATGTATTTTTGAAAAAAGTATCTTAATATTTTCTTCGGTGGCCTAGTACCTATATTATAAGCTCTATTTAGTTTGGGACTAAATGATGCTGTATAATATAAAAGGGTATTATTTATTTATTTAGTTTCATCATCATCATCATTATATCAGCCTTTAACTGTCCACTGCTAAACTTAAGCTTCCTTCTTGGGGGTGTTTTGCCAATAGTTGCCACGCTTGGCAGGCAGATTGGCAACCATAGTTGGATTTTGGAGGTGTTTTAAATGAGACGCTGCTGCTCTTCCCTCGCCCCGCTCCCTTAGTCGCCATTTACGATACCGACAGGAAAGGAAAGGGGGCCTATTCTATGCCAGTACCACCTGCAATTTATTTCATTTAATTGTCGTATATTAATTAGATGGTTATTGTATGTGATAAGTGCCAGTTTATAATATATATAGTTTGTTTTTAAAATATTTCCAAATATTACTTTTTGTTATTTAAACAAAAATGTATTTTGTTAAAATCTACATTCTATTTTAGAGTATAAATGAGATGATAGGTCAGAGCGGTTGCAACAATGAAGATTTACAAGTAGGTATTACCAGTGTACCACTTGCAAAGGAAGCTTCTCCCGTCTGGCAGGAAGTTAAAGGTGATAATGAAATTTCATACTTCTGGAATACTAGTACAAATGGTAAGAGTAATTATTTATAAAATAAAATATTTGCTCCTCTAATGATTTTCAAAGTGACTCTATTACACACATTTTTATGAATTCTCCTATTTATATAATAACAAATTAACACATTTATAAATATTGCCATTTAAAAAACACTATCATGTGTAACAATTGTTCTCTTCATTTCTGCTTTTAAATGTCCACTATTAAACATAAGTGATTCTATCAAGAAATATTCAGTATACAAAGGGAGACTTTGTACAAAAGTCGATTGCTTGGGTACCTCTGTCCCATTCGTGTTTCTACCGTGAAGCAGTTGTGTTTGCATGTCTGTGTTTCGGTTTGAAGGGTGGGAAATGACGTGAATTTACAGGGTACAGAGGAATAACACCTGAGTCCTCAGGAATGGCAACGCATAGGGGGTCATCAACCATCGGCGAAACAGTATACTCTGTTCTGTTCATGGTACTGCACATGTCTATAGGCGACAGTTACCACTTTCCATCAGGGGGGCTGTCAGCTTGTTTGCCATTCTAAGTCGTATAAAAAAAAATCAAAACAGACGGAATTTATATGCTTTTATTTATGTATTAATTTGTTTGTTTATTTCCAGAAACTACTTGGGACCCTCCTGATGAGTATTTATCTCTTGCGCAACAAGAAGAAAACAAATTGAAACAAGCAAAAGAAGATAAAACAAAAGAAAAAATTAAGTATGTAAAAAATAATTCTTTATTTTATTGTTATCATTTTATTTATTTAGTATATATGCTGTAAAAATATATTAATTTCACATTAACATAACAATTATATCAATCATAATAACAGTATTTATTGTCATTTATACGATTATTTATAATACACGAGGCTTTTTTATTAGAATTGTAAACCTATACTTAGCCACAAAGAGAGCAAATATTTTATATCCTGCAATTTATTTATATAAAAGTTATTTTAACAGAAAACAAAAACAAAAAGAAGCAATTAAGGAAGCAAAAGCCCATATGGCACGAGAGAAAATGAAAGAATTGTCTGTAAACAAAGAAGAAACACCATCACCCAAGATTGTTGACTACGGACCAGCACCTCGCGCTGCTAAACCCTACGGTTCCTGGACACTTGTTGTTAATGAGTAAGTAACTTAAAAATATATATTTTATATGCTAGCAGCATAAAGTTAATGAATTGTTACGGTAATATTAATTAGTATATGTTTATAATTATACTATTTACAATCTCATCTCTAAATAACGTCTGCATTTAAAGGCTATAGAGCCCAATAATGTAAAAAAAAACCTATTTTTAATTCATAAATTAGCTTTGATGTATTATCCAACACTGTAGTTCCAAACCAAGTAAAGCTTGTATATGGTACTAGACAACTGATGTATATTTACTACATTTTATACTTTTAAGAGGAGTGGATTGCTGGAAATGGGGTCCCAAGACTCCATTGCTGGCTATCTACCCCATCAAATCGATCTGCAGCCCTTTCTAGAAACCGTCGCGGTTAATTCTCTGTAAATTCGTCACAATGGGCCAACTAACCTGTTTTCATCCCCATCTATCATCTCGCATTGGTATCCCGCCAGCGAATACCTATAACGCAGGCAGAGTCATTTCATTATCATCCATTAAAAACTTACTTGTAGAAAAGAAATTATTATTACTGGGACTCATGGCCCTCGCTCACCTTTCCATTACACCTCTAAGATCATCAATTCTAAATCGATTTATTTCTGTATTTTTTCTATAAAAATATTGTCGAGTTTAACATTAAATAAATATAAAACTTATCTATTTTCGTCATTGAATTCCAAAAATACTACAAAACAATAGTTTTCAACCTTAACAATACCCAAGCGTGAAAAAAATTGTCTCCAAATTTCTTTTAATTAATAAAATAAAAATGTAATATATAATTGTGTATTGTTTTGGTTATAATATAATATAAATAAAATAATATTAGTATAATATTGTTACTGTTTGTTACTATTATTGTTTGTTATACTGTTAGTCTATTGATATTGTAATTATTTAAACTTTAATAATTACATCAGTATGTACTTGTAAATTGAACCATTGTATTTGAATGTAAGATTAGAGTTTGATAATTATGTTTATATTCCCCAGACCTGTAGAGAAGATAGACCTTCAGTTGCCAAAACCAGAGAAGCAGCCACTTCCGCCTCCGGTGGTGGTACAACCAGAAGTAGTCCAATTCAAAGAAAAACGTGTTGAATCACTTGGAGAGGGGCCGGTCGAATTCAAAAAACGGAAATTGAATACCTCCAAACGAAATATGCGCCAGAAAATTGATGACGATTAAAATATTTGTAACAATAAAAATATTTTAATGTAATAACGACCGGATTAACTTAGTGTAGTCGAGAAAACTCGACTTGTTTAGTCTAGTTATTACATTAAAATGTTATATCAACTTACAAAACATTAAACTATAAAATAAATTATTTTTACACTACTACCTAGTTTTTTTTTTCACTTTTAAAATACTCCCTAACATTTATGAAATCGCTTATATAGTCCAAATTTCTAAAGACGATTTCGTCGACTATTTTATGTAGATGACCATTATAAAATAAAGAATAGATTGTGATGGTATGTGGTATAGAGCATTTTCATTAATTAACGAAACTTTTATGCTAGTTTAGTATTATCAAACTACTCAGTATTAGCAAACTAGCATCTGTTACCCATACTAATTACACAAACTGGTAATTTTCGTATAGTAGGTAATATTTTGAAAATACTCTTAAACTGGACTAAATGTAAAATATAGAATAAAATAATAGATAAAAAATTATGGAGTGAGTCCCTAGCACTAATAAATAACAAGGAAGTAATGGCATTCTAAGGCTCTTATCGCCGACTTACAGATGAGAATTTTCTTTCATATTATTTTCTCATTTGTTCAGTTCAAATCAATTTGCCAAAAAATTATGAAAGTAGAAAAAAACTTTTGTCATTTTATATAAAATGTCGATAAGCAAGTTAGGTTTATTATTTTCTTTCCTCGTATCCTTGAAAAAACTTTGCATGCTAGTTTTTACATATCTGATAATAGTACTAATAATTAACCTATTCATCTAAAGAAAACACAAAAATAGAATCATTAAAAAATAAAATCAAAGAAAACGATATTCTGCCCTCACTTCGTCTTGATTTTAACCAAAATCGAGTAAGTAATGAATCCGTATAAATTCGTCGTAATTACGTGTTCACCGTCATATGACTTCAAAAGATGAAAAATTAGTTGAATTTAGGTAGGCAAATTGTTGTAGGTACCAATATTTTAAGTGCTTTTTTTTAGATAAAGAATAGTAATCCATGTTGTGCTATCAATATACACTGATGAAACCAGTAAGTTATAGGTAAAGACGAAGAAAGTTCGATTGGTCCATCGTGACGAATTAACCACGATGGTGTCCAGAAAGATTGCGATTGAACAACGTGGAGGTTGACCAAACAGGTAAATTGCTAGCAATGGGGCTGCTAGCTCCATTACTAACAATCCCTTCTCAAACTAATAATCCTGGTTCTCAAGCTAGGATAGCCTATAGATAAGGAACCAGGCAACAAATATCTGGGAACACATCTCGAAATATCTAGACCCGAGCCAACTAAGAAAAGCTCATTTTCTATATTAGACCGAACGAGAATCCGAATCCAAGACCTTATGACGCAAAGTACCTATCATTGCTTCACAAAAGTTACCATATTAAAAAAAATCTGCACACTAGTACCTACATTTGTACGGTAATTTATTATTATAACGTAGCGCGCTGTACTGTTTACGGTAAATTATAAAAGCGCCCATTACTCTCAATTAATTGGTTTTTCGGCGAATCTTGTTCCGATTTTCTTTAATTACACGTACGTAATTAATTTTTAGAAAAATTAACTGTTTATAAACAATTATAAATACATATATATTAATGATATGTACCTAGCTATGGAGATTTCACCAAATAATATAAAGATAACAATACAATATACATAATTTACAGTGTAATAAGCATATTAATAATCCATAGATATTTGCTATTATACCAGTTTTGAAGAAAAATGTGTCAATAGAGAATACTACAGCGGAGAATATAATTAAATTCAAAATAACTGCTGTTCTCTTATTTGAATTTATATTTAAATACAATAAGTAGCACGTTGGTAATTATTAAAAATAATTTGACCTCCACACGGTCCTTTAGAGATCACCTTGGTTAATTTCTGGTGAATTCGTTACGATAGGCTAGCCCTATCGTATACTGACCTGACTTCATCCTCAACTATGATCCCTCATTAGTATCCCGTCAGCAAATAGATACCAATAGTACAAACGGAATTGTTATTCCGTTTTCATCTCTTAAAAAACCTACCTAATAGGAACCACTTAGAGAGCTGAAAATTGTTTATCTGTAGCGTAACTCTAATCTTACATAATAAACACTAAAAGATTCATTTCTTAATTAAAAATTTTAAAACTACAAGACAGCTGAACAACTGTAGATACCTATCTATTTACAGCTCACATTATCAACTGGTTTTTAAAAAGAAAAGTTTCGATTCAATTTGTTTATGGATAAAAATGGAAAGGTACACCCGACTATAGGTAGATACTAATGATGTAAAATTGTAAGCAAGAATGAAAAATGATGAGAATAAACTAAATTTTTTTAAGTTGGGTATGAATGGAATGCTCCATCATATCTTAGAATTAACATCTAGAACATTTTTTATGCTCCAAGAATAAAAAGCCAAAGGATACGGGTAGTGACAAATAAGACATATCTACTCGTACTCGGCGTCAAGTAAATATAGCTACGCGATCGTGATCTCGCACTGATATGGAAATGAAGCGCTATTAAGTTTTAATGCGACATTGTACATCACGATTAGGTCCGGCATCATTGAGCTGAGGACGATTCGGCGATCATTAGTTTTTCCAAGCACGAACGGGACTCCGCACCCTATATATAGGTATGACAGCAGGCTAAGACATCATTATCGAAGTAGACGCTGTCAGCACTCCTGTCTAGGCTGAACTCTAGATTCAGGTTTTTGTGTTTTGTGTTTGTTTAACACGTCAACATGTTCAAATTGGTAAGGTTTCTACTTTTTGTTATTTTTGTCTTTTTGGTATTTTGTTATTAAACATATTTCGTATCACTGTGACATTTTATTCCTACTTGTACAACAATTAGTCCATTACCTTAAGGTTGTCTTGAAAAGATTGCTCTCAGCAATAAGACCGCCTTACTGTACTTATACAATTGTATCGTTATGTTTGTAAATTGTCTTGTTTATTTCCTATATTGTATAATGCAAATAAAGTATACTCATTCATTCATTCATTCATTTAGTATCAAAAAATATTATTTTATAACTATTTATATTATTGTTTTTACTTAATATATGAAAAAAAATAATATGTTAGCGACTGACTCTGTTCGAAAACTGTCGTCCTTTTTTTTTTGGTGCTTTATATTGTACACCGTATTTTAATTTAACTGTACATTTTGTATGTATGTCATAGGATATTCACTGGATCTTTATCGATTTCGATGATTTTTGCAATTGACATAATTAACCCTTATTGAGAATTAAGTTTCCTTAATGAGAATGAAACGGTGACTATTTATATTAAAATTATGTACGATATACTGTAGTAGAAACTACAGAATTGCCTATATAATTATATATATATCTATGTTTCAGATGGTAATTCTCTGTATCGCCGCTGTGATGCTGGTGACCCCCGCATTGTCTAAACCTCAATTATATACCTACGGCTATGCAGCACCAGCGTACTACGCATCCTACAGCGCGCCCTTAGCGTACTCCTACCCATACGCTTATGCCTACACATATCCTTTAGCGTACATCTAATACTGATAACAATTTAACAAATTTTTCATTGCAGTAATCCACCATACCTTTTCGATTTTAAAATTTAAACAATAGAGAATTGAAATTTCTATAACTTTGGGATGTTATGAAGTTAAATTGTTCTCAAAATCGATTATGTCTTACAAAAATCACCATAACACAATTATTTTAAATACTTTAAGTTGTAATCTCAGTGCATTGTAATATTATTATATGAAACATGTAAATAAAGAAATACAACCCATTTAAGTTTATTTTTTGCATCAATACTTGGTTAATAGATAATCTATAAAAATCAAAATACCCAGTTACCTAAAAGTTATTATGTACCTAAAATAAAAATAAAACGAATTGTTCGTTATTAAATCTCTAGCAATTCTACAAATAAATACCGAGAACATGATAATATAAGAGTACCATTAAAAACTAAAAGTAGTACGGAAAAAGTAACCTGATTTATTTAATCTTTCGCTGTAACCTGAAGTATAGATACTTACTTGTTATATAAGTAAGTGTAAAAGCTAATGCAAAATTACGAATTCCAGTTTCCAGAATTTAATATGTATATTAAAATATTTATGAACTGAAATTTTCATCAAGTATTATAGTATCTACCAAAATAAATGAAATTATAATTATAGCCAAACGATAAAATCAGTACTCATAAATTTCATCATATCATGTATTTATGTATTCATACTGTAAACATTTTTTTATAAACTTACAGAATTCTATCCTTACTCTTTATATGTAGATATAGATAATAACTAAAAAAGTATTTTGCCTTTTATGACCTCTTAATCTTTCAGAATATGAGAATTTTTCCTCAGGGTCTGCAGACCATATCTAATACCAGATTATCATCAGAAAGGTCACGTACTTCTACTGTCACCTGTACAATATAAAATGTTCATCCAATAGATACCAATTTTATAGATGGGGCTATCCTGTACAAGTAGTATAAAACATAAGCATCCCTTGAAGAAAGTGTTATATCAGTGAAACTAAACATTTTCACCAAAGAAACATGCCTGAAGCGTAACTTTTTATACTTTTACGATTTAGATTTCACACTGTATATACGATCAATGATAATTCGTACTAACTATGTTGGTACTTAATTAATACACGCTATCATTAATTATTGATCTATTATATTGTATCTAGATAGATGCGTAAAAAAAGTCACAACATTAACTATATATCTAGCATTTTAATATGCGCGATACTCAAACAAATGTTCGAATGCCCGTAATACCCGACTATGGTACCTATTATGCTCACATACTCTATATCCATGTCTTCGAGTGTTGGCCGTCTCACACATACTAATGGTAGCGGAATTAAACAAAATAATTCTAATCTAACTTTTTAAAAAGTTTTTATATTATATTTATTATACTGATTGAAATTGACAACAATCAACATCAATTCAAAACGAAAGAGACATGGAACTAAAATCGACAAACTTAAAACTCCATATATTAACTTAATAAGTGGACGTACTATGTTAGTATGGGACGCTAAAAATATGTTGTCTTTTTCCACTCATAGTCTTTTGAAAAATTATTAGTTTTCTTTATAAAATACTTCCTTAAATTTTCATTTCCTTTGCCTTTCCTGTTTTATTTTTAATAAAAGATATGTGAAGATTGTTTATTAAATGTGCCAAATATTGAAAAACAGATTATACTTACTACCTATTTATATATAGGTAATACCACAAATTCAAGTGACATCAATCGTATTTTTATGATGAGAGAAACACTATTACCTACTTATTACATATTATTGTACACGTATTAGCATCTATTGTCATCCAGATGAGTCCACTAATGACACAATCATAATGGCATGTGCGAGGCCAATACTTATCTTGGTTTTCCCCTTCATTTGTATGCTGATGAGGCATGATTTTGACAGCTTAAGGATAATCTGTCAGGACTCTCATAAACTGAATATAATTACACGTAACTATTTAATTTATATTCATATAACCGTTCATTGGAATTCGAATAATTTAAATGTAGTACTCGTAAATTTTATCGATAAAATTATGCAGGTATGCTCATCAAATATACATACTGTAAAACTAGTACAGCATCACAGACTACCTGTTAGTAGTGCTATCTATATTAGATGAATTTACAAAAAGTATTGTAATTTTAAAACTACACTACAAATTTTTATAAGAATAAGATTAATCTAGGACTCTGATTCCGTTCCTGCCACTTCTCATTCCCGGAATATCGTAAAAAATAATTAACGAACAAAACACTATACAAATAGCTTTATTTTGTTTGAAAAGTGGTATGGATGAAAATTTTTAACACTGATAGATATAGACCTAACACATGTCGTATCCGTAAAGGTTGTTATAATAGTGTCGGCGTAACTGATTTTGAAGGGAAATCCCACCCGTTGCTGTGAATCAGAATCGAAAAATAAAAAAAAAATACATTAACTACCAAGTCTGCTACGTCGTGGACTTATTAGAATTCAAACCAATGTGTTGTAAATTTTGCTGAAAATATGTATTCAATGTGAATAACTCGAATTAATATAAATATTATATATATTATTTAATTAAATATAAATTTAAATGTAACTTGAGATATTCACAACAAAAAATAATTTTATATAGATACCTACCAGGATTTTTGGTAAATAAAAATCATATATTCTACTAGTTTTATTATTAGTAAACGTACAGTAATTACACATATATAACTATTTCATTCTGTAAATGTTAGTTTTATGCAAACTGAAATAAGCAGTCAGTCTAAATACCTGATGAACTATTCTGACGCAGTGTTTCAAAATATAATTGTTCATTAAAAACTGTTTTTTTTTGAAAAATTTTTTTGTTCGGTAGAAAAAATTGATATTGATTTAATAGAAAACACTAATGCCATTAAAAAATAAAGAGGTATATCTATAAATTGCGAATATTTGGTTGTTAGAGCAGAAAAACAATTTCACATTGTTTTAAGTATTCATACTTAGCATATTTAAGAAAATATGTAGTTTAAATCATTGAATGTTTATTGATAAAAACATTTAAAAAAGGCGTTAATTTGTATTCGTTTTTCTTATTTGGATTACTTCGACTGGAATTAATGAGACTACGAGTATATTTGACCTTTACTTTCATCAAGTAGTTAGATAAGTATACTTATTTTTACCCAACTGCTAAGTAGTGAAGAGTAATGATTTCTGAGAGTATATATGTATATTAGTTTGATGCAACATTTAGATGAGTTTTATTTATGGAAGTATTGCATATTACATGATGATGGTATAAAATAAATATGTTGGCCTTAAGTGTCAAAATAATGTTTATGGGCAGAGTCCGTTTATTTTTATTATAGTATCGTCAAAACGTGGGATTAAATTCGATTCATACTTTGTATCTCCTAGATAAAAGAAACGAAAGACCTGCAGAATAGAGGAGTAGCTAGTTTTGCATATGAATAGATAACCTAGCTTGGTGTCTAAGATAGGTTAGGAAGAACAACTTAGTTTAACGGAAAATCATAGGAACATTCAGTCCAAGATACTGGCAGGCATACAACATATTTATTATATCTACACAATATAAGTAGATACCTACAGTCATATTTTTGAATATTTATCTATCTATATGTATTAGATCTACGAGTTTTTTAATTTAGTAATATTATTAAATCTAAACATTAATATAGTTACAATTACAGACTATTATAATATAAATTATGTACTTATTGAAGATTACATATTATATTTGTTGATAAGATTTACATTAGATTTGAATAAATAAAATCTATTCCACGCATTGCAGTCTTTTTTAATTCACATCCGTCATTGAATAAATTCCAGTCACTTTACTCAGTACATATCACCAATGCACCCACACTTTATTCAATTTTATCGTCACGCCTGTACTTTTAAATATTAAAAAATTTTCCAATACCTAAAAAATCAAATATTAAAATCATTTCCGCTATTTTATGATAGATTCGTTCCATTTTGGTTCGACTGCTAAGCAATGTATTGTTTCCTATTTCTCTGTCACAATTGAGGTGAATACTTCAAGCAACCTCAAGATCGGAGTCTGAGTCGTCAGTATATGGGCGAGGCGTGGGCGGCGCGGGCGCAGAGTGCGTGGGAGGCGAGTGCGCCGGAGACAGCGTCGCCCGCGCCAGCAAGGGTGCGCGCCCGCACGCTCTCTCCTCTTGCAGCTTCCGTAGTCGCTCTTGTTCCTCACGTTTTTGTTTCCGCCACTTTGCACGACGATTTTTAAACCATACCTGTTAAAGAATTACACGCTATTAGAGAATTTTAAATTAAACTAAATTCAATATTTTTTTTGACAACAGTTCAATGGTGCAATATTGGAAGCATCAAAATTTCATCTTTTAGTTTTGATTTCATACCTTATATATAGCCAACTGTAATCTATGGTAATGTATCTGACACTAAAATTAGACTACAGTTAAATAGATAAAAAAATATATAAATAGCCCTGAAATCGGGTTTGGCCGGTAACGTATATATATATATATATACAAATAAATCAAATAAGAAACCATTTCAAACATGAATACACCGATAAATGACAAGATATTTCGTAGATACCCTACGTAATAAATATTGCGTGTTTACACTTAAATTTGACTTGCATAGTCAAGACAAGCAGTTTTTTTGTAGGAAAACAAAGGATTTAATTGTCACAATATTAAAATAGGACATAAATACATAATAAAACAATAAAAATAAAAACAAAATTACAAATACATAGGATAAGCCCTATCGACTCTAATAATAATTGTAAATACTGGTTCAGAATTGGCACAATCATATAATATGTAACATCGTCATGTGATCACTGCATAGAATGGACCATTCCTTTCTTTCCCGTGGGTGTCATAAGACATGACTAAATAAATTTAACGGTTGAAGGATGGGTAGCAGCGTCCCTCTTAAAACATTACCAAAAGTCTAACTGCAATTGCTAACCCGCCTGCTAAGCGTAGCAACTATTCGTAAAATCCCCTTTTGGAGGAGGCCTATGCTCAGCAGAAGACAGCTATAGGTTGATATGATAATGATAGTCGGAAAGAGTTTCAGATGATTTGAGAAACTCATTTTTCTAAATCCTTCAATATACTTATATTTTTATAATTTGTTTTATTTTTAATGGCCCCTTTTATGTAGGCATCTTACATTTGATTTTAGGTACATTTAAATAAATCATGATGTCAATTGTATAATTTAAATTGTCACTGAATACTTTTTTTTTGTTATTACATTTATAGAAATTATTCCATCCGTTATAAGCCATATAATATTATATTACACATATTTTCAGGTTATAATGAAAATACTTTACTAATATTAAATCAAGAGCAACAACCAAACTTTTCCCGGGCTCTAACTACCCATCAAGGTTACAGTCGTGAATATTTTAGTTCATTCGAGGCAAACAAGTTATCGTTTTTATAAATACTTTTTTTACAAAACTTTTTTAACAAAACATGTTTACATTCAAATATTTCTGAGAATATTACATGTTTCGAATATATAATCACTGTACAAAAAATTCTTCAATTATTGATGCATTCAGTAGTTCATGCATATTATTGGAATAGTAAACGAACGATTAAATTGTAATACTCGTACGTTATCCGCAGACAATTGATATACAAATCATACGATATGTAAAGCTATCACGGCCACTGCTACCGAATCAATACCAGGTGCCTCGCAAAAAATAGGTTAGTGTGTCCTTTGTATGGGGGCAAATGCGCGACCATTGATACTTCTGAGTAGAGGCTGTATCGGTGCTTCCAGTTGAGTGGTCGGCCACAAGTGGATGTTCCCGATGCGGCCAAGCTGCGGGTGGTCGCGCCTCCGTCTATTGTCGCTTCCATAGTCACAACAACCGACGGCCTTCTTTGAATTTTGACATTCGTTCACAATATTTGACATGTCTATTACAATTTCTTATTGCTTACGTTATATTATAACATTACCTTTTAATTGATCAAATAACATATTACTTACGTACCTTCTATAATAAATGGAACTTATAAAAAATAAATAAATAGATAATATAATTAGGATTGGGCAGTATTTAAATTACTTGTAATTAGAATACGTAATAGAAATACAAATACATATTTGATATTTGTATTTCAATTACTTCCTAAAAATGTAATTAGTAATTCGTATTTCAAATATCAAATGCTGAGGTATTTTGTAGTTAGTATTTTAATTACTTGTGGTTTCAAAATACATTTTTAATATAAATACATCTTCAGTCTTAATCATAAAAACTTTTATTGTAGGTTTTAAAGCTTTAGCTAAAACGACCAATAATACTATTGTACGTATATAACAGAGCGTTACTCATGAACAGTCAACAAGGTATCAATAATTAAAATAGGTTTATTAAATAATTTATGTTATTTTGATGAAAACTTGTAGAGTTCCACAGGCGATAGAGAGTCAGCTGAGGTCAGCTTACAAAAATATTATGTAATTATTAAAAATCTTTATTAGAAATCTTGATAAATATACTATTCTTATTATTTAATGTATTTAATAACAATAAATAAATATATTTATTGCTATTTTAATTAAAAAAATAATATATACATATATCAATCAATATAATGGTGAACATGGACTAGGTTAAGCAAATATAATGTAGATTGTACACGTCTTTAGGATAGGTGTGCCTACTGTGCATATAATATTAAGTATAATAATGTAATTCTTCATATTGAATCGCAGATTTTCAACTAAATCATATTTTATATCATCAAAAATGAAGATTTTTTATTTAGATGCATAAAATAATACGTTATATTAAACTTTAATCTCGGAATTAGTAGCATTATTACTAATTCTGAAATTAGAATGTTCTTATAGCAGGCATTAAGTCCATTATAACTTATTTGCGCCAGAAACATAAAAATACACAATGGCAATTATTTTGTTTATGATTTTTTTTTATATACTACTTAGAATGACAAACAAGCTGACGGCCCATCAGGTGGAAAGTGGTAACCCTCGCCTATAGACATAAGCAGTACCATGGACATAACAGAATATACCGTTGCGCACATGATACTCTCCATGTTTTGCCATTCCTGAGGACTCAGGTGTTATTACTCTGTACCCTATAAATCCACTGCCATATCTCATCCTTCAAACCGAAATACAGCCATGCAAACACAACTGCTTTAAGGTAGAAACACGAATGGGACAAAGGTGCCCAAGCAAACGACTTTTGTACAAAGTCTCCCTCTGGTAAATTTTAATTATACAAAATATTAATATTGATATTAATTAGGTTATACTAGGTTTATAAGTCATTTATATTTGACGTCGCTACTGAATAGTTATTACAGAGTTGTTGGACATACAAAACTTAATAATAAGATAATCAAGTTTGGTAAAATTATCACAGAAGCATTTAATCAATTAATAAATTATGATTTATGGTATTGGGCATCAGTATTGCACTGTCTTATAATGGGGTCAATAATTCGTTTTGTTTACATTTTTATTGAGTTATATTGAAACAGACTATATAGACAAAATGTGATTTATGTATTACTTCTTTATTGTTGAAACTGGTGATTACTGAATCATCAGCATGAACATTCGTACAATAACTGGAAGAACATAAGTATATTATTGTTTACACTTGATTTTTTTTATTTTGCATTACATGTTCTTATATTCACAAAAAAGACTTAACTAAATAAAAAAATATGTTCTCATTTAAAAAGATGAATTTCACAAGTAATTTGGAATTGGATTAATTAGAATTCATCTCTTTAAATGCAAATTCATTCAAAGCTTTTAATTTATAGATAAATATGTTTATATACGGTTATTACATATGACTAATGCTATAAAAATACAAATTATTTGATAATTGACTATTTAATATTTCATACAGATAAAGTTATGAATTACTAATTAATAAGAAATACATTTGTGCTCGTTGAAATCTTTTACATAAGAAATTGAACCAAGATTTAATTAAAAAAATTACGGTATTTATTCAACATAACTAGTTATTTATACGGTTGTATTGAATATTTGACAAAATTTAAGTTTCTTTCTTCACATTTTAAAAGTAATATGAAAAATTTAGAACGTTAATTGATTGATATTTGCTTAGAATAAAGTATCCTCTTTAAAAAATGGTGGTTGAAGTGATTTGAGGAATAAAATTAATTATTATTTTCATTTAACAACAAGATATATTACATTTACTAATAGGTAAAAATAATCTGGTTTAATAACAGTGTTTCTCGTTACAAGAATTATCAATTAGTAAAGTCCTCGATATTGGACAGATTCAATCTAATAATAATCCGTCATAAACGGAGCAGCATCATCAAATCAACATTCATTTAAAAATTACAAATTGCTAACAAAACTGTTTATAAGCAAAAATATTACAAATATTATTCATAATTAACTATGACATTAAGAATGGATAATGCAAATTCTAATGCAAATTAAAAAAAAAAAAACATTGTGAAACATATATTACTCAGAGATTCTTCTACTGTTTGACCAGAAACCGCTCTATAATAACACAACGTGTTTGTTCATTTTGCAAACATAACTACTAGTCCCCCAATTCTTCGAATAAAATCAAACCGGCGAACCTAAGAAGGATAAAATGAATTCGTTAACGATACCACTATTGTTGGAGTTAATTGCATTATAAGAGTCGGTCGTTGTCCTCACAATGGCTCTATTAACTTTCGGGGAAAGAATGACGGGGTTTTCGCACTCGGTGTCCGCTTCGCCGCCACCGCATTCGATGGCACTCGAGCGGGAAATATGGCGTTGGCAATGGCAGACGGCAGGGCGGCCCTACGCCCACTGATCGCACACGACTTCGTTCCTTTGTCCTTCCTCGCGCACGATGAGATTACATCGACACTCTTTTGTGGGCCGCTAATTGTGTTTGGCTTAACTGGTTTGTTATTTTCATTAGGTACTAATCAAATTCATAGCTGTTGATTAACCACACTACGAAGGTTTCAATTATATTATTAGTACGCAACTTAATTCGCCTACATTTTTTTTATTCAACTAGAATGGCAAACAAGCATACGGCCCACCCTGATGGAAATTGGTAACCGTCGCCTATAGATATGAACAGTACCATAGCCATAACAGAATATACTATTTCGCTCATGATACTCCCCACGTGTTACCATTTCTGAGAACTAAGGTGTTATACACCTTATATTCACCTTCAAATCGGAACACA